AATGCAAGCAGAGATTCAGGGGAAAAGGCGAAGAGGCTCCAACCAGAATAAAGCCAATCTTGAGGAACTGCAGTGAGGAATGGACTGCTCTGCAAATGCAAACAACAGTTCAGATCAAGGGAAGTAATAGTACCACTCTATTCTGCCTTGGTCAGACCACACCTGGAATCCTGTGTCCAATTCTGGGCACCACAGTTTAAGAAGGATATTGACAAGCTGGAACGTGTGCAGAGGAGGGTGAACAAGATGATCAAGGGTCTGGAAAGTGGAAACTAAGCCTTACAAGGAACGCTTGAAGGAGCTGGGTATATTTAGCCTGGAAAAGAGGATATGTGATAGCCATCCAATATCTTAAGGGCTGTCACATGGAAGAAGGAGCATGCTTGTTTTCTCCTGCTCTGTAGAACTCGAACCAACGGCTTCAAGTTACTGTACAAGAAAGGAGATTCTGACTAAAAATTTGGAAAAACTTTCTGACAGCAAGAGCTATTCGACAGCGGAACAGACTCCCACGAGAGGTGATGGATTAGCCAGTGTGGTATAGTGGTTAAGAGCAGTAGACTTGTAATCTGGTGAACCGGGTTTGCGTCTCCGCTCCTCCACATGCAGCCGCTGGGTGACCTTGAGCTAGTCACACTTCTCTGAAGTCTCTCAGCCTCACTCACCTCAGAGTGTTTGTTGTGGGGGAGGAAGGGAAAGGAGAATGTTAGCCGCTTTCAGACTCCTTAGGGTAGTGATAAAGCGGGATATCAAATCCAAACTCTTCTTCTTCTTCCAACCTTGGAGGCTTTTAGCAGAGGTTGGATGGTCCCCTGTCATGGATGCTTTAGCTGAGATTCCTGCATTGCAGGGGGTTGGACTAGATGTCCCTTGGGTCCCTTCTATGATTCTATGAGTTCAGCAACCATGACCTTTGCAGATTCAGAGTTAACACTTTTCGTATGCTTATCACTGTTGTGTGATGGAGATCATTTTCATTTAACTTTAATATGTTTCTTCATATTGTTGTTGGAGAGGGTTCCAGAAGTCAGTTTGAGCATAGGGAGGCTTGAGCCAAGGAGACGGTTACTGAGCGCCCTCTACTGACTAGAACCATTAGCTGTCAAGGAAAAAAATGGAAATCAAAGTTTCTTAGCGGGTGCCAGAGATCTGAGGGCTGTTTGCTGTAGAAACTTTGCCGCTTTAGGGTTGTGGAAATTGTAGGGATTCCACAGGGAAATTGTTGTGTAAGACACATACAAGAGCTACAAAGAACTCCTCAAAATTAGGATACAAAGATTGGTACAGTATTTTCATTTCATTTCCTTATTTGAACTTCCAGCCTGCTTTCATACACATGATCAGGGTGGGTTACGGAAGTGTATCGAAAGCATCGTAAAATAACTTGTACATTAAAGAACCACAAAAAACAGCAAATTGAGAAGAGTTGGAAAGGTCCCTGCAGGAATCTTTTGCCCAACACAGGGCTCAAACCCACAACCCTGAGATTAAGAGTTTCCTGCTGTAGTGACCGAGCTATGGATCAAATAGCACAGACAAGAGAGGGAACTGGGGTGGGGGGGGAGGGGGCTCTTTAGCTAAATGAACCGGTCTTTCTGCTTCCAGCCCCCAATGTGCTTCTGCAGCAATTCTGAGGCGTTTGGAGCTTACACTTCACAAGAAGCAGCATCGGCGAACAAACCTCGGCTCGGATGACGATGTGAACGATTCTGAAGCAAATTGCCTTTGAAAGCCCACTCTCTGGATGTCAGCACGGATCGTCATATTAAATGGTACACGGAGCTTGAGGATATGTTGTGCGGGCTGCACTAGGGGATGCAGGGAAACACAATCCACCACAATTGCCTCCTGTCAACCCAGCAGTTGGGTTAGGCCAAACAGACAGGGCCCAGTTCAAGCTACAATGCCGAGGAAACGTCCCGTCCCCCCCAAATGACCGCTTTTTGCAATCCTTGTGGCTTGCATTGCCCTTTTTAAAACAAATAAAGTTGGAATCCACCACCTCGGCGGTCCCATTCTTGGGGAAGAAGTTGCAGGATACAAATTTAGGAATTGTTTTGGTTTGGATCAGTTGCCCGAGCAAAAGTTAGTCAGCTCACACCAATGAGGCATACACACCAACTCCTCTTTATTGTAGACTTCCACTGCTTAAATGAAAAGTGTCTCCTTCTGATTTTCACAGATTTCCCCATCACATCCTAGGCCTTTACTGAAGGTTCCCCAAAAAAGGCTTTTGGGGTACATGGGTGCTTTCATGGAGAGTAAAAGAAAAAACCCAACTCTAATCCACTGGCTAGTATCATCATCATTATTTATTATACCACCCTCAGGTGGCATATAAATTTAATAAATACCCACAGGTCTCAGGGCAGTTCACAGAATAAAACCACAATATAAAAACACAGAATATATAATCAAAATCAAAACAGTATCTATCAACACACTTTAACTTACTCTGAAGTTCAGCACTCTGGATAACTGCTTTAGCATTTTAGTGGCTGTCTTCAGGCAATGAAAACTGGTTATTCCTGAAAGGTGTAACCTTGTAGTGCCTGCTTTTAAGCGCAAGACATGGGAGCTATAAGTAAGCGCAGCGCCTAGGCCGAATTGCTGTGATAAAAATGAATGTATTGCCAAGGATGCTGTTTTTGTTTCAAACATTGCAAATTTTGGATAAAATGGATTGCTTCAAGAAGTGGCAGAGAGATATTTCTAGATTTGTCTGGCAGGGCAAGAGGCCTCGAATAAAATTTAAGATATTAACTGATGCCAAAGAAAGAGGTGGATTTGCCCTGCCAGACCTTAAACTTTATTATGAATCAGCCGCGTTTTGCTGGCTGAGAGAATGGCTGCTTCTTGAAAATACTGACGTGCTGGACCTAGAAGGTTTTAACAACGTATTTGGGTGGCATGCATATTTGTGGTATGACAAGGTTAAAGCACATAAAGCGTTTAAAAACCATATTGTCAGAAAAGCATTGTTTAATGTCTGGATAAGATATAAGGACTTGTTTGAAAATAAAACCCCAAGGTGGTTGTCACCAATGGAAGCGAAGGCTCAGAAAAAGCTCAATATGGAGGCCAACTGGCCGAAATATTGGGAAATTTTGGAACAAGAGGGAGACAGATTAAAACTGCAGAGTTTTGAAAAACTAAAAAATAGAGTGCGAGACTGGCTTCATTATTACCAAATAATGGAGGCGTATAATTTGGATAAAAAAATTGGCTTCCAGGTGGGAAAATCAAAACTGGAAACAGAACTGTTAGATCCCAAAACTAAGAACTTGTCAAGAATGTATAACTTGCTGTTGAAATGGAATACACAGGATGAAACGGTGAAATCAACTATGATTAAATGGGCACAAGATGTAGGACATAATATTATGATGGCTGACTGGGAACAGTTATGGACCACAGGCATGAAGTTTACGGCATGTAATGCCTTAAGAGAGAATATAATGAAAATGATCTACAGGTGGTACATGACACCAGTCAAGCTTGCAAAAATATATCACTTGCCCGATAATAAATGTTGGAAATGTAAAGAGACTGGAGGTACATTTTTTCACCTTTGGTGGACATGCCCAAGGATTAAGACATTCTGGGAGATGATTTATAATGAAATGAAAAAGGTATTTAAATATGCCTTCTTGAAGAAACCAGAGGCCTTTCTCCTGGGCATGGTTGGCCAACTGGTGTCAAAAAAGGATAGAACTTTCTTTATGTATGCTACAACAGCAGCAAGAATACTCACTGCGAAGTATTGGAAGACACAAGATCTACCCACCCGGGAAGAATGGCAGATGAAGGTGATGGACTATATGGAACTGGCGGAAATGACTGGCAGAATTCGAGACCAGGGAGAAGAGTCGGTGGAAGAAGATTGGAAGAAATTTAAAGTTTATTTACAGAAACATTGTAAAATTAAGGAATGTTAGATGGATGTTGGAATGAAGTAATGTGGTTTTAGCAGAAATGCTATAGAGGATTAAGAAAAAATAGATCCTTAAATGGTGAAAGGAGGGAAAGTAAAGTTACATTATATTAAGATAAAATATAGGACAAAAACTGGAAAAGATGGAAAGGATTTGCTGAAATAGCTAACTGAACTAGAATACAAAAAAGGGAGGTGTGAGGAGGTCAAGGAAATAAGTAAATGAAAGATAAGTTATGGGAAGATTCATTGTATTTTTTTTATTTTTTATTTTTTTTATTGTTGCTTTTATTATTAGATATATATATTTTTTTTCTTCTTTTCCGTATTGTGATGTGATGTTCTGTGTTTGCTTAATATGCTGTTTTCTATTTTTCCTTTTGGTAACCTTTTAAATCTTAATAAATATTATTTTTTAAAAATATATATATAAGTAAGCGCAGCGATGAGGCTTCGCTCTCTCAGTTAATGATATATCTGTGTTGTGTGCATTCCCTCCTCCAAATAATATAAAAAAATCAAGTGACTTAAGGGTGATCACCTCAGTTGCTTGAGTGCAGTTAACTGAACTGGTTCAGACATGGCTACTTTAATTTCTCATTGATAACTAGCAGCTGTGTGGATGTGGAAACTCAGTGGCGTTTTACAATGTCTCGTTTACACATTCCTGTCACCATCTGATGGCACAGTCATGGACCAAGGCACACATGTGGGATCCAGCCAATACTGCAGTGTGCTAGTCCTTTGGGCACGTTGTGGGCCTGGACTTTACAGTATATTTGGGAATCTAGTATTTGGGGTGACTTTTGCTAAGAGTCAAAGGGCTGGTTTTGGTTTCCTTATCATATAATTGTAGCGTTCCTGCTGATTTGGACGCTACCAAAGAAAACTGTGGGAGACAGTGGAAGACAGGAGTGCCTGGCGTGCTCTGGTCCGTGGGGTCACGAAGAGTCGGACACGACTAAACGACTAAAGAACAACAAAGGAAAAAAAAAGATTGGCTATGTGCATCAGACCTTTTTACAGTTCCAATGATAAGTCGACACAAGAAAACCCACACAAAACATCAGTTTAGACTGTTTATTTTGATGACAGCAGCTGACAAAAATCATGAATTAATTGCATCGAACAGAACACCGTATTTGTGTAAGGCCTTTACTAGTCAATATACATCAAAATTGGTACTAAGAAACTATGCTGGAAGCGTAGCTGGGAGTGGGGGGAACTACAGTGTTTGAAGCCAAATAAGGAAAAAAGAAAAAGAGGAAAAAGGACTACAGCAGCTCTCTTCCAGAGTAGCTTCTAGTTTTCATATGATTCTACAGTTTGGTTTTGCATTTTTTTTACAATACCAGGCTATATACAAAATTATACCACACAAAGTGAAGTACATGTGTACTAATGAGTTCAACTTGATTTCAAAATGTAAACACAAACCAGCATTTGCAAAAAGTTCCATTTCCTGTCAGAATCGTAAGCTGTAGAAGGCTGGTGATGGACGAGGCAAGGTTATATACAACAGCAATTCAAGAGAACGTATACCCGCATGTTTGTCACTGTTGAAAAATACTCTATTGCTACGAGGCCTGGCATGTTTCACATGTAAAACTGATTTCTACTAAATTAACCGCGTCTTGCTATTTTACAAATACAGTACGTAGAAAAAGAATGAGGTGTCCCATTGGCAGGCTGTCTAGCTCAAGTCCGTTTCCAAGAGATTCGGCTACTTTTACGTCAGCTGCTGCTGATATATAGAGCTTCAAGGATGCAGCTTACGGTTTATAATGTTCACTAAATGGTGGTAAATGCAACGTATTATTAACCCAAAATCAAAAGAACACCAGCTCACAGCAAAGCATTAGGGACAGGCAAGAAAGATAGCATATGACGAAGAGGGAGGGAAAATAGCAAAGAACCAACCTTGAGAAGTAGTTGAAGAAGCTGAAGGGATGGTTGACTGAAAGTGTCAAAGGCAGGAAGCAAACTAGAGCGTCATGATAGCGGCCCACTTTCAAAGTGTAAATTCCTGCCTTGAGATGAACGTGGCACCGTAACCCATTCTACCAGCCCTGCAAGCCAAAGGGAAACCTTTTCTGTGCCACCTTTCTCATAGTCAAGGAGGACTGTGGTGGCAGTTGGTTTTTAGAAGGAAAAGTGGGATTTCTAGCTAGGAAAGCACGTTCACAGGATACCACAACTGTGTGCAAATGATGCCTGAGCAAAACTGGGACTGTGCAAGACTTTTGATGTGAACTCATTGGAGAAGAGCCATAGCTTAGCATAAGAACATCTGCTTTGCATGCAGAAGGTGCCAGTTTCAGTTACTGGCATCTCCACTCTTCGAAAGCTAGATGGACTTGGTATGAGGCAGCTTCCTATGTTCCTCTGCCATTGCGAAACAGACGACCCCACAGATCATCTATGTGAAGCAACTGGGTTTAATTGTACATATTATTTTACACCGACATAGAACACCTTGCCTTCTGCAAAGTAGCAAGTTGCAAAATGTTAGTTATTTGGTTCTTATATGTTCCAGAAGAAAATATGTTCTTGACACTTCCTTCTGTTGATCAAGGGAACCAGACAGGGTCTCAGCATCTGCCAGAAGGATGTAGACACATATTGCAACCTGCCTGAATCAGGACACTGAATACACAACAATGGTTGCACGAGTTAACCACTCCAAACCAGCTGCATTGGGCTCTAAATGCAAGGGCTTGCTTGTAGCTTCTTGTCCTCTAGAGAAGTTTTCAAAAGTTGGTTCAAAATCTGTTTCTACACCTAGATCGGCGGTCTGCTACTAGCACCCAATGGGCTATTACCATGCTAAAATCCCACTGACTCATTACCAGTTTTCCTTCTCATCTTGCAGACATTAGACTACCACAAAGACTTTGGCATAGTTGGCTAGAGGCTAACAAAGGAGCTCCGATGGGAAGCTTCTCGAGTTGAATCGGCACAAATTAGCTTTCAACCCTGGCTCTTCTGTGTTTGACCATTTCTGTCACACAGTCATGAGATTAAGGACAGATCTAGACCAAGTGGCACCACTTATTTAAAATGTGTACTTTACAGCCAGCATAGATTAATGCATCTTCTTTTGCCTTTTCTGTACAGCACTGGTTTGAGAAATGTGGGGTATTCTTATTGGCTGGACATGTTAAAGGATGTTTATGATGGGATGGTTTGGTCTGCCTGTGTACTGCACGAGAAGCCTGTAAGTGCCACTGTTCCTTTATCTTCAGTGCATGTGATGTAAGAGCAGATAAAGCACCTGCAGGGGTCAGCAAACTTTTTCAGCCGGGGGCCGGTCCACCGTCCCTCAGACCTTGTGGGGGGCTGGACTTTTTTTGGGGGGGGGGAATGAACGAATTCCTATGCCCCACAAATAACCCAGAGATGCATTTTAATAAAAGGACACATTCTACTCATGTAAAAACACACTGATTCCTGAACCATCCGCGGGCCGGATTTGGAAGGTGACTGAGTCGGATCCGGCCCCCGGGCCTTAGTTTGCCTACCCATGACCTAAAGGGAAACTGGCAAATGAGAAACAGCATTGCTTTGCCTTTGCAAAAAAGGCATCACAATACACAAAGCGCAACAGGCTGAATAATAATAACCGTAAACATTTTATTGGTTATTTTCTAACGTAAAGGTCTAGCCCAGTATGTGCAATATATACAGTTCATATGTACGGTATATACAATAAAATGTTTACAGTTATTATTGTTCAGCCTGTTGCACTTTGTGTATTGTGATAACTGTATTTGCATAGCAAGGTATTGAATTTGTTTTGCAAAAAAGGCAGCAACACACCAACGTGCTATTTCTGCAATAAATATCGATTAGCATTTTGATTTAAGTCCTTCGTAGTAATGTCTGCTTGTTAATGGAAGTACTCCCAACAAAGCAGGCAGTCTGAATCTTCTTATGCACTGTGGGTCTAATCTTTAAGTTGTTCTAGGTCCAGCCATCTGTATCAATTACTACCATTATTTAAGCTGCAAAATACTGCCAACAGTGCACTCAGGACAAGTGAAACTGTGTTTATTCCCAACACATCAGTAAATGTATTGACTTTACTTCTTCTCAACTCATTGTCATCATGTTAACATAGCAATCAGCAATGTGAAGTGGAGAAAGATTACTTTGCATTAAGTGCTGTTAGACAAGGTGTCCAGAACATCCATCCTAATAGCTTGGTGAAGTTCGTAAGTAACTTAGGTTAGGGATGGGCAATATTTTGAACCAAAAATAAATAACCCAGGGTCACAGTGTCAAATGGCATGCATACAGAGCCATGAATGCAGGGGTAGATTGCAATTTCCCTTGTGCATTAGAGCAGGGGTGAGGAACCAAAATATCTGGAGGGTCAAAGATTCCCTACCCCTGGTTTAGAGACAGCTGATTGTAATGTTATTGCTTAGCTTACTGGTGGTTGTTCTTTGCTCTATTAGCACCTATCTCCAAATATCTCACTCATTCACTCAAACACTAGTTGGCTACCTCTGTCCAGAGGACCTTTATTCAAATGTATACATTGCTTCTCAACTATGTTAAGAAAGCAGCTTTTAAATGACAGCAACTTATTTCATTGCTGAATGTCTCCATGAAGAACCCCAAAATGCAGAGTTTGTTTTGAAGAAACTGCAGTTGCCACTGTGTGTCAGAAAAGAAGCTTAATATGAATCTGCATACTCTTCTCAGGGTACAATATTTCTGAGCTCTGTTTCCAATGAAAAAGTGTACACAAATTAGGATTTGGAATCAATTAAGAAAATTAGGATCACAGTAGAACAGCAGCTTGTCAAATCAATCAAAAAATATTCTGATATCTGAACAAGTTTTAAATAACTTTGCTGTGAAAATTGGAAAAAATGACTACCAAGATGTAACTTGCATAGCATTTAAACTGAATGATGAACTCATGTCAACATATACAAGTCCCAATATTCCTTTCACGAGACACCTTTCCCCACAAACTGTATTCTCTCTGTGTGTATTCAGAACCAACCGCTCACTAGACCCCTTTTTCCTATGCAGCAATCTGAATAACTGCAAGCACTGCAATCCATTTTTAATGTCATTGATGATCTTGTAGTGTTCTGCCCCTTTAAGTGATTTGCATAAGTTTTAAAACTACGTAAGGACAAAATGCACATTTATTAACAACTATTTTAAAAAGGCAATATACAGGCAAAATTCTTTAAAGTGCAACACAACAGAACATGTCTGCAACATTCAGATTGCTCAAATCTCCACAAAAGGAGGAATTCATTATGAAGGGGAAACAATTAGTGTCCACAGTCGTCTGAAAATAATTTTCTGACCAGATATCAAGACAGATTGTCCTGGTTGCTAAGTGCCACATGTGAGACACTCACAATTAGCAAAATAATTGAAATCCCCTTTTCCTTTTAGTATCCTGTAGTGTCCATGTCTCACACCAGACATCAACCCTGTTACAGAAGGGCACTAATGTAACCCTTTGCTTTTTTAAACTTACTTCAACCATGGTTGGGGAACCCCTTTATATACATGTAGACTGATAAGTATGGGAAGTGTGGTTGCTTCAAAAGAAGGACAAAAATACCCTGCCAACAACAAATATCAAGATACCAAGGAGGACATAGCGCCCAGTCTAAAGCCAGCATTTTCCTGGATTTGGCCGTATTTTTTTTTTGAAGGTGCCACTCCATTTGGCACTGACCAAACTTGCTTTCAGGTTTTGCCATCAAATTGCTTTCCAATCTCTTGTGTTCCTGAGATAAGCATATTAAAAGGATACGTCCCATCTAAAGCTGCCATGAGGATAAACGATTTATGCTTCCAGTTTCCCAGTGTCTGTACGTCAAACACGCTTTTAAAGCTATCAGTCCTCTCCAAGGCGCCACTTCTGGGACTCTTCCTGACGCACATCGGGCCTGATTTGGTTTCTCATGCCGCCCAACACATTTGACGTCGCCTCTGTTGCCATTATGAGAGGTTTCACCACAGTTGGCGGGATCTGGCGGAGGACACCTCCCACCGCTCCAGTGACTCCTCTGTTCTCATGTTCTCGAGCAGCAGTTTCATAGATGGTATGCGCCGTATCTGTAATCCCCTTAAGAGAGTCCCAGACACACAAAACAGAGTGTTAAGAACTGCACCATCTCCCTTTAGTGAAGTAAACTGCTTGGGGGAGGTGGGGTGGTGGGTTGGGTCATCAGTCTTTATAAGCCCCAGAATCCCTGTCAATTACATCCCATCATTCACCGCAATGAAACAGGGAAGCCCTTCCTGCAGAGCAGCAAAACGGTGAATTCAGTTCTTGCAGACCCGCACTGGCTAAGTAGCTTGATGCCCACGTGAGTCGACTAAGCTCCAGAAGCTGGTTTCAAAGCGAGTGGATACAACCAATGGTGAAATGCAGTGTGTGGCCTGCTGGGCCGCACATTGGGCAGAGAAACAAAATGTCAGGCATGGATTTAAATCTGTTCCTAGTCATTGGAAAGAAACCAACGACAGAGCAATCAGAGCCAGCAGTGGTTAGGGGTTCCAGCACGCCACAAAGGGCAGCTGAAATGCCACATTCCACAGATGCCAAGCAACCTCAACCCTCTCTTGGGTGTCCACCTGAGAAACCAACATGGAGAAAATACCACTCCCCTAAGGAGAATTAAAATTATTGTGCAGAAAAATGAGGGCTATACAGCCTCATTAAAGCCATACCAATATCCTAAAAATGGCGCTCAATACCCATTCCGAAGGCATCTCTCCCTGCCTCTGTGAATGCAATGCAGATGTCCAGAAGGCAATGGTAACGCTCCTTACCTCTTTTACAACGCTGTATGCTTTGGCCACACCTTCACGAAGGTCCACAGGCTGATGAGCCAGGCGGTAGCGAGAAAGTCGTTTGATCTTCTTTGTCTCAATTAAACTAGGCCCGGGGGAAACCATGTCATAAGCTGTTTCTGCAGCTGCCTAAGTATCAATTTCAATAAATAAATCAAAAACACATTCTCTTACCACGTGTGGTGAGCCAGTAAAAACCTAGATATGGCCATAATATCCAATTATCTGTACATTATGATAAGCCTCCTAGCTTTTTAAAACACAAGCCAATGCTAAATATTAAGAATACATTCTCATCTCCCAGGGCTCCTTGTAATCTAGCTATCCACCCCTGCCGGTTCCCAACATACACTAGGGCATGGTCCAAAAAAGAGCAAATTATGGCATTCAAAGGGACCAATTAGAGTACACCTTCATTTTCTACCAACTAAGTTAATTATTGACATTCACTTCTGTAGGGATATAATATTTCTTGGGGCTATTACTGTGGTGTGGATAAAATCAGTCTTTCATTTCCAACCCTACGCTACTTGGGCTCTGCTGACATGATTCCCACGGAGAGCTGCAATATGCATCCCCACAGTCTCATTACAGTATATAACCCCTCCTCTCTCATACAATGCCTGCTGCCTCTACAGATATTTTGCCAGCAATAAATAGACATGACTTCCAAAAGAAAAAAAACCCCAGTGTTCTGATTTCAGCATTCATGCCTAACTCTTTAAAATGCTACTCCAAATACCAAGTTACAGAAACATCACAGGCCACACCTTCCCTCCTCTTAATTAAGGATGAAACAAGAGAGATCTCAGTTGGCTATGTAATTGTAGGCTTTAGTTGACTTCTGAAACCATTTCCCAAAATCTTGTTTGCTTCAAATAAGATTAGGCTTCCTTGTTTGCTTCAAATAAGATTAGGCTTCCTTTCCTTTCCTTCCCCATTGATAAAGGGAAAACATACCTGTATGGTCTGAACCATTCTGTTTGTCAGTTCCAACGCTGCCATTGCAGTAGATGTACCAAAAGAAGCTGCACCTCTCTGAAAGCCTCTTACAATGCGGCCATCTTTTCGGTATTGTTCTATTGGTAACCACACCAAGTCTTTTAGACCCTGCACTGTAATTAAAGATAGCATGCCATGGATAATCACTCAGGAAAAATATTCATTCATATGAATGCATGAACATAGAATAAAAAAACAGAGAGGCTTAAAAAATACTGCAGGAACTTACCTAATTGAACTAATGAATGCATTGGCCCGACTCCTCCTAGAATACCTGGTAGCTGGTTTTTCTTGATGTCATTAATCCATTCTGAGATGGCGTAAGAGAAAAGCTTATCCACACCTAGCAACCTGTGTGTGCACAAAAGTAACATTTTGTTACCTAAAGAATGATAGGAAGGTATGATGGAGAGACTACGTCACTTTTTGCTATTAAGATCTGTGAATTACTTTGGCCAGTTACCAACCAAACAGTTCTGCTAGAGCAAGCACCGTTGGCTGCACTACAGAACTTCCTTCCCTCTCCATGTGCACCTCTAAATGTTTTGGGGTTCCCCCAGCTCTCTGGGGCAATTTAGGGGGCACACAGGGGTTTCACAGAGACAGGAGAGGGAGGGAAAGTTCAGCTTTGCAGCCCAAAGTGCTTGAACTAGTGAAATTGTTCTGTTTGTCTTTCCTTCACAGCAAACACAGGGCAGGAGCCACCTCACCAGCCCTGTCAGCAGAAGTCCTGCGCAAGGACTTCCACCTTCTTGCTTTCTTCCCCCTGTGCACCCCCCCAAATTGTCTTAATGGGGTCAAGAGAACCTGCAGAACGGTGCACAGGGGGAGACGAGTGGGGATAGTTCTGTATAGCAAGTTGTAATGCTTGTACAGATAGAACCATTGGAAGAGTGCAACACTGAATTCCACCCACCATTACAATGCTCGGTGTTGGTTTTCCTGGAACGGACAGCCTAACACACAGCAACTCCATTAGAACAACTGGAGAAACTTACCCATGTCTATAGCAAAGCCTCTTCAGTTTCAATTCTGAGCAGTTTAACTGAGCAAGCCCAATCAGAATCCCAGCTAATGTACCCTGAAAGTGAAAAGCGTCAAACAGTTCATAAGCAGCAAATAAACACCAAAGTATTCTTGACTGCTAACTGTATTTTTAAGTTTCCTCCCAAAATAAAGTCCCTGGGTGTTGTATAGAAACGGAAAGGAAATGCTAGAATAAGAATTCACAATAAGCTTCAGAAAGTTGATTGGAGCAAAAGTCAAACACAAAATATAATAAAAACGGAATAAAATACAACCCAAAGCATAGAAGCTGGCATCACCATCAAGTTACAGGAGGTTAGAAGCCACCAACCGTAACAACAGGGACTAAAGTACATGATCTTAAATGGCCTGGGAGAACAAAGGCAGTCTAGGCCTGGCACTGAAAGGACAACTTTAGCTTTCCTAGAGTAAGTATTCCACAGCCATCACTATGAGCGGCCACCAATAAAATTATGCCTTTTTTGCAGTTAGGTATGTAAGTTTTACCAAAAGGTCTTTCACTACTACCTACTGCAGAATGCCATCTGAAATTTGATGGCATATTGGGTTCTGGATGCTTTAATGAAAGTTAAACATTAATGCAAGTTGCCTGCAGTGAACAAGAATCTCCTCCAGGTGACAAAGCAGAAAGTTGGTGACTTTTTCTTTTAAACCACAAATGACCCTTAAAATGGATGTGTGGGCGAATGGAGTGGTAAGAATCTTTGCAGGCTACCAGCTCTTCTGGACTTATTTGCAAGACCGTAAGTTTAGCAATCTTTTGATTTATTTGAAGATTTTGAGCATAAATGTATCATCTTTCCAAAATAAAGAACTACTGAATGTGACACTCCAAAAGGCTAATTTTATCAACAAAAGTCAACAAACCTGATCCATAGAAACATGCTTGCCATGGTAATCAAGACGTATTGGAACTTCTGATGTAAATCGAAATTCTCTAAAAGGAAAAATACGTTGATAACATGCTACACAGAAACAAAAACACAGTTGGAAGATTGGGATCAACAGATAAAACCTAAGATGGTAAAAAGTAAAACTAACATCCCTGAGCTCCATATTTTTTTTAGGATCACTAACCTTCACCTATATTTGCTAAATCCCCAACTTTCTAGGGATTTAAAAGTTGCCAGACCTACTAGTCATCTTAATCTCACAAGATCCAGTCTCATACTTCTATTCTTTTTGATAATGTTTATACTCAGAAAAGTCACCTTTGGGAAAATTAAAGTGCAGTTCTACCGTGCAGCATTTTTAAGAATACAGTCATACCTTGGATCTTGAACGACTTAGTTGCTGAACGTTTGGCTCCCAAACAACTGAAAACCGGAGGTGTGTGTTCTGGTTTCTGAACTTTTTTAGGAAGCCAAATGTCCAACGGGGCTTCTGAGGCTTCCAATTGGCTGCAGGAGATTCCTGCAGCCAATCAGAAGCTGCGCTTTTGTTTCTGAACACTTTGGAAGTCGAACAAACTTCCGAAACCGATTCTGTTCGACTTCCAAGGTACGACGGTACTACATGCAAGCAAGGCTTGGTCCTGTGAAGGAAACTTGTATTTCCTACTATCTTTTTAGTTTAGCATCAGATGAAAACAGTCACATAATATACACTGTGGGGGAAGTATGAATATGATGAGCTTAAACATCAGGTGGGCAACCTTTTTACTCCCAGGAGCTACTTTCCAGTGGATGGGACCAGACTCAGTAGTGAGTGTGGCTTAGGCTGAAATCCCCTGCACCCCTTTTTGCGTTAATGAGTGTTTCTTTAATACACACATCCTTCCCAACCTTACACAGAAGGCACAAAGACAAACAACTACCCCCTTACATGCAGGTGCATTTACGTGCGCACACAGTCTTCCCACTTCTCTCTTTTTTACCCACTATCACCCACTAATCACTCACTATCAATGCAGGCAAGATCAGGGATGCTATTAACAGGGCAAGGACTGTGATCTTTACCCCACTTCCCATGGATAGCCTTACATATGCAGGAGGTTCCTTATATATACATGCATATATGCTTTGCTACACATATAGGGCTCTGGACTGGGGCTACAGATGGAAGAAGTCCACTGATTATAAAATGGATGCTTCTGGACTGCAGAAATTAAGAGTTTACCAAATGAGTGAAATAAGAGGTAACTGTAACTTCTCTAGACTAGAGCATCTCATGGATCTAAGGTGGTGGTAGGGGGGGAATCTGTGGTCCTCCAGATGTTGCTCAACTACAGCTCCCATCATTATTGCCCATTGGTCATGCATGCTGTGGCTGATGGGAGCCGGAGTCCAACAACACCTGAAGCCACCTGTGATCTACCTCTCAAGGTACCTGAAAAAGATTGGCTGGTCACTGAATGGTGCCTCTTCGTGTGCAAAATTATGGTCATCCCCGTTGAGCATATCCACAGAATCAACACTTCCGTTCTGGCTCGCTCGCTTGTGTAAGGAGAAAGAAATGACTGGACTTGGCTCTTTGAAACTGCTGTGGTGCCTGGGCAAGGTACATGTCACTTCTGCACCAGGAGGCTTCTTAACTGCAAACAGATAAATAAATGAATGCTGAAATCTAAGGCTGCCAATGAAAGAGTTATTTGTTTGTAGCTCTGCTGTCCATGTATATGTTTCTATGAATTCATTACACAAAAAAAAGAGAGAGACAAATTATTTACCCTCGGGATCTGGAGTCATTAGGACTTCTACTTCTGTAGACAGGCTAGTGAAAAAATCCTTCAAGAAAAACAGGGCATCCTGAAACATAAAAGTAGCATATAAATCACAAACAAGTGAAACCGCCTTATATACCAGGGGTGGATAAACTGTGGCCCTTCAGATATTACTGAAATACAACTCCCATTACCTTTGGGTGATTGGCTATGCTGCCTGTGACTGATGGGAGTTGTAGTTCAGCAACGTCAGGATAGACACAGCTTGACCATCCCTGTTAAGACACTTCTTTGAGTTCAACAGAAGGAAGGGATAAGAGAAAGTGTTTTCACATTTTTATATACATCACACACGCCTATAATAAGCCAATCTTCTGCCATGATAAAAAGGGGAATGCAGAGAAAAGGAATGGATTATTCTGACACAGGCTGGCTCAATTCTCAATGGCTCCCATCAACATCTATGGCTGAGAGTAAATAGGCTGCCAGCCAGGCAAGTTGAGAAAGAGCAAAACAGGCCCTCAGGCAGCTACTGGCTCCATGAGTGGCAGGGTTAAGTCGAGTTGCAGTGGTTTCCCATGAGCCCCTTTTACTTTCTCCTATGCTTTCCATTCATATTGAGGAAAATAAAAGTGCTGCATGTAGAAGCACTGTTGCAATGAAGGCAAAAGATCCTTACCACCTGTCAGTGAGTGGACCACACAAGCAGGTACAAAGATACACTGTGCACAAGGCGCAAAAATACACACTGAACATACATACATCCCTGGAGGAACCTCCATCCATAAATACCCTGCCCACCATGATTATGAGATTTTCTCCAATGATTAACAAAAACATTTTGGCTATAAGTTGTTTTGGGTTACCTTTGGCAAAAGAAAACAACCAATAAATTCAATAAATAGCAACAACAACCATCTGTACTTCATAAATGGTTCTTTTTCTTCCATCGAAGCAAGCTACTTATGCAATAACGGTAACTTTGCACAACTATAGTTGCAAACTTAATCAAATCACAACTTTGCAATTCACACCCACAAAATGTTTACAACAGATTATAGGAACGAGTGATTAAGGAATCATTACACTGCATAAATTCTCTCTATATATATTTTCCTAAGAAGTGTTGCTTGCTAAACCAACCTGGTCAATGTTGAGACGAAGTGGCATTAATGACACTCGCAAACAACACTCCTGGGGCGATCTGCCCGACTCTGGACGAACATGCAAAGCTTTGACCGTCAACTGAAATAACAAGTGAAGAGAGAAAGAAAAGCTGAATAAAAATGAACGTATATTTGTGAATTGTTCTGAGAGCATATATAAAAGATAAAGAATCTTTACAGCAGAATCATTACTGATATGTTTCTTACTGGGTGTTTTGAACTTGTGTCAAAATTGCTGTCACTCTAATTCAATGCAACATGCAGTAAAAGTTGTAGCCATTGCGTATGTGAATTTTTATGGACTGTTTTTCAAGTCCCAGTGGAGGTCAGACATAACTTTAGTAGAACACATACTTCTACGCTGCATGTGGACACCGCATCTATTCTCAGCCCCATCATTTCCACATTTAGCAAGTTGTTACACGGCCTTACCATATTAGAATGTGCCTTCCTAGGCATCTCCTTACTGCAGTAGAGGTAGAGAAATTTATTCATCTGTGATGTAGCCAAGCGATCTCTGATCTCAAGATCTTGAACCACAAACACTTGACGAGACACGGGTTGCTCCAGCAGGTTGACCTCACATTCTGCTTCGCCAGATGGATATACCTCATGCTGGAATTTGACCTTATAACCAGGAAAGGCAAAAGGCAAGAAGTCTATTAAGACCCACCCCCTGTAGCATTTGCAATGCTTCTTGATACAGAGTTGTCACTTATAAGTTTAGCTGGCTTCAGTGGCAAGGAGTGCCTGTTTCCAGCTGTGGCCCATTCACCAGCTATGGCCATTCCACTCTCTGCCCTTTCTAAGTTCAAAAGGTCCAAGTAGATACTGCTATGGCTCACAAAAAGCTCCTCAGATTTTAGAGCCTGAGGAAAAGGTCACATTGCCTCTGTATTTTTGTAATGCTTCATATCCTATGCATGCCAAACAAATGGGCAAATACGGTCCTCATCAGTTGTAGAGAACTTCCCAACAATAAAGAACAACTGTCGCCATTTCAGTTATTCTTACCTTACTTAACTGTATTTCCATCAAGAAATCTGGGTTCCTTCCTCTTCCACCACAGACTGTGTTGCGTCCATGCCTTGTTGGTGTGTGAGAAGGAGAGCTCTGAGGACTACTGGAATAGGAGAAAGGGTATTGTTTTTCCATTTAAACTTTAAGTTTGGCTTGCAACAACTGTTTCAGTGCTCAACTGGTCATCTTTTGGTGCTGTATTACAGTGGTACCTCGGAAGTCGAACAGAATCCGTTCCGGCAGTCCATTCAGCTTCTGAAATGTTCCGACTTCCAAAGCACGGCTTCTGATTGGCTGCAGGAAGCTCCTGCAGCCAATCGGAAGCCTTGGAAGCCCTGTCCGACATTCTGCTTCCAAAAGAAAAATTCCATTTTTTTATCGTTTGGGAGCCGGAACGTTCGACTCCCAAGGCGTTTGGGAGCCAAGGTACGACTGTATTATTATAACTTTTATTCTCAGTGTATTCTCAACAATACTCTGACATTTTGTAAGGCGATGCTTTTTATAAATGTTTCTATAAATAGTAAACAAACTGAAGAGTAAAAAAAGAAAAGAAAATCAACTTGCTGCCACTGTTAACCAGACTGCATTTTCCTCTTCAAAAGAACTCGATGGACAAGCATTCCATAAGTATTAGGAAAATGTAAAGTGGCTTTTTAAAAAACAAACCTTTCAGAATACACTCACTGAAAGTACATTGCCTGCTTTCACCACCTTAGATCTGACCAACAATTAATCACATGCTTCAAGGGAATGCCAGCCAGGAAGGAAAAAAACTACACATTTGAGTGCATACTTTTAAGCTGCCATTTCTACTTGCTCAGATGGAGCTCCAGGGCAAACTGAATGAGATGATGTCCTGACACAGATAAATAATAGCCATTTTATTTATTGCAATTATTAATATCCTGCTTTTAGGATACAAGATCTCCCAAGACAGCATATAAGAAATCGTAAACCATGTTGGGGAGCGGGGAGAATAAAAGCTGCAATAAAGAGTATCATTTTTTTAAAAATCCAGTTCCTCGCAGAACACCCTGTCTGAAGGTGTGGAGGAGGGGAAAGTCTAGCTGGAACTAAGCTAAAGCAGTTTTTCCCCCCTTTATGCACTAGCCCAGCGAGTTTTATGTTCTGAAGACAAATGCATCTTTTTCCTATGTAAGAAGGTAAAAAACAATTTTCTGCCATGTTTAAGAGGTGGAATGCAGAGAAAAGCAATGGACTATTCTGAGGGAGAGGAAATGAGAAAGGGCAAAACAACCCCTCACCTGGACACGGGGTTCAGTTTTATGTTTTGAAGACAAATGCATCTTTTCCCTATGGTATGAATTTAATAAACTAATACCAGAAGTACTTACATGTAACTTTTAGCTGGAGATGTAGGGGGTGCATTTCCAAAGTCCTTTCCCCCATAAAGGTGCCAAATGAGTGAGATTTCTTTCACAACGTAGCGCACCAAGGGGATAGGAAATCTCAACGGACCTTTGTTTGTGTCTGCCTTCTTTATTGGCAGACTGAAATGGTTCTCTTTTATCAGGATCGCATCATCAACCATCGTTTTCACTACTGGCTCTTCTACTTTATCCTAAAAGGTTACAGGATATTAAGTACATGCACATTAAATGCTATTTTTTTTAAAAAAAAAATCATCCATTTGTTGTTGTTTTTCTGTGGCAAAACTATAAATATTGCTTGGCTCCGAGTTGTTAGGTTTACTGCAGGTTTGTAAATAGGCACTTGCCTGTGGCCAGTGGCAAGAAAGAACGGCTTTCAAAATGACCAATTCTGCTAATTGGAAGGTAGCTGGAGACTAACACAGGTAAAATTTGGGGGCTAGCATTTTCTATTGATTTAGCTTGACTCTGCTTTAATCAAACAGAAGGGCTCGTTTCCCTTGCCCAAAGATAACTTCAAATTCTAACAATCAAAATACGAAAAACAGCACTTCTAATGCATATATAATACATAGCAGCAGACCTCATGCTATATTTTGCACAAAATGGCAACTACCCATTTCTCTATATATACAGCATGCTGGAGTTATTGCCCAATTTGAGCAACTGCCTTTAAGGTCGTTTAGCAATTGCATTATCAACCTGCTCTCCATGGATTTGTCATGTCACATTCCAGAAGGATGACCCAGTGAGAAGCTCTCCAGATCCAACAGACTGTCTTCATGCAACAGCTGTTAACCAAATCAGTTAACCTATGAGTTTTAAAAGGTATTTCCCCCCTCACATTTGATTTCTTATTAACATTAGGTTTTCCTTACAGAGACAACAGCTTTCGGTGCAAAAAGAATACAGAAGTCATCGTTTTCGGAAGGTACATCTCCTATCGCTTCATTAATCATATGGGGAGTGAATGAAGCATAAGTAGGACTTGGCTCCTGAGAGAGGTTCCCACTTTCATCAGGAAACAGGAAGAGATCTGAGCAAGTTGGTGCTGGCGTTTGTGTCTTTTCATCCAAAACTCCTGGGAGAAGAGAAACAAGACACTTCTATCAAGATTAAGCAGGTGAAGTACGAGAAGAAGGCATTTAACATAGGGTTGCCAGATTTCAAAAAGTGAAAATCAGGACAGAAAAAGTTTTGCCCAAAGTTGTTCAGCTTTTCTTTGGCAAATCCGCAAAAACCGTTTTTGAGCTACTTTTAGGAAAAATCAGCAAAACAGCACTGCCCACAGATTTTCATGGACATATTTCTGATTTCCACCCAGACACTGCTAGAGATAGCAATATTCCGCATATGTCTGGGAAATTCCAGACGTATGGCAACCCTAATTTAACAGGATTCATTTGAAATACTGTATTTAAACGGCATTTCTTTAAAAACAGAAGAAACCTGGAAAGATCTACCATTAGCTTGTGGCTTAGAGGGGGAAGTAAACTGCTGGGTTTCAATCTCTTCCATAGCATCACTCATTAAATCCCGTAAAATCTGTTGGTCAGCTTCTGCCAGGATTGGACCTTGGGATGATGGCCGGCTAGAGAAATCTGCCTGGAAGATAAGGAATACACCAATCTAAACTTATTAAGGAAATACAGTGCAGTTCTTGATAAATATCTGTAGCTATGATGCATGCTAGCTTAGTTTGCTACAAGTGTTGTTTCTCAACTTTACAAAAGTGATCTAGATCAGTGATGGTGAACCTTTTAGAGACTGAGTGCCCAAACTGCAACCCAAAACCCACTTATTTATCGCAAAGTGCCAACACGGCAATTTAACCTGTATATCTCTCTTTTTTCTGTGTTTCACGTTTCTTCTTTATGACTGCTGTTGTAATAAATAATCCTCCATAAAAGTTATTGCATTACATTCTTCATTAAATTATCTTTCCATTGATATATAATTTTATGATATAACTCAGTGCTTTTTTTTCTTAAAAAAAATGTTTAGGGGTACTCTCATTTTGACTCAATAAAATCACCACCGGGGTGGGGGTGGGGAATAAATACAGTTCAAATTGGGAAAAATAAATACAGTGGTACTTCAGTATTCGAACAGCTTAGTTCTCGAACTACTTGGAACCTGAACACTTCAAACCCAGAAATGAGTGTTCTGGTTTTGGAACGTTTTTCAGAAGCCGAACATGCTCTGTTCTGAGTATAACTTCCATTTTGGGTGCTACACATCTGTTTTCCTAGTGAGGGAAGGCAGGCTGGGCGGCAACCAAGCAGGCACCTGCCACCCTCCAGCGCTGGGTCCCGCTGCCGCCAGTACAACAGCAACCACCCCCTCCTCCAGCTCTGGCGGCCCCGGCGCTGAGTGAAAGAAGGCTGGGCCAGGGCGGCAAGTGAGCAGGCAAGGGATGTTGCCGTCACCCTCCCCCCCCCCAGCCTGCTCCTGTTTGCAGGCAAGTAGGAGTGGGGTTGGGCTGCTCCGCTAGGCAGCGTTGCTGCTTGCACGGGAACAGGAGCTGGATCGGGGCTGCTAAGATGGGGAGGTGTAGGCTCTGTCACACTTTGTTGAGGGGTTCACGGCTGCACTCCACTCAAGGGAGCCCCCACCTCCGCATCAGATCACCTGCAACCCTGTGAAGGCAGCCAGGCTGAATAGTTGCTGGCGTTGGGGAAGGTGGAGGCAGCCCGGAAGCTGCATCTGAGAGCCCCCGCACCACCTGAAGGCAGCCAGGAGCTGCCCAATCCCGCTCCTACTTGCATGCAAGCAGGAGTGGAGGCGGGGATCTCTGTGTGAAGCCTCCACTCGACTTCTGAAAGATCCCTGCCTCCACTCCCCGTGAGCCCTTTCCTCCTCCTCCTCCTCCTCCCCCCCCCTACTCCCAGCACGGAAGCTATGGCCCTGCTGGGATGATGGCACGCGTGCCCACAGAGAGGGCTCTGAGTGCCCTCTCTGGCATGCATGCCATACGTTCGGCACCACTGATCTAGACAGATTCAATGCTCCGGTCCAGAGGTTAGCTATTAATAATCAACCCTCCTAGTAGCCAATGCCGTCAGTTGAAGGAACCAACCCATCCACTTGGGAACCAATGTTAGGTTACAGTGGTACCTCGGGTTACATATGCTTCAGGTTACAGACTCCGCTAACCCAGAAATAGTACCTCGGGTTAAGAACTTTGCTTCAGGATGAGAACAGAAATTGCGCCGCAGCAGTGTGGCAGCAGCAGGAGGCCCCATTAGCTAAAGTGGTGCTTCAGGTTAAGAACAGTTCCAGTTAAGAACGGACCTCCGGAACGAATTAAGTACTTAACCCGAGGTACCACTGTATTTCTTTTCAAGCTAAACAAATTAACTGAAATTGTGATTGCTACCCCATATGACAGCTTTCAGAATATTTGCAAAATATTCTGACTACCAATACAAATAATGACATCTGAAAGCCAGCCCAGTCCATGCAAGGTAAGACATAGCCTATTGTGAATTAGTGGGGATAATAATCTTTTTTTCCCCCAAAAGCTTTGTGTAATTAACAGTTTTCACAACTGTGGACAAAGCTAGGCCATAAAAATTTATGGTGAATGGAAACAGAGAGAGAGAGAGAGAGATGCCTTTTCATACCTTAACATTTTGCTTGGTCGCTCCACAAGTATTCTCCATCTTCGCAGGCGGATTCAGATCACCATAACTTGCAATATACTGGATAAGATTCATTAACGCAGCACAGGAATCTGAGCACGTTCTAATGTGGATCACATCACTGGAACAATGGAGTTCAAAACGTGGCTTACTCTAAACAGACAATAATTCAAAATCATGTCCGACACCAGCAGAAGATGCACTTTTCTTAAGTCAGTCCTGAATGTACGATCAAGGAACCAGATATATGTGTTTAGAAAATGACCCAGTATGTTTAAGAACCAAAGTCAATTTCAATCACACTTTTTTGAACAAGTATCTCAAAGGCCAAAGCTTTATTATAAAAATGTAAAGGTAAAGGTACCCCTGCCCATACGGGCCAGTCGTGTCCGACTCTAGGGTTGTGCGCCCATCTTGCTTAAGAGGCCGGGGGCCAGCGCTGTCCGGAGACACTTCCGGGTCACGTGGCCAGCGTGACGAAGCTGCTCTGGCGAGCCGGCAGCAGCGCTGCACACGGAAACGCCGTTTACCTTCCCGCTATAAAGCGGTACCTATTATCTACTTGCACTTAGGGGTGCTTTCGAACTGCTAGGTGGGCAGGAGCTGGGACCAAACACACACACACACACACACACACACACACACACACACTCCAAAACTTAAACCAGACATAATTTAGCTTTTATATTTTAACTCAATTCCTTACTCTCTCTCCATCAGATCCAGGTTTCACTGCCCTTATAGTCAGTTCTAAGAGTCCCATGTCCATAACTCGAACATAATCTGAAGAAAACAAAATAATTATCTGCTAAACTCCTGAATTGCTGCTTATGCCTCATATTTAAGCCCTCAAATGCCTTCATGATGATGGATTGTTTTACGACTGAAACTCAAGCCCTTTCTAAACTACAGAAAATGAGTAGACAGCGCCCCCACCCTAGCTATGATTCTATCTGTTGTTTTTTTGTGTCTTATGAATGGGAATGATTTTAGAATGACTATTTTAGTGGCCAATTTTGGCTTGTGCTTCCATGGACAACTTTACAGTTGTCCAGCAATAAATCCAGAATTCATTAATATACTGGGATGCAGTTTGGCTATTTTATTCTAATATGTTGACCATAGCTAGACAAGAATCACATGCATGGGAAATTCAAAAAGACAAAGCTTCTTTCCTCCATCATGCTACATCAGACAATCATGTCCAGCTCAGCTAACAGTTGCTTAACATAAAAACACCTTTTAATATCCTTACTAGTTACTTGGAATTGTATGAATCCCTTTAAAAGCTGAAATGCACTTACCTCTTTGGAGATTCACTGCAACATTACACTTGTCAGACAGATGCAAAGCAGCCTCATCCAAGATTATTCTATAACAAAAAGGATGTTTTTTAAAGGAATTATATTTTCCAACAATTTTGTAAATGTTGAAAGAAATATAAGTTAAATGTGGGATTTGTTAAAGTTCTTAACAAACTTTACCTGAGAGTAGAAGATGATTTATCCAGTGCCACACTACTTGAAATGCTAAATGTTTCAACGGTAAGAAGTGATCTAGTTGGCAAAAACAGAGGCCTACCCAAAAATAAAAATAAAAAATTATTTGAAACATATTTGGAAAGCAAGTAGTTCAGAAATTCAAGTGACCATAAATAAACTTGACAAACTGAATATTAAAGCAACTGGTTCAGGACAACAGTTGACTTAATAGGCTGATTCAAACACTTTATTTGTTTAGCTTACCTATAATTCAGGGCACAACTCCAGAGATGGACGTGAAAAGTTGTAACAGAAGCTGGAGGATTATATCCCAACACAGGCTCATCAGAAATGTTCAAAAAATACAAAATCTACAATTACAAAAGTGTAAAGATAGGCCCACTGTATTCTAATCAAGTAAGGTAACATCAGCTGTCACTGAAAGATTTTGCAGACTATATAAAAAGGAGAAGAGATGGATAATATATTTATTGTAAAGGCATATTTTACTCAGAAGTACGGGGATTCCCAGTTATACAGGACTGAGCCACACAAAGCAAGCTTACAGCAACTGCAATACTCAGTAGGAATACTCTACGTTAGAACATATAGCCCCCCCCCCGAGAATGATCTCCAGATAGACCATAGAACATTTAGCAAATTAACATACCTGTTCATGCCAGCTTAAACCTGAAGGAAGTACTCTGTGTTGAAGAGTGGCTCCTCTTAGTCCAACAGCAACTAAAAACTCCTACAAAAACAAGTTCATCCAAAGTATTCATGTAAATACTTTCAGAGCATATACAGATATAGATATATAGATATTAATTTCTAAATACAAACCTTTGTATTGGTCTCCAACTTATTTGATTGTATCTTAACTGCAACAGACAACATGCTTAAGCAGTCCACTCCCACACCATCTGAGGAAGCCCTACTGAGACCTTCTTCTTCCGAAAAGTAAATAGTAGGCTCTAACCAATGGGGTGGCGTTGCACTTGGCAGCCTTACTTCAGATGGACAGACAACTCCATCCACCACGCCTGCAGAAAGACGGCTTTGTGGTTAGATGGTCCTTCAAAGACATTTTGAATTGAGGTACAAAAAATCCACATATTTTACTCTAAAACTTGCTAACATCTGGCTGATGCTCTAAACACCCAAACTTCGTTAAGTAAAACTGCAGGGAAGATTTCTAAAATCTTATCAATCATCAGCAATTTCTTCTGTTATGTATATTGACAAACAGAAATACTATACTTATTTTAAAAACAGAACAATGCATTTTGGAGTAGTTCTCTTCTAGGAAAGGCAGCCTTCAGAAATACCTGCAGACATCCAACACAACTTTCTTACTGTACAAATAGAAGGTTTCGCAACCATAGGTGTACTTAGAAAAAACTTTCTATATGTCAGCTCTGATTTGGTTGTTATTAGCAATTCACCCTCCTGTGTTTCACATAAGCACCATGACTAGCTCCTTAGACATATTATGAGTACATTTCTTTCCATATGCTTAAGGAATGCAGTAGTGGTGGATAAATTGGACTGCAGCAGACTTACATTTGTAAACAAGTAATAATTCCCAATTTGGATTCATATATTTGTAATGGGGGGACGGGACTGAAAGGCAAGTGCTCTAGAATATTAAATCAAATCAAATCAAATCAAAATTATTTGAGGAACATATATTGGAAGGAGGAGTTGCTTCTCACTGATCTTCAAACTGTAAGGCCCACAAACCCTAGCTGTCAAGGTTTTGTATAACTTGCTAGATGACAATCACTCATTTTCTCCCTTACTCAACCCCTTACCTTTTTATAGCTTGGAACACAAACATTATTTCTACACTGACATTTCATACCTTGATGATATAAGCTGAGGATACTGGAATGGAGACAGATGTAATGCTGGTCTTCAAAGCCTTCATACTTTGTCACACAGAACAGCGACCCACTACTGAACTCAAACCAAAATTCCCCATGTTTGTCTTCACATACACTCCCATCGTCCTGCTGGAGAAAGAATCAGAGAATTATAGGTTGTCTGAAAAGATTCCTCTGCTTAGTCCACACTTTATCTGAAGCAATCCCATCCTTTAAAACAAAAAACATCATCCCTAACATACTATGAACGATCAACGTGCTACCATAGTGGTTTATGCAGTATAGTCAAAATAACAACTCTAGTCAAGCTATTATGGGTTCTCTGACCCTAGATGTCATACCTTGACATCAGTGAATATTGACACTAATCCATGGTTAATGTTCAAAAGAACTGACAGAAAACTCTGCGTGTTCCTGTTCTGGGATTCAGTTTTTTTCTTTCTCCGGGAACAGTAGTTTGGATCAACGGTGGAAAAATATTGGAGTGTTTCTTCCTCAGACCCACTATCATCATCTACAAAAGGGAAAGCAAAAAACAAGTGAATCTTTAACCATGCACAAGAAACAGCTTATCATAGAAAGTGAAACCACATTTTTTAAAAAATAAGGATGCTAAAAAATAAGCAGATTTTAAATTTTCCTTCAGGAAGAAGTAAGTAACACCTTTATGTATAGTTTCTCCCTCTATCAATTCAGTAGCTTCAGCTGTATTAGAGATACACTTGGACTTTTATATGCTTAAACATAATAATTCAGTAAGATGTTTATAGTATATTACCATAGTGAATAGTAGATTTGAACTGACTGTCTTTACTGAATGTGTTGATCAACTGGCTGGCCACTGAAAGTCCAACACCGTAAGAAATATTTTCAAATGTTTCTACAGGAGATGGAGCTGTGGGTTCCCACAGTAATAAATCATTACTGATCCTACAAAGGGAGGGAAATACAGGCATATATTAATTTGAACCTGGAAGAACTTGAACAAAGGCAGGTCTGTGATCTGGAAAAATGAACTGAGAATGGGTTTATTTTATTTAACTTAACGAAATGTATATGACGCTTGATTACAGTAAAACACCTAAGTGGTTTACAAGCAATATTTAAATTACCTATGCAAAGCTGAAAACAAATACATAAAAATATTTAAGAGAGAATTAAAAGTAACAGGAAAAGATTGAAGCACATCAACTACTATGTATCTGGATGGGCTTGCCTAAGCAAAAATGCCTTAAGCAGGCACCCAAAAGACTACATTGAAAGCACCTGCCTGATGTCAACAGGCTGGGCAGACTAGAATACAGTCAAATCTTGGTTCTTGAAAGGCTCCCTTTTCGAAAGTTTTGGATCCTGAATGCCGAAAACCCGGAAGTAAATGATCCGGTTTTCAAACATTTTTCAGAACCCGAACACCCAACGTGGCTTCTGCTTGAATGCAAGAAGCTCTTGCAACTAATCGGAAGCCGCGCCTCGATTGTCAAAGGTTTCAGAAGTTGAGCGATCTTCGGGAACGGATTACATTTGACAACCGAGGTTTGACTGTCTGGATTTATTACAACTATGGAACAGGCATTACAGTGGTACCTCGGGTTACATACGCTTCAGGTTACAGACTCCGCTAACCCAGAAATAGTACCTCGGGTTAAGAACTTTGCTTCAGGATGAGAACAGAAAGCGTGCTCCTGCGGTGCGGCAGCAGCAGGAGGCCCCATTAGCTAAAGTGGTGCTTCGGGTTAAGAACAGTTTCAGGTTAAGAATGGACCTCCAGAACGAATTAAGTACTTAACCCGTGGTACCACTGTATGTGGAACCTGTAAAGGGGCTAGTGGTGATCCTAGCCCAAAGCAGGAAAGGGAAGTGAGAGGTGGCATTAGCTGTAGGGTGGAAGTGGTGGAAAGAGCTTTCCCCTGCCTTCTGCTCAAAAAAGGCCTCCTCTGGATCCAAATCATGGGTCACGCAAACCATGAAAGCTAGCGCTTATACTTACCGATTATATAGCTTTTCATAAAAGGTCTTGTTTGGGAATGTTAAATACACATTTGGTAACATGAGCTCCAGTACATAATGAGAATTGCTGATTGCTTTATCCTGAAACTCAGTCATCTCCAGTGCGTCTCCTGGCATCACCATCTAGAAATAAAAACATCATCTCAGGTATAATCTGTGGTTATTATTAGCCTTCCTCAAACATGTCTCAGTGCAATGTACAAAATGCAATGACAGAGCAACTAAAAACAACACAGGAAATAACAACAGAGTAAAGAACAACATATTACTTCATATTGTTTTTAGATGCTCATGTAAGTTACACAGGCTTGCCTTGGGGAAATGGTTTGCAGTGATTTGTTGAGACCATACCAACTAACCAAACAGCATAAGTTGAGCAATTTACGATGGCTAATTATTTGCTGAAACTGAATACAGCAACTGGATGCAAAAAATGCCATACAGATAAGCCCTTTGTGCTTACTTCTTCATTCTCAAACATGACTCGACGAGAGGAAAAGGGAGACGGCTTTGGTCTTCTAAGATCACACACGTCCTTCAGGGAGTGAGATCCTCCTTCTTCCTCTTCTTGAAAATGACCATCAACCTCCTCTTCATCCTCAGGAGCTATCCTTTCCAGAATGGAGTGCACAGCCAGTGGGTTTATTTTAAGTACAATCCTAATAGTCAAATAAAAGGAGGAAACTGTGACTAATTTGTGGGGGTGCAATAGAAAAAATACACCCTTGTGCAAGATTGTGCAAGAGGAAACATCTGCTGACTTGTTCCCCCCCACACGCCTGGGTCACTGTCGCGCTGCCTAACCGCAAAGCTTATGCGGCTGTCATGCTGTCTGGAGTTATGTCCTGGTAGAGAATAGTTATTCTAAGAAATGCAAACCCTAGCTGTTTTCCACCCGAGTGCTACACGTGTATATGCAACATGATGTAATGTGCGCAAGGCTAATAAACAGGCAAGGCTGCTGGGGGAGAGAGCTCACTCCTTGCTTAAACCTTCACCCATGACTCTTCGTCATTTTTCCTCCGCACCTGGTGGGCTGGTTCCCCGACACTAATTCCAGAAATAGTTACGTGTTTTGTGGCAATGAAAAGGTTCTCATAAAAGTTTCTACAGCTATTTACGACACACACAAAATCTATTTCCATGTTATATAAATGTACTTCCCCTAAGTAGACAGAATATGTGTCAAGCATGAATTGTTTCTCAGCTTTCTGCAGTTCCGAACCCTGTGTATTAAGAGTGAGGAAGACCAGTCTCCTGGGCAGCACTGAAACACTGGAAGTGACTATATAACTGATATTAACAAACTGGATGTGCTTATAGTGGGGGAAATAAGAGTACCTTTAGTAACCCTTAGTCCTACAGTAGAAAGAGACAAGCATGGGTTTATGCTGGATTAATAAAACCTCCTCCTGAGTGTTCTCATTTTATCTCAGACATTAAATATATTTTCCAAATGAGACCCACACTGTCGTCTTTTCATTATAGTTCTGTTATTTCTGCTGTTTTGCCAAATACTGTCAAAAATAGTTTTTAAATGTCTACATATTATAGTTTTTAGTAGTGGTTATGATGGCCTTGGGTCTATGGAAGAGCAAGAGCGGTCACATTCAGGCCATAATCATTGATGGGAGAAAAACACCATTCCAACATCAAGAGTACTTAATTACCAGACCAACACAACCTAGATTTGATTTAACTCTGCTCTAAACAGTTACAGTTTTTTCAGCAGCAGCACATCATAAGCGGTTAGGATTTACACAGAGAACAAATAGTATTTTGTTTTACCGTGGCCAGTCAAAGTTGTCTGATGAGATCATCTCTCCAACTACACCACTGGAAACTTGAAAAAATTGTACAGCTGATTCCTCTTTGCCTTCTTGAAATGATGCTATGGTGAAACCGGAGAAGATTATGTTGTGCATGCCTAGGACTAACTGCATAGCCATTTAATCATGAAGAGATTAGTTTCTTCATTTAGCAGTGACACAAAATCAGCCTTTTTGAAACAATTTTTCCTTTTCCATCACAAAGAATGGAAAAGTAGCTTCTTGTTAGCTCTGAAAATAATTTAGATAGTGAACTCCTCCGGCATCAAAAGAGGATTGCAGACTACTATGATTACTCAAGACCAAATATCTCTAACTATCATGTAACAGTTGTGTCTCAAATGCCAAAGATTTATTGGGCTTTGTCTAAAGTTGCAAAAAAAAAAGTAACAAGCGAATTTCCCTGTAATCTCATATGCTATATATATGAAAACTGTCTTCCTTTCCATTCTCTCCGAAGAAAGTCTGCATATTCCTATAATAATAGAAACTGGAACAATAAATAAGTATCATCTTACTAATAGGTCCCTCATATTGCCCAGGAACAACGTAGCTACAACCAGGATTTTGGGTGGGTAGGTGCAACAATACTAAGCGGTGCTGAGTACCAGCAACCCTTTTTTTCACTTCCCATGCCAGCCATTTTGTGCTGGCATCCACTGTACTTTTATCAATATATGGCACCTCAAACGAAAAGCACTGGCTACAACCATCTATTGCAACCAATAGAGATCCCTTCGCTTACCAGTTAGCTCTTTAAAAGTGAGCTCTAATTTAACTTGCTCTGGAGTTGGTCCTCCTGTAAACTCGGTTTTGAGTTCCATATCTGCAAATTCTAAATGAAGAATTTCTTTCTGAAGCGATTTCTTGAACCAAGGTCCTCGTTCTGGGTCTGACCGCAGGTCAGGAATTGGGAAGCGAACTGAGAGCTTCAAAGCTGGTGCAGTCACTTGTACCGACATTTTGCAATTTGCAGGAGTACGGGAATCGTCCAGGAAAACTTCAGCAAATGCCTTGTGCTGAAACAATTGCAAAGTAAGGGGAGGGCAAACAAATATTTTTAGAACAATTCTGAGGGGCAAAAAACACAACTTGAGGGGCAACATCCAATGTCACATGAGCAACCCCTTCCAAATTTTCTTTGGAGCACACACACCAAACTTTCTGGAGTGGATTTTGGAGGTGTGCAGGGAAAGGAAGAATCTATTCCGGCAATGGTGTCCATTCTGCTGGCTAACAGACACAGCTGAATTTCACATCTCACAAGGTTTTGGATCACCTCCCACCTTCAAGAGACGCTTTGATGGGGATTCAAGCACGGCAGTCAAAAGCAGTTATGTCCACAGTCCATTGCGTTACAGCAAACATGTACAATTTAGTATAAATTATACAAAGTCACAGTCATTTTTAATGCTTCATTGTACATTTCAAGCACTCTTAACAGTATTTGTTGTTTAATGTGGGAGCACTGGCTAAAGCCAATTAACAAAGGTCTAAGCAAATAGCTGTTATACTGCAAAAAATGGTTCATCATAGATCAAATAACGCTGGTACAACTTTTGTTCCATCTCGCCTCCCTAAACTTTTCAATGAAGTTCACACACTGAGTTGCAATTAATCAACTTCTGAGTGGGACAAAACCTTGCACTGTAAAATTATTTATTAAATTATTTACATGGAAGTGTGAACCTGACAGATAAAAGCTGCCACATGCCATCTTGTCATTTTCCTTTTATCAGTGATAAAATTACAATTACTTTACCAGGCTAATGTGTTTGTTGTAGGAGGTGTACATGTGTGATGCCATCATCTCCACTGTGGTTAACTTCTGCGGCTGAAGCAGTGAATTTAGTCTGTCCACAATGCTGATATCTAATTCGCAGAAAGCTGGACTCAACTTGATTTGCAAATCTGCTTTTTGGGGGACAGAGCTCAATCTCCCTTGGCTACCCTGTCACACACAAAAAAATAAAAATAAAAAGTCAGTGGCAAAATACAGAATTTTCTACAGAGCTACATACACACAACTTGGAATAAAGATTTCAATTATTTTTGTTCAAAATATTTTCTGATCTACCTGAGGCCCTCTGTTATCCGAGTGCTTGTAATGGAGCTGAAGGCAGGAGAGAGGGTGCAGCTTGTTTCCTTGTCTTTCAGAGTTAAACATTAGCAGCTATAGCAAAATAAAAGGCAGTGGTGAAATGCAAGTATATTTCACAAGTAATTAAAATCCCTGCATTGCAGGGGGTTGGACTAGATGACCCTCAGGGTCCCTTCCAACTCTACACTTCTACAGAAAGCAAATACATTGATTAGGGAGGAAGACAAAATTATCTACTAGAAGGTCACCTCATTCAATTTGTTTCTCTACCAGATGATCTGCTGTGGTCTAATCCATTACAGACCTTCGGTATTTTTTGACATTTTATGAGTCGTCTAGAGAAACTTGCAGTGACGCAACAATTGTATTGCCAAGATGCCATCTCTCTTTACACTACAAGCTGGATGTGTAAAGAGAGAATATGGAGCTTTGGGAAATTTAAAAGACAAAGGAGAAGTAGTCCAGCAGAACCAGGGGTCTTCTTATCATGCTCTGGTCAGTGATGTGAAGAGCGTCCAGGAAGGGATGGAGTAATTCTGGAGTATTATGCACCAGGGGCATCCCTAAACCCCATCACCAGGGTCAACAAAATTGACCTTTACCTGGAGCCAACTTTTCTATATCCTAGTAGCTGTAGCCTTGTGCTGACAGCAGGCCCTTTGATCCAACAGAGGCTTCTGCCAGCAGAAATGGGAGGTTAATATTTTTTTTGCTGATTCCTCTTCACCTGCATTGCTGTGCCACCTGCCACACTGTTCTAAATAGTCCCCAACACTCTGGAGCAGATTTTGGGGACACGCAGAAGGGGCGGGCGGGCGGAGGATAACTCAGCAAAAATCACCTCTCTCCATTCTGTTGACAGAAGCCTCTGCGGGAGCAAAGAACCTTCTGACAGCACAGGCGATAACACTGGACATAGCCCTTGGGATGAAAATATATCATTTGCAGCTGACAAGAGAAACTCTTGCTGAGCTACAGTGCTGATAAAACATGCACTCAGGCTATCCAACTGCTCCTTTAATACTAGAATGTGGAGTGACCCCAATTCCACAAACAGTACGGCACATAGTACAAAAGCTTGCAATATGCGAGATCCTTCCCACACAACCTGAAGCAAGAGATATTTAATCTCCGAGCCTAATTTAAAGTGAAATTTCTAATCGAACGGCTCAAGTTATTGAAAAATTCCAGTTGTAGCACAAAGTGCCAGGTTCAACTAACTGGTCCCACTAGTTGAAGCCCATGCAAGGATTGCCACTAGTGCAATGCGGTCCGTCCCCACCCCTGCAAAATTGGCCCAGTGTGGAGGTGTCAAAAGGACCTCCAGAACAGCATGAGAGGGGAAGAGTTTGGATTTGGATTTGATATCCCGCTTTATCACTACCCGAAGGAGTCTCAAAGCGGCTAACATTCTCCTTTCCCTTCCTCCCCCACAACAAACACTCTGTGAGGTGAGTGGGGCTGAGAGACTTCAGAGAAGTGTGGCTAGCCCAAGGTCACCCAGCAGCTGCATGTGGAGGAGCGGAGACGCGAACCCGGTTCACCAGGTTACGAGTCCATCGCTCTTAACCACTACACCAAGCTGAAATGCTTGTGCTGATTGAACATCTGGAAAAGTGTGACATTGAATTCCTCCCCAAATAAGCATTACTATGGAACACTTGGCCACAGAACTCGGTTTACTTGAAAGCAAATATTCATAGGACAGTACTATTGGAGCATTAAGAGTTTTTGCAATGCATTTCAATAGCTTGTGTTAAGTCATAAGGATTTCTACCTCTGTATAGTGAGGTATGTCAGAATGAGAGTCCATGGAAAAGAGGCACTCCAGAAGTTCCATCTGTCCAATATATAAATCTGTACTCAAACAACGGGAAGCCGATCTCTGTCTCTGTTCATAGGACACTTTGATGTCTGTGCCTATAAACCTATGGCGAGAAACAACGGTATAAAACTGCATAAACTGAACACCTATAGTCATTCTGCATTGAAAATTATTTAAAATATCATAAAAATACATCAGTCATTAAATTGCCAATGTCACTGAAATAAAACAAGGAGAAAGATGCAATTTTGCAATCGTATTCCAACACATGCTAATGCTTAATTCCTTGCCAAACATACAAAGATGCGTTAACAGAAGATAAATAATGAACTTATTTATGTAATAGCCCCCCCCATCACTACTGACATCTTAATTCGCATTGCCAAACAAACATCCATGTCCTTCCTCCACTGTAGAAGACTTTTGAAATTAAATGCAGTGATTTCCAATACAACATTGCCAAAAACCAGCTTTCTGGCAGCTGATGCACACACAAAGGTTATTCATTAATTTCCTGTAGCGAATGCTACAGGATGCTGAACCCTCTACTAAAGTCAACGGCAAAGCTCACTTCTTGTAGGACTTGTGTGCAAGAAGGGCAAATGAATTTCTGAATCTGAAATTATTCAAGAAAGAGATCTGCTCGTGACCACACCAATCTATATTTAGCATGGTTCAGTACGAATCTTCTAATGCCTATATAGAAGCCTATACAGTCGTACCTTGGTTCTTGAACAGAATGTGTTCTGGTTCGACTCCCGGAACTGTTCAAAAACCAAGACACGGCTTCTGATTGGCTACAGGAGCATCCTGCAGCCAACTGGAAGCCGTGGGAGCCGTGCTGGACGTTCAGCCTCCGAAAATCATTCGAAAACCGGAACACTCACTTCTGGTTTTTGATCGTTTGGGAGCCGAAACGTACGAGTTCCAAGGCGCTCAGCAGCCAAGGTACGACTCTATAGTGAAATAACAGCTGTGCTTACACAAAGCAGCAACCATCAGTTAACTCAGCCATCTTGCAAAGACTCATCCTTTCCCTGATCCATACGATCGGAATCTGTTTAATGTGTGTAAATTTCCTATCTTCCTGTATGATTAGATTTCATTTGCTTTTCTGCTGCTATCTTACTGGCTTTAGGTTGTATTTGTGTTTGAATAACACTAATTGTCCTTGCATTGTACGCTGCTTAGAGATCTTACAAATATTAAGCGCTTTATAAATGCTTTTAAATAAATAGTTAATCTTGCATAGAGAGAAAAAGAATTCTAACTTATTTTGTGGTGGTGACTTGATGTGCACCAGGCACAACCCCACTAACCTACAGTGTCTGCTGCTGCAATAATTAAGGGATGGTGGTAACTATCCCCTTATCTACCAGGTATACCTTAGCCTCTCAAGTATGTTCCAACAACACTCATATCAAATATTTACTGAGCAAGCTCAAGTTGTCACAGAATTTATGCATTTTGTTTGCTATGTTAGCAGATGAATAAGCAAAGTTGTACCTAAGGTGATCATGTGAACAAGCCTTTGCAAATAGTTCTCGGAAGGACAGAAAATCTTCTGTTGGAAACTTAACTGGATCAACCTTTTCTATGCGGGTAAAAAAATCCTGTGCCATTGGTGTAAGTGGACTGGCATTCAGTGACGTTTCAGGGGGTGGCAAAGGATCAATATGAAGTACCGATACTGAGAAAACACCCACTGCTAGTCGAAAAAGAAGTTCAGGCCTGGATTCATCCACTGAGACAGATCTGGATGGAAGAGCTAAAGGGAGGGGAAAACATGTTTAAAGGTAATATACAGTAGGTCTGAGTGTATGTGTTGTGTATGTATGTGTATAAACACACTTTTTTATATATAGTGCAGTCTCAATGAGTTCAATAGGACTAATTTTCAGGTAAGTGTATGAAGGATTGTATCTCTGACTAGTAAAAAAGTTGTTAAGTATTAAATTTGCTACAAAGATACAATTTTTTTTAAAAAAACCTCTCCATTTAAAATAATAAGTTGCTCCGATTTGATTGGCACAAATTACAAATAAAAACAACACTTTCAAACATATGGTGGATTTCAATATGCTCAGATCTCCTTACAGATTACAGATAATAAAATGTGCAAAATTAAAACAGACTTCTTGCTTAACGTTCTGTTCTGAATGTATTCCCACAAAAGTAATACTCTCCTTTTAAACCAAAGCCACGTAAAGTAGTGGAGACTTTCAGGCCCAGGGGCCAAAAATGGGCCTCTCCTTCTGGCCCTTGGGTCTGCCACACCCTAATTGGTCCTGCAGACTTTTGCCAGGCGGGAAGAAAGCTGGAGACACGACCCCCACCCCACCCAGGACACGGACCAGTCTTTGATTTCACTGTTCGGTTGTCTTTGCTTTTGAGGAACCATTGGAACCCTTGCCTTCCTTGAAAACATTGACGAAAGGGCTGGGATTGGAATCTAAAGTCCCCTTGCCTATTTTGGATTCGAAGGGGGCAAAAGGACTGAGATTGAGAAGCGTTTGGTGAAAAACGACTGGCTGGTTGTTTGTTATCTCTTGGCAAAACTTTCCTTTTATTCAGTAAGGACATCTTTCCTGCTCTACATCCTCCTGAAGTGCTTCTGCTTGGCTGAAGTGTGTCCTTGAACTGATAATGTCTCTTAGTTGCCCGGTGTGAGTGGTAACCACTGACTTACTCATTCCTGGAAAGCAGTCTTATTATACTAAGGTAAAAGGGGGTGGCGCTGTGGGTTAAACCACAGAGCCTAGGACTTGCCGATCAGAAGGTTGGCAGTTCAAATCCCCGCAACGGGGTGAGCTCCTGTTGCTCGGTCCCTGCTCCTGCCAACCTAGCAGTTCAAAAGCACGTCAAAGTGCAAGTAGATAAATAGGTACCGCTCTGGCGGGAAGGTAAACGGCGTTTCCATGCGCTGCTCTGGTTCGCCAGAAGCGGCTTAATCATCCTGGCCACATGACCCGGAAGCTGTACGCTGGCTCCCTTGGCCAATAAAGCGAGATGAGTGCCGCAACCCCAGAGTCGGCCACAACTGGACCTAACGGTCAAGGGTCCCTTTACCTAAAAGTCACATTTGCTTCTGGCCCCAACCACCTTGACTTGTTTACTTACAAGTCCTTCGCAGTGGAGCTGAGTGGATGACACTAGGTGTAAAGGATGAACCTCTTACGTGTGGCGGTTCCTGTTTGTTTTGATCAAAACAGTCTCCCCAGGCTGGCTGCTGCTAAAAGGAAAAAGAGAGAGCTGGTTGTTACACCTGTACATCACCTCAACTTAACTAATGTAACAGAAAATGAACCTCAACATACAGTGGTACCTCTGGATATGAACGTTTCTGGTTGCGCATGCGTCAGGCTACGAGCTGCGCTAACCTGGAAGTAGTTGCTCCCGGATGTGAACTTCGCCCCGGGATGCGAGCAGAAATCGTGTGCCAGAGGCGCACGTGCAGCGGGAGGCGCGCTTTCACTTAATGGCGCCTCATGTTAAGAACAGTTTCAGGATAAGAACGGACCTCCAGAATGAATTAAGTTCGTAACCAGAGGTACCATTGCATATTATCGTTATGACATGTCATTTTGTAATTCTGCTGTTTCCATACTTTAAAAAACCCACTCAAAGGTTGCTACATGTTGCCTACAGGGAAAGATCAGTGGTCCTCTTTACCTAGTGCCATAGATGTGCACAGCAATTTGCAGAGGACAAGTTTTTGCCCCGAGAAGCTTGTACCCTAACATGGCTTCCCCCTGGGTCTAGAGAAAGGAAAGCAGGGGAAGAATATTTAGTTAATTCAGTAATATGTACTTAGAAATAGTTTCAGTAGGTCATGGGAATTGGGGGGCTGTGCCAAAGGCTTCATAGGAAAATTAGCTTTATAACTGTGGGAGGACGTAGGATATTAGTTGCCACCGTGAGATCAAATATGTACATCTAAAGGGGAAGGGTCGAAACTCAGTGGTAGAAAGCAGGTTCTGCATGCAAATGGTCCTAAATTTAATCCCTGATATCTCTCTATCAGGACTGGGAAAGATTCCTGCCTGACACATCCTACAGCCTCTGCCAGTCAGTGTAAACAATACTAGATGAGCCAATAGCCTGACTTGGTGTAATGCTACTTTTCATTTTGTCAAATATAGTCAATACATCGAATTTCACAGAGCTTTAAACTGAAGCATTTCTTGGTTGCATTGTCAAATTATCTCACCCACCGGCACTGGACCTATTGACATCACAGCAAATGATGTCACACATGACATCATAGTGTCATGGTGAATTAGGGGAAAGATGTGAGGTTTCAATGTAGCTATAGTGCCTTCACTGAGATGCTGTTTAAAAAAAAAATCATCCTGTAGCAGACACTCTTTGGGATGATGGCTACAAGGGTATGAAACTGGCAGGCAGACAACCATGCACAACAGTGATTAGTGCCACTGTTTTAAAAAGCACATATGATAAAAATCATAGGAACATAGAAAGCTACCTTATACAAAGCCTGGTCAGAAGTGCATCTAGCTCAGTACTATCTACACTGAGTGGTAGCTGCTTTCCAGGGTTTCAGACATGACACATTCCCCACCCTTCCTGCAGATCCTGGGGACTGAACCTGGGCCTTTCTGCATACAAGCAAACTGCTCTGCCACTGAGCTATAACCTTTCCCCTCTTCATTTGCTCAAAGACAGTTAAAGACAACCTACCACCGCAGCGCCATGGGGAGATCCTGCAGGCGTATTAGTGTATGTACTAGTTAAAGAAAGGTCTAAATCCATAGTTGGTGGGTCTCCAAGCGGTGGCAGAGAGGAAAGACTGTGAGACATCTCCATGTCAGCCATCGAGAAAAACACTTCTTCTTCTAATAGGAAAAAAAAAAAGATATCATCTTGTGTGATTTGTTCACGATGAAAAACATTTAGGTCAACTACAGCACACCAAAGCATGAATGAGATGGTAATGCTTCTTTTGCCTATCCCACCTTTCCCTGGAAGGTGCCTGCATCACCTCTCATTCCGCCCCCGCCCCCACTCCCAGGAGCAAATTTACAGGGTGCTGCAGTGAGAAGGGAGAATCTGTGACCATCACCTACCTGCTCCATCCTCTAAGTCTGCAGTTCTCAACCTGTGGGACTACAACTCCCATAATCCCTGAGCTCTGGCCTTGCCAGCTAGGAGTGATGGGAGTTGTATTTCAACAACATCTGGGGACCCACAGGTAGAGAAAGGCTGCTTTAAGTTGAGCAGTACTGCAACCAAGAGCAAATCTTGCTCCAAAGCAAAGAGGAAACCAAAAAGCACCCTACGATGTTCAATTGCTCACCCCGGCTTGAAGGAGTTCTGGCTGCCTCCGTCTCATAGAAACTCGGATCAGACTGTGCTCCTGTTGGCAATGTGTCTTTTCTTAAGTAGCGGTTGAGCTCCATCTGAATCCGATATTCATCTTCCTGCTGCATTGGCCGGTTTCTCCTATCTTTATTGCACAATTCTATTCTGCTAGGATTCTCTGTAATTGAAAACAGGGTGTGGCAACTTGACCTCCGATTCAATTCCCAAGCCCCAGAGACATCCAAACACCAAATAATTTCCCCCAAACAACAACTCATTTAGTTGTAAAAAAAAATCACACTTTAAAAAAAATGCTACCTAAAAGAAAACTAACTCCAAGCAACATTTCCATTTCACAAAGAAAGGCACTCAACAGAATTTGTGTGAACATTTTGAGCACTTTAGGTTGAAATGTTTTTCTCTCAATTTCAGGCTTGCCTTAAATTAGCAGAAGGGCTATTTTGAGGTTTGTTTGGATTTTTTTTAGAATATAGGAAGAAATATGTTAGAAATTTGTGTACAAAAGGAACAATCTGGCATACAAGGAGGGAATAAAGTTTCCTGATTTGAGAATTTCTCTGTTTAAGAAAAATCTATTAAGCATTACTTTAAAATACACTATTTACTTTTTGGCCAGACATCTTGAATCTTCTTTCGTTGCCTAAACAACTAGCCCTCTGCATGGAAGTGTATGAGGAAGGAGAAAGGGAAACAAACATTTATCATCCCTTACAGACTTTCAAAAAAGCACAACAACACTGATGAAGACTAGATAAAATCTGCATGAGAAAAATACGTTACTAATATTAATCACAACTATGGAGCTACTAAACTGGTTTCAGATCCTTTTGGCTATTTCCAATTCTTATTAGCTGCTTTCAGAAGGAGGAACAATACAAATCTACTTACGAGAAAGTTCCCCCCAACGTAAGATTTTCTTTAGACTTTTTGAAATAAAAGTAAAGCTTCAGTAATTTAGGGCCAATCTAGTCAAAGCGTTTTAAAAACCCTTGGGTTTCAAAGGAGGAGTTCTAAGGGTGTGCTTTCCTCTGCAGTTCAACATATGGGATTTAAGAGTGTTTAACTTTAAAGGTACACTTTTGATACTGCCCTTAGTCTAGAGATTATTCAAAACCTTGAAATAGTGCAACGTGTTTAATGCAGTGATCACACTCTTTCTAACCACACAAGGCAATGCAACTTTGGCTCACCTGGTCCAGCGATAGCTGCTAACATATCCAGCAGAAGATGTACCTGTCTGGGTGACAGGAATAGGTGTATCGAATCTATCTCTCCATCTACATCCAACTTAAGAAGAATAAAGAATATATTCAAGAAATACGGATCAGAAGAATTCTTTCTTTCCATTTCTCGGATTATGTACTGTCTCACCATTGAACCAAAACAGATATTTCATTCCCAGCTTTAATTCCTTATTATTATTGGTCTGTATACACACTATATTCACCCAAAGACTGATAGGGTATCACAACACAGCATTTAAATTGTTTTGGATACCAGTATTAGGTCCACACTTGGATGCTTATAATGCTTACTTTGACATCTCTGCATTGAAGGGGCATTTGCATACTCAGAATCTACAAGGCAGTTTGTGCTTCTGGGCCTGTTTGTACAATTGCCTGACAATTTTAAATCTGCAGCTGAGGTTTTCAACATTGGACTGGACTCCTGTGAGATCTCTTCCCAGATCCTCGCCTACTACCACAGAAAGGTGAGCTTGAAAGGCCGATTCACACTGTAAGTTTTTTAATTCATCTTTTTAAAATGTTTATAACCTGCTAGACAGATACAACACATGAAACAGGCCAGCCATACAATCATTAGTAATGAAATTAAAAACACAACATTCAAAATAAACCAAGGCAGAATACTTGACTAACCCTGGTAGCTAAGATGGCATTGACAATGTTACAAAATGTACTGGACATGCTGAAAAGGCCTGGACTTTCAGTTCAACAGTAAAATATGCTCTATATTACAACAGCATTGCAGCAGTTCCCAATTGCTGACATATAAAACTCTTGGCAGTTGCAGTATATGTAAGTTGCCAGACATAGCACAAAATTGTATGAAGATGCACAGAGGCAAACCATTGTTTCCTCTTCAACTTTAGAATTCCATCTCTCATTCCCACTCTGTAGAAATCAGAACATATTCTAATACCAACAGACTTTTTACAATAAAAACAAACAATATTCTGGGTCTTTATGATAGGATAAATTCTCTGTTTCTCTTTTTCCTTTGACCCAGTAATTTCTTCTTTTACTGCCTGCTCCTGCGACAGATGCCAATGGCAGCACATCCTGCCAAAAGGAAGCCCAAAAGAAGCTCTAAAAAGTAACCAATTCCTTCCAAATGGCTTCCAAAACATTTCATCTCACCACCTTTAAGCAACAGGGATCACTTAACTGTGTGTATCTTAGAGACAGCATTAGTTGTCTGTGAGCAGCAATTCCTCAAAGAATTGCTTATGTTTACATCAGAAGCCTTATCGCTTTCCTGTTACATGTAGACTTATGTAATGAAGCTTTCTTGTTTTGGTTGATTTACACGATGAGCTAAATCCTGACTTGTCTGTTCATCCAAACCTAATCAAGTTCATTATAACTTGTTAGGAACAAAAATACTTCATGATCTATACAGTGCTTTGACATTGGTTTATGAATCTTGGCTTGCACTAACTGTGGTTTGTTATTATGCCTGAACTCTGCATCCAAATTTATTCCTCTGTATTTACTCATTTATTTCTCACCTTTCCTCCAAAGAGCTCAAGGTGGTGTACATAGTTCTCTCCCTTTCCATTTTATCCTCATAACAGCCCTGTGAGGAACATTAGACTGAGAGATAGTGACTGGACAAGGTCACCAAGTGAGCTTCATGACTGTGTGGGGAATTGAACTCTGCCTGGCTACAGAAATGGAATGTGAGAGAGACGAGAAAATCAAACCCATCACATGGCTAAGAGATTCTTCCTGGGTATCCTTTCCCCACCTTCCTCTTTACTCACAAGCTCTCTCTCTGCATCTTAGCTGCCTAGTTCCACAGTAGCCTTCTGAGGAAATTATTCTTATTTCTCTTAAAGGATGAAGGGCACTTTCTCCCAATTCTAATAATGATATATATATTAACTGGGGTTTTTCCTCTCTTACCAAGCTGTTATCAGAAGTTCAACAGATACAATTAGTTTCATCTAAAAGCTTCCCCTAAACACCAATGCCAACCCCATACCCATTTCCCACTAAAGTATTTCTGCAGCAACCCGTCTACCTCCTTTTAGATCCCACGGACTCCAGTTATTTTCTGCTTGCTCACCAGTAATTTGACTACTGAAAAAAATGAACCATTACTGAAAGAGCAGGCACAAAATGAAGGAATTTTGTTCAGGACTGTTGGAGGGAAGGGACTAATACAAAAAGATAGCAATCCTTCTTAGGGAGGTACCTATGAATGGGGAAGAGAGGGACATTTTTTGACTTTGTTTTGCCTTAGGGTCATGCTGCAAGCCGCCACGGATTTCGGAGGAGATGAGTTTTTTACTTCCCCGCCCTGTTTTGCAAGTGGCCAACGGTTAGAGAACTGGTGATCCTTTGGACCCCATAAAATACTTTCATATAGCAGCTGTCCATTCACAGAGGCAGTGCAGGGTTGGGTGGAAGACAACAAACCACCAAAGGCGACAGCTGTATATTAGGTTTGCTTGAATGTGAGCTGGATTCCAGCCTCCTCAATGTATCATGGCCAAAACAAAGTATGACTTAGCTTTCTATCAGAATGCAGCCACTGATGTATTAGGAAATCAAACCAAAACAAAGGTCACAGGGTGAATACAATCTGTGCCTGGCCATCCACTGACTAAAAGGAACATTCAGTAGCAGCAGGAGCACCTGCATAAAGAGTGGCAGAGTGGCAGCTTCCAGGTGCCCACACTACAGTTACCTTGCTTCTGTCCTGGGCTGGTCTTTATGCTGAATCCAGGAGAGAGGAAGCAAAAACTAGCATGCAGTAGTTGCTTGCATGCTCTGAAAATTTTCAAGATGCTTATAAATGTCAGTTGTGCAATTGCCTGGAGATCTAAACATGCCTACCATTCTCCCTTTTTCAGGCCCACCAAATTGGCAAGGAGAGTTCAGCTGTGTGCATCAAGGAAAAAGAGGAATAGGGAATAAAGCAAGGTATCACCTCAAGCCTTGGAGTAACACATAACAAGCGGGAAATGCATGACTGCAATTTTTGTCTACAACCGAACTCCTGCCCTGGCAATCTGATCACATGTCTTTTACCTGTAATGCATGAAGCTACAACTAACCTTTGCTCCTGGAAGCACTTCATTTTGTTTTAATGTAAGGCTCAGTTCCATCCTTCCAATCAGCTTACATATTTGCACAGGATCAGATGGAGAAACCTCTGGCAAGTTTCTTGCTAATTGTGGGTGTGGTTCATACACAATTTTTGGGTTCCAGCTAGGTGAGAGCTTTGGTTCTGTTGCCTTTAAAAGAAATACAAGGAAAGGCATTAATTCCATAACACAAATGGACTATTTTATACTCTTAAATATGGCATCTCATTTTAATGAACATACTGATTGTCAAACTGCACTTGATGAACTCATAGCATTACTTTGTTACATTTGTATCTTCTTTCCTCTAAAGACCTCCAAGTAGCAATTTTAGATTCTAGTAAAGGTAAAGGGACCCCTAACAATTAAGTCCAGTCACAAACGACTTTGGGGTTCCGGCGCTCATCTCGCTTTACAGGCTGAGGGAGCCGCCGTTTGTCCGCTTCTACAGACAGTTTTTCTGGGTCATGGGGCCAGCATAACTAAGCTGCTTCTGGCGAAGCCAGAGCAGAGCACAGAAACGCCATTTACCTTCCCGCCGGAGCGGTACCTATTTATCTACTTGCACTTTGACGTGCTTTTGAACTGCTAGGTTGGAAGGAGCAGGGGCCGAGCAACGGGAGCTCACCCCGTCGCGGGGCCTCAAACTGCCGACCTTCCGATCGCCAAGTCCAAGCGGCACAGTGGTTTAAACCAAAACGCCACCCGCGTCCCTTAAAATATATTCTACGTTTCATTAAATATATATATATGCATGTATGTAGATCTAATTTTTTTTTACCAATTGTGTAGCTGAACACACTGGAGAGGATTTTGCTGATGCCAGAAATTCATCCCAGAAGAAAGAAACACCTGTGAGGTGTAACAATTTGTGAGCAAAAGCTGTGGGCTGATGCACATTAATTCCAGAGCATTCATCGGCGGTTTCATCGTAGTACATCGTTCTAGAAGGGTGGAAATAAAATAATGAAATACTTCTACAGCCATGTTGGACAGCGTTCCATTCTTGGTTTTCTTAAAAGAGGCACTAGTAAATCTAGAAGATTACCTTTCAATAATTTGGTTGCTGTTTACTTCAATTACTCTAAAGTAATGTTTTAATTTTAAAATCCACAGTGAGAGTATGTACAGCATGATCCTAAGCCTGTTTACTTAAAAATAAATTCACTGAGCCTTGCTCTCTAATTGGAATTGCAGTATTAAAATCCATTGTAGCATTGTGACCCAAGCATCCAGCACCCCCATAGAGAATTGAGTGCTAGAAACCTATTTCACTCATGCTGTAGCTATTGTCCATTCAGAACCTGATCTGATGTGCATCCAAAAGCCCATTTCTTCACATGCATTCCCCAGTAGCAGCTCCTCATTTATGGTATGCCCTCCCTGGTGAGGTTACAAACATTCCTGTTCACCCACATATTTGGGGGCTGAAATATACTGCTCCTAGCAACCATGAATCAGGAGATTTGGCCGTTTTAAAATGCTTTACTGTTTGCCAGCTTAGACTCCTTAGGGAGAAAGAGCCGGACAGATATCAAATAAATAAAACAAAAACAAATTCTCACACACAAGGACAAGATAACATTCTAAACTCTACTTAGAAGAACAATACTACTTACTTCTCAATGCGGATTTCAAGTGCTGTCCCACTTTTTGAGTTATCTGGCACATGTTCAATTCGTAGAACAGTGTCTAAAAAGGTGACTTTCACTCTCCTTAAAACTAAAGTGAAGAAAGCAAAATGGAGGGGGACGTGTCACATAGAAACATGAATATAAAATATGATTTCAACTATGCAGATATCTGTTGGCTATACCAATAAAGAGAAATTAACATAAAATACTATGAGCCCTCTTCCCCTCCTCACGTATGCAAGAAATTATGTAGAAGGAGCAGCTGGTATGTGCAGCCCTGAAACTACCCAGCTCTTCTTTTCCTCCCCAGGACAGGAGTAACTTGGGACTATGGTGCTGGGGAGAGAAAGAACTGCTGAAACATTGCAGGGAACACACAAGCTGGTTTTCCTTTTTAGATAATGACTGATGCATTTTGGTCCATGCATGCAGACTTGGTGGAAGAGGGCTCACTTCCCCAAGCAATTTCCACTGTGGACACAGCAAGATTTGCATATTGGTACATCATGGCCCAAATTTTAAAGCTGACTACTGTTACCATCAAACAGGGAACTCTTCTAACCTGAGCAAACTGCACATGGAATAAATTATCAAGGTCAACTCAGTTGGCAAAAGATCCCTCAGCTCTATGTAGCACATCTTGATACAGTATAGTGTTTTGTTAGCTCAAAGAGTCCGTCGTACCTGTTTCAATTGTTTCAGCAAACTTTTCAAGCCCTTCAAAAGGCTGGGAACCTTCTCCTTGTTCATCTGTCAGTTTCTGGCTAAGACATTCTTTTGCAAGCTGCATACTACTAGTCATGAAGCTTGACCAATACATGGGCTCTGAACCAGAAGCTAGAAAAGAAGAGAGAAGCCTCAGGTGCTTTGTCATAAATGGCCTTCAGCAAATGTTCAACCATAACCAAAGCACACGAATACAGGGATAAATTAGAAGCCCAGCTTCTGTATACAAGAATGAGAAATTCTGTGAATGGTACCTCCGAGCTGTGGGCAACACTCACAACAGAAGTATCAGCCTCCCCAGGAAGAAACTAGTATCTGCTTCTCTATAATGTGCTGAAGTTAGGGTCACCCTGCTGCTTTGAAGAAATCAGTACTCACTGTGGGATGTCCCAATAGTCCACTATTCAGAAAATTAAATAGGCATGACTTGTTTTCGTCAATGATCCTTCTTAACTTACTTAGTCGGGGTCTTGGCTTGAAGACCATCTCTAAGCCCTTCACTTCAAGCGCACAGTTATCTTGAAGTAACGAACCCCAGGGCACAGAAAGAGAAATTGACTGAATAAATCCCTCAGTGACTTCCAGCGGAGCATCTGCTGATTCAAGAATCTCATTAAGACTCTGAAACAAAGAGAAAAAAGAATAAAGAATTGCTTTGCATATTACATAAGCAGCATATAATCAATTTTTGTTGATGCCCATGACATTTTATATTAAAAATAACGTAAGTTCCCTTTAGTATTAAATACTAAAGTGAATTGTGGGTCCATGGTTTTGGTGAAAAAGGGTTATATGTCATATATATTGTGTGTGTGTGTGTGTGTGTGTGAGAGAGAGAGAGAGAGAGAGAGAGAGAGAGAGAGAGAGAGAGAGGGAGAGAGAATGTATTTTGAGTAATTAATGTGCATAATAACTGGCCAATGTGCATATTCCCCAGGCCTCATGGGAAATGTGCACATAAGCCTTCCATGAACTGTGCACATTTCCTGGTCACTATACATAATCCCCAACAAGCCTTAGGGGAAGTGCATATCTGAGATGAACTTTGTACATTCTCCAGCCATTATGCATAACCCACAACAGGCTTTGGGGCATGTACATACTTTGGCTGCATTTTGTACATTCTCTGGCAATATGCACATTCTCCAGTCAGTATGCATAGTCTCCAGGGAACACTACATTTTTCCTATTTGTTCAGAAGTGTGCAATCTGCACTTCCCAGGTTACATCTGGCAGTTTTCTCCCATATTTTCCTTCATCTGCATTCAAGTTATCACCTCAACTATTTCATCACTCCAAACTCCCTGAAATACTATGCTGCCAATTTATCCCTAGTCAGTGTGGAAGGACACCTAGAAACAATGATATTCACACATGCTGTTGTCTTATTGCAGAGACACCAGGAAATCATGCAAAACCATAAGCCTCCCCAAGAGGACCAACTGAATTGCCCCCCACCAAGCATTAAGAGCTGCTAACAGCCTCAACTTTACCAGTAGTAATCTAGATCTATGGCAGACTCTATGGCATCAGACTGGGAATACACACAGCTACATGTGTTGGGTCCAAAATGTTTTGGGGTAGCCTCATGGCAGCCATCAAGGCTTGAACTGCTCCCCTGTGGATGCTGGAATCTCCCAAGACCTAAAAATTTTGGAGTCATCAAGTCCAAGACCACCTCTACCAATCAGGAAAGTTATGTTAGGAAGCGGGGTAGATAGACAATACAAAGTAACAGAATTCAAATATCTATCCAGAGAACACAGAAAGAGAGGATGCTACCCTGATAAACTCTCAGAAATCTGGCTCCCTGTCTATCAAGTCTATGCTGATGCCAAATTACAAACCCACTTGGGCACTGCTGGGGGAGACGGAGACCAATATCACCTCCCTCATCCAAACAACACTGATATAGGTAGGAACATCCTCCATATGACAATGATGGCACTTCACTAAACTATACTGACTACAGATCTGCTAATACATAAACCACAGAACCTTTAAGTGTTGCAAGATTGGAATGAGTTTTGGGCTCAATAGCATCCTCACCGAAATATGCTTGCATTAATAAAGTTCACATTTGAAATCAGGAATGGCTCTCCAGATGTTGCTACACTACAACTCCTATCATCTCTGAAGCTTGCCCATGCTGGCTGAGCTTCATATGAGTTGGAGTCCAACAACAGCTGAAGAACCACAAGTTAGTCACTCCTGCTACACATGCTATGACAGGGTAGGAATAAGCCAATAGGCCAAGCTGGTGGCCTCCAGATTTATTTATTTTTACTACAATTCCAATCAGCCCCAGCCATGATGTTCAATGGCCAAGGATGCTGAGAGTTGTAAGTAAAAATGATCTGAAAGCCATCAGGTTGGGGAAAGTTAATGCACAGGTAGCCGAAACAGTCCCCTCCAGCATTCTGCACTATAACTCCATCAGCCCCAGCAAGAATGGCAAACATTCGGGGTTCATGAGAGTTTTACTCCACAACATCCAGAGGATGTTAGCTACACCAAAATTAAGGGCACTATATATAAATCTGAAGCCTGCTCCTTATCTCACCATGCATAAAGTTCCAGAGAGCATTATTAAGTGAGCAGTAATATTATTTAATTCTCAGTGACAGGGATTATGAACAAACTTGAACACAACTGGTACCTGTCAATACGTCCCCATTCAGTTTCACATCTGTATTACAATGCAGAAAATACTAGATTTTAATTCAATTATATTTTTCTTAAAAAGGCCTTTCCCATTTAGTGCAGGCTGTAGATTTTCAAGAAAGAAACTAAGTAACATCTGTTAAAATACTGAATAGGGAGGTTCCAATGTGTTGGTTTCCTAAGCACTGCTTTACACTACAGTGGAAAAAATGCTCAAGAGACAACCTATTGTTGGCTGATCCTACCAATGATCTCTTTGAGTAATCTGGGTCAAATGTGATCACAATGAATAAACCTCAAATATCTACAACCAAGTGTGCCACATAATCCCCATACATTCCAGAAGACAAAACAAAACAATGGGTACACCTGGAGAGAGACATAATCAAAAATCCCCCCCCCCCCACAGCATACCAATTCCAGGACTGTAGCATTCAGGTGCAGCTCTCTATTATCACAATGAAATTATCCAGCTAAACTATCATAGCAGACATGACAGACAGTAACTGTAGAGAAACAGAGAGAGATGCCCCAGATGATATGGAAGGTAACAGGTGAGTAATCTATTCTGCCCTGATTCACATGCCTCTACTTCAGCGGGGGGGGGGGGGGTCCTCACAGTTGGGGGTGACTTCTGGTTTTTAAAACTTTATGAGATGCATTTATACATTATAAAGAGAAACATTTATACTATTTAGAAAACAGGAGGCATGCAAAATAGTCAACTCAAAACTGAAGAATAAGCATATTTAAAAGGCAGTTACTAATTTACTTATTCTTTCTAGCATAGCTTGCTGAAGGGAGCAAAGGTCCTGGGGTGTCCACTAGAGGATATTTAAATCAAAACATTCAAGGCTACCTAATGGCTATAAAAACTGAACTGTGCCACAGGGTCATATGAGAATAACCTTTATGCTTACGAAGTCAGTTACATCCAAACTCGAACTGTTTAAACAAATGCTGAACATACCATATAAAAATTGTTATCAGGATTCACAGCTAGCCAGTGTTTTTAAAATGTTATGAACACAGAAAAATAGATCATCATAAAATTAAGCATCTTCAAATGGTAAAGAAAGAAATGTTTTAAATTGGTCTCCAGATCACCTGGAGAGAAACAGAGCAGACTACACCCCCCCCACACAAACATATACTTATAAAAAATAGAAAAAATCCTTCCAGTAGCACCTTAGAGACCAACTAAGTTTGTTATTGGTATGAGCTTTCATGTGCGACTGGAAGGATTTTTTTTATTTTCTTTTGACTACAGCAGACCAACACGGCTACCTACCTGTATATATTTATACACACACATATAAACTTTGGGAGTACTGTACAACAACAAAATATTGGGGGGTGGGAGTGATGTGGAAAACTGAGTTGACCACTACCAAGATGAAAGCAACCACATAACCAAAATAATGTGCTTCCTGACACTTCAATGCAGTAGACAAGCTAGTTTGTACAAATAGCACTCCATACCCCAATAGCCACTTAGCTAGAAGTTAATTGCTGACACATATGGACCCGAAATTTCTATAGTATCAATGAATTAGCAACTTTAAGATTATGAGCATGTTTAAGATTACAGACTGAATAAGACACCTGTCTCCTGTCAAGAAGAGCAGTCTTTTCCCTTCTATCTTCTGCTTTTCCCTTTCCCTCAAAAAAAAATCTGATCAAAGCCCTCCATGTGTTGTTTAACTCCCATAAGCTCCAGCAAGCATGGCCAATGGGCAGGGCTGATGAGATTTGACATGCAACAGCATCCAGAGGACATCAGGATGGGGAATGCTGCCGTAGACGATCTATTCACTTCAATGGGAATTTCATTATTGTTATTGGAGTGGGTAGGGAGAAGCATTTAGGTTACAAGTCCAAGTGTTTGGAAGTGAAATGCAGTGTTCACACAGAAAAAAAGATGACTACTTGTCAACTTTGGATCACCCCAGATAACCCTCATGCATTGAAAATTGCTCAATTATTGCAGCAGTAACCGTGACAGGAAGTTTAAACAGTTGGCTAGGGCATGTCTGTCAAAGTGAAAAGACAGCTTTTGACACTTGACAGATAGGGGGGATATATGAGGGGTAGGCAGGAGAAGATGTCATGCCGTAGGGGCAAAAAAAGCTAATTCTATTCCAGATTGTATCATCAGAAGTATAGTGTCCAGATCCATTCTATGCTGCTTTAGTCAGACCACACTTGGGAGTACTGTGTCCAGTTCTGGGCACAATTTAAGAATGATATTGACAAGCTGGGATGTGTGCAGAGGAGGATGATCAAGGGTCTGGAAGCCAAGCCTTACAAAGCACAAAATTGAGGGAGCTAGGCATGTTTAGTTAGGTTATGACAGAAGATATGATATCCATCTTCAAATATCTCAAGAGCTGTCACATGGAAGACGGAGCAAGCTTCTTTTCTCCTGCTCCGGAGGGTGGGACTTGAACCAATGGATTCAAGATACGAGAAAGGAGATTCCGACTAAACATATGGAAAAACTTTCTGACAGGAAGAGCTGTTGGGCAGTGGAACAGACTACCATGAGAGGTGTGGGCTCTCCTTCCTTGGAGGTTTTTAAGCAGAGGTTGGGTGGCCACCTGTCATGGATGCTTTAGCCGAGATTCCTGCATTGCAGGGGGTCGGACCAGGTGACCCTGGGGTCCCTTCCAACTCCACGACCCTACTGCTCCTAAGAGACGCATGAAGCACCACTTACCCACTTGTCTAGGGGCACCTGTGCCAAGGAGCCAGTGCCTTGGTAGAGGTCCAGGGTGAGCTGCTCCAAGCTGAGCTTCTCCTGGAGGAAGTGGCCCAGGTACCTCTGCAGCAGGTACCTGCAGGCCCTCTTCTTGATGGACTCCGAGAAGGGCCAAGGCATGGCGGCTGCGATCCACGGACTGGCAGGCGAGGGGGTGGAAGTGCGTAGTCCGCAAGGAAAGGAGCCACCGGCTGGGCGAAGACGAGGAAGGGGCTGCCCTCCTCCAAAAAGGCAAGGCTGGTTGTGAGGGCTGGGAAGAATGAGGGGAGGCCCGGCCCGCAGTGAGCCAGGCTCCTCTCCCCACAATTCCTATTCAGCGCCGTCCAGGAAAGCGGCAAGTCCTGAAGGAATTCCCGCGCGGACGATAACAAGAGGCTCCATCACCACCGCCTCCTCACGCAGCAGCAGCCGCAGCCGCCATCTTGTCAGCGCAACCCCGCCTTCCCGAGTGAGGGAGGGAAGGGGCGGGGCATACGGCGGCACAACAGCCACGAGGGTCTCTCTCGCTTTTCATTCGCTGCCCTCACAGTCTCCTCCGACTGAGCTCGTCGCGGGGCCCGCTTCTCGCCCCGCCCACTCGCACTCCGCCTCCCTATCAGCGCGCAGATTGGAGCTTGGCTGGTTGTTGTGCTCATTTGGCCCCGCCCACGGGACCGTAACTACGCTCGGCTGGACGTCCCTCCCACGGGAGAGCGTCGTCATTCGTTCCGGCGCTGGGGGGGACGGAAACGTTAGGGAGGGCGGGGCGAAGGAGGCGGAAATGACGCAGGGTTTCCTCCTCTGAGCGAAGTTGGGGAGCCCGCGCGTGGGTCGCCCAACTTTTCTGTATAGAAACGTTTTCGCATTTCATTACACTCTGTTTGTCTCGCTGTGTGGCTTTTTTGTGGTTTGAAATAGATTTTTCAGACTTTTATCATTAAATCATTTGCATAAACAGTAGTAACTTCAGTAACGTGCTATCATCATCAATATTTATTTGCCGCCTAACACAAAACCTATCCATGGGGCTTACATGCACAAGAAAAAGTAATGAAATATAACAATACAACAATATCCATCGCCCTTCCCATACACACGCAGAAGCAGCGGTGTTATTACAATTCCTCAAAAACCCTAAATCTGTTGCTGAAAAGATGCTGCTGTTGGCACCGGGTGAGCTTGGGGAGAGCATTGGGACGGGGGGAAATCAAAAAAGCCCTCTCGTCATCTCCAAAGAGGAGGATACATGGCGGAAGATTTTAGAAAATGAACTCAGGGTCCAGGCAAGTTCGAGTTGGGAGAGCCATGCCATTAGCTCTACATCGGGATCCTCTGCCCTGTGTATCCTGCTGCTTGAGGCAGTCGCCTCAATTTGTCTAATGCGTGGGCCGGGTCCTGCCTGTGTGAAACATGCAAGCAGCAGAACAGCACTTCCCTCCTGAAGTTTCCAGCAACTGGCATACTGAAGCATCCGCGTATGTTGCAATGAGAAACATTTGTTTATTTGATATCTGTAAAACAGCAACAGTAAATGCGAGGGTTCCCCTACTCCCCCTGCGGCCGTGCATCCCTCCGCCTCGCCCCGCACGCTCAGTCGAGAGCCGGAAGTGTCGGTGTGGCTTTCAAGCGAGTCTCTCGGCGCTTTTGCCCCGGCGCCTGTCCCGCCGATCGTGGGCGGGGCCTCGGCACGTGACTGGGGAGAGAAAAGGCCGAGAGTGGGAGGAGGGAAAAGAGAGCGAGAGGGGCCGGGCGCAAAACAGCTGAGAGAGGGAGGAACAGGGCTGGCTGCTCAACCTCTCGTCTCGCGAGAATTTAAGGACGGGATAGAGCGGCTCGCGGGTGGCGAAGAGCCGGAGAGTAGGGACGGGATGGAGTAGGGGCAGGTACGTCGTCGGCGTCCGTTGTTTCTCTTGCTCTTCCGCTTGTTAGATTGGCAGGTGGAGCTGTGCGCGCGTGCCTCGGGTTGTGTGGGAGAAAAGCTTCTGAAAGACTCACGAGAAAGCGGGGGGGGGGGGGGCTGGGTGAAGGTTGCCAACTGACCCCCATACCAGCCTGTGCCTGTGCCTGTGCCTGTCAGGCGACAGCTTACGAAGGCGCAATAATAATAATAATAATTAAAACCAGCAGCGGGCGAAGCTCTTCTCCTCGTGGAAGTGAGCACGGTGCCCTTCCTTCTGTTTAAAAGAGGCCGGCTGGGAAGTTGGCAGCCCTTCCCTTCTCGGAACCATGGCCTGCGCTTGTTTAACGGGGACGTGCTTCTCTGCATGTCGTGGGATTGCGGCATCCTCACGTGTAGGGAAGGGAAGCAGGGAGGGAAGCAAGCAAGCAGCGCGTGGGTGTTTTGAGAGGGGCGGCGAATCCTGGGTCTTGAATTTCTTCTTGGACAGTTCTATGGGTGGGGGAGTAGGAGCCAACTCCTAAGGGCTGAGGTCCCTTCGGTTCTCCCCCCCCCCATAAAATATTTGAGGGGACCGCACTCCCCACCCCAAAGTTGATAGGCATTGCCATTTGAATTGCCACATCTTGTGATTGGTTATGTGGTGCTTCCCTGTCCCCCCACCCGATATTTTATTCAAGTTGGCACCCCTGGGTGAGTGGGTGGGTGCTTGCCTGAACCCGCAAGAGTTGGTCCTGTTACTGTGTACGGTCACTTAAGCAACTCATCAGGCATAAACTTGAACAAAATGAAGAAAAATAAATCCTGTTTTGAAATGGGGGCGGGCAGGAGATGTATGTCTACTAGGTAAATCTGGAGAGCAGGTGGAATGGATTGTACAAGGAATCTTCATCATTTATTTATACACCACCCGAATCAGATGTCTGTCTTATCCAACCTACGAAACGGTATGGCCAACAACATCTAGTGATTTTGTGTTTGCGGGGGAAGATGTTTCTGACATGCATAGGTGGAAATGCAGACTGATAGTAGAAGATAATTTTGAACAGGAGGAAGAGGCACTGAGTAGAGTGTTGGCAAATCAGCTTTCTCAGAATCAAAACGGGTACCAAGATGTTCCTTTCTTCAAGTAATATTCCATTATGCTTTCTGGAGTGATGGTGGTTTGTAACTGCCAATGCCTGGCAGAGCGACGCTAGCTGAAGAGGAGGGGGGAAAGCAAAGAGAAAGGGTATGGAGTTTAGTGGTACTGTAGAGATGTGTGAAATGGTGTAAGGCAGAAAGGGAGAAATTATAGCATGCATCGATGGCGCTGAGCATGACAGAGTGCAGAACTTCTGGGACTTTTGCTCTCTCATTTTAGACAAAATGGCTAACAATCAGAGATGTGTATTCATCGTCTAAGTTTTAAAAAAGTCGGTTTCTATACCAAGGTATTGCAGCTTGTCAATACTGTTTGGATCAGAACCCTTTTCCTGCTGACATTGCTATACATTATATTTATTATGTAAAAGGCATCCCAGAGGCAGAGGGTGATGATAATATTATTCAAACTTCTTAAGATGCATATTGAAAGCACAGAAATTTTTATATAAAAAAAGCTAAATTGGCCTTTAAGAAGTACTAAGCATTATGCATTTGTATTAATTACTGTAATGCAGGCTGCAGGGGGCTGTAGCTAGTGCAGAATGCACCTGCTAGGCTGGTAAGTGGGGCAGCTCAATGGGACCATGTGTCACCTGTCCTGAAAGCTCTGCACTGGTCAAATTCAAGATGTTAGTACTAGCATCTAAGGCTCCTAATGGCTTGGAATCCAAGTATCTAAAAGAGCACCATACTCATTATCAGTAATCTTGTATTCTATGATCTGCAAGTGATGCCTCCTCCACTGGGTATCAGTTGTGATAGGGCCTTTTCAGTGTTGGTTCCTTTTCATCATAGCAAGATGCTTCTTTCTCCCTCATTACTCTGACTTTCAGGGGGGTAATTAAAAACATTTCAGTTTGTCCAGGTATTTGATGGCAAGACACTATTCTGGCAACCTTTAGATCACTGGTTGAGAATGCTTTTAACTTTTAAATGTTTTTAAACCATTTTTAGTTTTTTTAAAGTTTTTTTTATTATTGCTGTGTCAGCTGCCTGGACTATTTCTGGAGGAACAGAATACAAATTGAATAAATGAATAAAATAAATTTCACTTTTCTGTTATCTAGCCCTTTTTAATGATTGCTTGTGTTAATCCACATATTATTAACAGAAATCTACATGGGTGGGATTTACACACATAATTTACACTAAAGATCATTTGAAAAATTGGATTTTCGTGTGTCACTAGTACCAGCAGCTGAGTGTGTACCAGGAACAGATAATTTTTCAGTGTTTGCACTTCTGCTATGGTACTCCCTCCCCAATGAGATCCAATAGGTCCCCAAATGAAGCATTTAAAATTATGTCTGAAAAGTTTTATTTTCCCACTAGGACTTCTCGTCTATGGAGTTTGCTGGTTTTAATTATAGTAACTTGAAGAATTATATTGCAATTCGGTATTTTGTTACAAACTACTTTGCAGCCCTTTGGTTAAAGAAGAAAAACAGAGTATAAGTAAAATGACAGCTGCATGAAATGCAGTGTTAGCCATTTGGACTTCTTAGGCCTGATAATTGATTTGGATTATTAATAATATATTTAAAGAACCCATGCTTTTGAGGGGTCTGTATGCTGATCTTCTAGATATATCTTGGAATTCCAGAATCCCATTGTCATTGCTGTATTGTAGAATCTTTTACCTTGCATTTTTTTTTAAAGCCTGATATGCAGAAGTTTCAGTGCCTTCACTTGGTAATGGTGGGGGTCTGTATTTTTATTTTTTTATATTGATATACTACATTAGTGGGTTGCTATTCATAACAATTGACTGATGATTAAAACACAACAAACTCCCAGTGTGTATGAGCATTTGTCTTGCTGAGCATAGTTCTGAATATATTTTTATTTTAAAAATTGTGTTGTGTGTGCAGAATGGAGATGGACTGCAATCCCATGGACCTATCCAATAACACAGGGGTTGAAGACAATTCTGAATTCAAGGATTTTGAAGGAACAGACGTGAAGGACATGAGATTAGAAGCGGAAGCTGTTGTGAATGATGTGTTGTTTGCTGTGAGCAACATGTTTGTCTCTAAAAGCCTCCCATGCGCAGAAGATGTGGCGTACATCAACGTGGAAACTAGGGAAAGGAACAGATATTGCCTAGAGCTCACAGAAGCGGGACTTAGGGTAATTCTTCCTTTTGTGAAGATTAGTAATAAAAGAAATGTTAGCCAAAGGCTATTTAGTAATCTACTTTATCACAAAAGCAGCCCTCTTCAATTTTTATTTTTTGTACCGAGTGTTTCAGAATGTTTATATTTATATAGAAGATGCTAACAAACCTACTATAACAACAACAACAACAATTAATTACTTGCCCATCTAACTGGGTTTCCCAAGCTACTCTGGGCATCTTCCAACAGAATCTAAAGAACACACAGTGTGTGTGTTTCTCTAATTAAGAGAAAAGATGTTTGGAGTTACCAGTTTTGACCCTCCAATCTTCTGCAATAGGGTTTCTATACAGTTTCTTTTTTAAACTTTGCAGGGATCCTGACTGGCAGAAATGCATCAGATAAGGTGTTCCATGTCACTTGGTTCATGGTAGGAAGGCCCTAAATCTTGAATTTCTGATTACTAGGCAGCTTTTTTGTCCCAGATGCCTTTTCACTAAAAGGTGCTATCTATAGTTTCCTAAATAAAACTTCCATTTTCTTTTCATGATTAATGTATTGAAAGATTCTGCGTTTAATCCTTTACTTCATCTTTTAATTATGGATAACAGTCTTTCAACATATAATTATACTGGAAGGGAAAATATTAGCAGGTGCAACTTGTGATGTCATGGTTCTGCAAGGAGTATGGGCATCTGCATCTGCCAGAATACTTTTAAATGTACATGAACTTCTATGTTGAAAGCTAGCCATCCATGAATTAAAGCAAGGGTGGTGAACTTGTGGCCCTGCAGATGTTGGTCTTCCAACACCATCAGGCCCTGACAACATAGCCAATGACTGTACTCCAGCAGCATCTAGAGGACCACAGGAGGTAACCATCCTTGATTAAAGAAATGAAGTCTTCCTTCTCTGGTGATCCACAGCTTTAAACCATTGCAAACAAACTGCATAATGATCACCCGTGAAAGAAAACACATATTTTCCATACATATCCACCACTGTAGACAGTTTTTTCTCCATGAAGGTTTTTATTAGGAATGCAACTGAAGTCTTGTCTGTGCCTGTTTGTGTACAGTAAGTATTAACTGTGAACTGCACAAATTGAACTTGCAATCATAATACAAGTCTTTTTTCCAACTAATCGCTCTGTAGTACTATAATCATATACAATTAGTGTGCATCTCAACTGTCATGGTTACTCTAGCAGAAATAACACATATGGAGTTCTTGTTTCCTTTTTGACTCAGTTTTCCCCCAATATTAATATCAAAATAGGACTGGGAGATGTCAGCTTTTCAACATCACAATGTATCACCAGCCAAATATCATGATTAGGTGATACATTGCGATGTTGAAATGGAGGAAGGAACAAGCTGTAAGGCGCTGGGGTGAAAACACTGCCACTCCTGCCAAGGGATGTGAGGCGGTTTCACCCCATGGGCCAGGACCAAGATAGCTTGTTCCTCCCACCAAGCGCTGGGAGTTCCTCCGCCCCCAGTACCCAGTGGAGGGATTCAGGAGTGGTGGTAGGTTTACTTGTGATATTTCTGGGAAAAGCCACCATCATGCTCTTGCCCTCATACTGGTCCTGGGCGATGTATCAATATTACTACACCAGTTTTACTAGACAAGTTTTACTCGATAACTTTCAGGTATAATGTATTCAGTACCATTTGTAAATAGTTCTTGGGATTGTAAGATCTTGATAAACTTTACAAGCCCCATAAAAGGGTGACTCACTAGAACAGTTTTTCGCATAACAGCTGGTTTGGTTTCTTTATCAACCTTTTTGTTTGTTTGTGTGCACTTGGTCACTTAAATTTTCTCTTTTTGCAGGTGGTTGGCTATGCTTTTGACCAGGTGGATGACAGCGTACAAAATCCCTATCACGAGACTGTCTACTCTCTGTTGGACTCTGTTAGCCCAGCGTATCGAGAAGCATTTGGAAATGCTTTGCTACAAAGACTAGAGGCTTTGAAAAGTGATGGGCAGTCGTGATTGAATTTGCAATCGAAGTGGGCTTCAACAAAAATTGCTGCTGGATCTAAATAGTTTGTTCTGAGGCCTGATGGCAGAGAGGAAAAAATTATTAACCTGAACTCTTTGCTTCAAAAATCCCTTGTTCCATGACTTGCAGTGACACCAACTTGTAAACTATGTCCTTGATACTGTTGTTCGGAGTTAGTTACCCAATTTATTTTTAAGGTAACAAAGTCACATATAGAGTTACTGTTCTTTATTAAACTTTCCTTTAGATAGTTACAATGTAACACAGTATAGTTTTGGTCTCTGATATTTAACTTTAAAATTCTTCTAACAACTTTTGTATTTGTTCAGTAGTGTGCTTCACAAGTAACTTGGTTTTAAGAAAACCAAATATTTATAGCTAATTTAATGAAATGGATTTTGCTTCATTGAAAAGTTTTGTATTTAGCTCAACTTCTTGTATGTGGATTTAGACATTTTCTAGCTCATTCATTAGAGTGGTAAGACGAAACATTAAATAAAACATCTCTTAGGATATGATCCACTAAAAAGTTAGGCCAGTACTTTTCAGTAACCGAACAACAGTGTGCAGTATTTGGTGTAGTCTTGAGGGTAGCAAGCAGCAGTGCTAAACAATAGATACATTGTTGGCATAATGAATGTATTCATCAGCTGAAATACAAATGGGATAAGCACAGTAATGAAAAAATAAAAAGTCACATTCTGCATAAAGCCCAATCCTGCATTGCTTTTGTTAAACTATTAATACTGTGTAAAGAGAACTATTTGCATTGCTTTGAATGTTTACATAATGTACAGTATATCTAAAAGTATTTTTGAATCTTTATTTACTATATTACATGAGTATTTCTGCAAAGCCCCAACTATGCTGTAACTTACCATGGTTCATTGTATTGATTCAAAACCAAAGAAGGAAATTGGTATTTGAATTGGGAGAATAATAGGTGGTCTTAAGTACAATACTAGTTACCTTCCAGTGCTGTAATCTCAGTATATTTTCTTGGGATAAAGGTGGTTTTTAAAAAAACAACCACTCACAAAGCTATAGTAATTGTGCATTGTGATAGATAATACTAACAGATGTTTTAATTCTCAAAGTGAGTGAATTTACACAATCGTCAGCTCCCTGATGGATGTAAATTTATATTTTGCAAACCTGAATCAACATGAGTGATGCTGTTTAACCTTGCTGAGAACCTGATCTAGGAACTGAAGGAGTTCCAGCTTTAGTTGAAGCATTTATTACAGCTTTGTCTTATTTCAGCTAATTATAGGATAACTAAGAATCTTTAGTAAAACCTGTTACGAAACATTGACTGTTTCTTACTGTTTTAAACGCTGAAATGTCTTGCTTTATCCATATATAGAAAATTAGACTAAAATGTGCATTTCATTTTCTAAGAAAACTGGGTGCATGTGCACTTACAATCTGGATTTATAGCATGGAAGTTAAGAAAACGAGGAAAATACATGAAGAAAATGTGTTCTGTCCATTTTAACTGTACTTCCTTGAATAAGGCAGCCGTGTTTATTTTAGCAGTTATACGCTTGAAATAAAAGAAGCAAAGTGGTCTGCATAATGAGTTTGCTTTTTAAAATACAGAATAAAATAAAACAGTGGACAGAGGGGTTTTTGGATTTCTGCACTAAACTCGCAGATTTTGCTGACTTAACTAAAACCTAAAGCAGCGGTAGAGATAAATGGGGAGAAAAAAGTCAACGCGCAATCTCTTTGTTTTCACATTATTACATTGGCCACGCCCCCTCTCCTCGAGGAGGAAGCCACGCCCAGATTCCTCCCGCCCCGCCCTCCTGTTCGTCTCCTGCGTTCTGTTTTCTCCCCAAGGCCCCGCCTCTTCCTCCTCCTCCTTCCTTTCCCGGCGCGCGCGCCCTGGTTGCCTAGCAACCCCTGCGCTTCCTTCTCAACCGCAGCCATGTCGGAGGAAGAGGAGGCGGTGGCGGAGGCGGAGGAGATTATTCGGAGCCAGAGGATCTTCCTGAACCACTTGGACACCTACGGAGGCAGCAACATGGGGAGGGTGAGGGCCGGAGGCGGATAGTCGCAGAGCGTCGGTGGGTTGACGCGGCCCGGTAGCCAGGGCCGCCTCGCCCAGGAGGCAAGCTGAGGCAACCGCTTCGGGCGTGCAGGACCCACAGGGGTAGCAGGTTCTCCGCAGTTCCTGATGTAGCTCTTTATTCCCCACCCTCTTTCCCTCATATATATCTTCACTCACCCCTTTCTTCTTAATGTTTTAATGTTGTATTTTAATCTTGTTTTTTAAATTGTATTTTTTTTCCAAAAATTTTTTTATTGGTTTTCACAACCTTATAAACAAACAAACACATAAGACATACAAACATAAATCATAGCCTTATTGAAAATTACACTTATTAACATTGTTAAGTGACTTCCTCGTTTCCCCTTGGTTGAATTTCATTGCATATCCTTTTAACGGTTTTCCAAATCACAGTTCTTATAAAATTTAACTTAAACATTTAACAACCTTAGATCTTCACATTATAAAATTAAACATATTAATTCATCACTTAACATAAATAAAATCCTAAGCCAATTAAGTATCTGCAAGCTGTTTTTAGTTAATTTAACTTAACATATTTAAGTAATCATTAAATTTAATCCACTCTTCCTGATACTCCTCCTCCTTCTGGTCGCGGACTCTTCTGGTTAAGTCGGCTAGCTCCGAAAAATCCATCATCTTCATCTGCCATTCTTCTATCGTGTTTTTTAAAATGTATTTTAATCAACTTGTTTTTATTATTGGTTGTTAGCTGCTCTGAGCCCAGTCTTGGCTGGGGAGGGCGGGGTATAAATAATTTATTATTATTATTATTATTATTCCCTGGAATGGCACCCTTTTGTGGTTTGCCTCTGGTGTCAAAATGTCTTGGGGCCAGCCCTGCCAGTGGCCCACCTGGTCCATCATCCTGTTCTCGCAGTGGCCAACATAGGTGCCAATTCCCTGGGTGATCGAGCATCCATGAAATTTCTGGGGCCAGGCACCCCCACATTTCGGTGCTTGCACGCCGCATGCACCCACAGCCCCCGGGGCACCGGCAGTTGTGGGGCCAAGTTGGCCAACCAGACACAAGCAGGAGTGTTCTCGCCACCTGTGGTTTCCAGCAGCTGGTATTCATTCAGAGGCATTGGGAATTGTACTCCCAGCTACACTGCGGGGTGGGCAAGGTTGAGAAGGGCTGATCTGATGTGTGAAGAAACTACTTTTTATCTTTTAATACTTCCTCCCCTCCACACACTCAAAAAGAACCCGTTTGTGTTTTCCAACTGCTTTGGGGGAGGTAAGAAAAAGTGAACGTGAGGTGTTACGCCTGGTCGTTTAAAATAAAATGCAACACACGTGAAACATGTTGGTTCGTAAAAGAAAGGGGGTGGACAGATCCCAAAGCCCACAGCTGGAGAACATGAAACTGTGTGTGCAAGTTGGCGGTTCGAATCCGCACAATGGGGTGAGCTTCTGTTGCTCTGTCCCAGCTTCTGCCTACCTAGCAGTTCGAAAGTACGCCAGTGGAAGTAGATAAATAGGTATTGCTGCGGCGGGAAGGTAAACAGTGTTTCCGTGCGCTCTGGTTTCCATCACAGTGTTTTGTTGTTCCAGAAGCAGTTTAGTCATGGTGGCCACACGATCCGGAAAGCTGTCTGTGGACAAATGCCGGGTCCCTCAGCCTGAATGCGAGATGAGTGCCACAACCCCTTAGTCGCCTTTGACTGGATTTAACCGTCCAAGGGTCCTTTACCTTTTAGTCCTGTTAATGAAAATATTGTCCAGGTGTGGATGTTGGAGTTTCAAAATAAAATGTCTATCCTCAGATGACTTTAAAGGTTATTTAAAATATATACATTTATTACATTTCTATCCCAGCCTTCATTCTTCTACAGAGCTTCTAGCAACTTTCATGATTCTTCTCCCTTCCCTAATTTTGCCCTCACAGCCATCTTATGAGGAAGGTTGGACAGAGGTATAAACAATGGTTTATTGTTTCCAGAATGTGTCACAATATGCTTTGGGTTTGTCTGCTCCCATTTCCCCCTGCTTCATATGCATGGTAAGGAAACTGAAGCTCTGATCATCATTTAACAAGCTAAATTTTGATTTGCACTGTATTTGGACACAGCAAAAAGGATTCAGGTTCTCTCATTTTACACATGAAGGGGGAGTGGACAAGCCCATAGCTCATGGCAGCATGTTGTCATAGCAACACACCATGGTATGTTGTTATGTCCAAATGAGCACAATTATGAAACAGAAAACTGATTACCATATCACTATGAATGGAATTCTCTCACACTATCCCATTGTCATTTCTTGTATACTTCAAGTATCTAGCGAGCTGTACTGTTGGAGCCTCTCTGGAAGAAGTAGCAGAGGAAGAGGAAGAAGAAGATGAAGGTAGATCAGCTGTTGAAATTTCACCTCTGAAACCAAAGGAAGGAATATACCAAGTGGTGGGAACTCTTTTACAGGAGACTAGTACAAAACCAGATTTTGCTGTGGAAGCATATGGAGTGAGTATTACACTTCTTTAATTTACTAAAATACTTGGGGATATAGGTGGTCACCTTTATTAAACGGCAGGAAAAGAAATCAATAAATCAAAAGAAGGTAGTATAATGTATAGCCACATAAACATTTGATAATTCTGTAAAACCTAAAAGCTACAGTCTACAGTAGCTAAAGTTTGTCAGGGCTAACCAATGAGACTTAAGGAAGTCATCATGACTGAGAGCCTGGCTTTGACATTTGCCATGAGAGAACAGCCTGAGTCTACCTTTTGAGAATTCCGAACATGGTTAAGCCAGCAGTCAGAACACTAGAGTGGATCACAATCTCTCACACTGTAAAAGAAGAACCTTCAGCCACCTCATCTATATCCATTGCTTCACCCTGCTTATCTCTCCCTCTTTATTCACTGCTTAAGTTCACCCAGTCAGTGCAATATCCAAGTGCCAGCAGTCAGGGAAGTTAGACGGGATGAAATGGCAATGGAGATAAAAGCCACAATGAGCTAATAAGAAATTGATTTTTTGACGGAATATATATGCTGGAGGGAATAAAAGCAGGCCCTATCTAATTATACTGTAAGGTCCCTTCAGGATCCTCCTGGAGTGAAAGATAGTTATAAACCAACCCAGCAGTTCAAAAGCATGCCAGTACAAGTAGATAAATAGGTATTGCTGCAGTGGGAAGGTAAATGGTGTTTCCGTCCACTCTGGTTTCCATCACGATGTTCCATTGTGCCAGAAGTGATTTAGTCTGTGGACAAACGCCAGCTTCCTTGGCCTGAAGCAAGATGAGTGCTGCACCCCATAGTCGCCTTTGACTGGACTTAACTGTCCAGGTAGGGGTCCTTTACCTTTACCTTTTTTATAAATCAAATAAACAAAAATCCCCATCACCCAACCCCAGCTTCCACTCTTTTAAAATTGTTAGAGGATAAAAAAATAGAGGATTTTCTTCTTCTTCTTTAAAAACGAAGGATTGATTGCTAAAAGTTATTACTAAATAGAGGGAAATAATTCCTCCTTATAGCTTTTGTTTGTTTTTAGACATTTTCTCGAGAAGAGCTGCTAGCTCGCCTGTTAGAGTGTGACATTATTATTTATAACATCACTGAAGATGTAAAACAGATTGAGGAAGCAGTCTGGGCAGCTACTGGTTAGTACAATTTGTTCTTTATCTGAAATGGGCATGACACATTCATCAACTTTGGGAAGTGAAGCAGTAGATCTAGTGTGATTCAGCAGATTGAGACCTCAAATTGGCACTACCTGAGTTCAAATCCCTCAGCCTTGGACTTACCTGGTGGTATTGGGGGAATTCAGTTTCTTATCCTCTTGTTAGAAGAGCATAGTTTGGCTTAGCTCACACATACATATTTAATCATGCATGTTGGGTGAATGTTTGCTCAAATGACTGTGCTGGTTTAAATGGTGTGGTCAAGTTGAATAGGTGCACAATATCTGAATTAGAAATTAGATGATTTGCCGATTTCTAATGTAGTTTATGCCCATCTCTGTGGCCTAATCCAAAAGACTCTGCCTGGGATTGACTGTGTATATCCCAGCAACCAAGGTGTAGAGCCCGGGAAAACATGGGCAATTGCCATTGGATGGGAAATGGCTGTGTGTGGACTAATCTCAGACTAAACCATTCCAAATGGCTGATCTGTGCTATCACTGAACTTCTTACAGGGCCACATGTATATAATCTTATTAGCTGAATCATAGGAGGAATCCTATACACAGCTTCCATTTGCACATCTGGTTTTTATTCATTTTATTTTGTTTTTTCATAAAAATTATATACGCTTGATTGTAAAAAAACCTCAAAGTGGTTAACAAAGCAGGTTACTCATTTAGATAGTGATCCACATACTGAACCATCTAGCTGGATCAAAATTGTGTGTAAAAGCTCGATGTCTCCCATTCTGAGCCTCCTCCACCCACAGGCTTCTGAAATATCTTTGGATGCATAACAATGGATTGCTATCAGGGGTGAAAGTGAGAAGTCTTGATATGTGTGTGCAAGTCTTTGTACAGCATTAACCTTAATTTGGGGAAAGAAAACATTTTGCCTGCAGAACATTGTCATAAAATGTAAGTAGAGGATTTTTTTAAAAAAAAACATTTAGTAACATATACACTATAATGTAATTACACAGCAATACAAGCGGAATCATCAAAGTTTGAGAAGCAGAAAGTGTTCATTCTGCTTTCAACAATAATGACCTGGGCAAGAAGCAAACCTCTTGATCCGGTGAGTGGTAGAAAAAGTCAAGAAACCTCTGACATTTATTGACCTCAGCAGGTAAACCTGCACTTGAATTATTTGCCTTCCATAAATTTTAGTGACAGAATATATGGTACAGGCTCATTTCTCAAACTTGCATGGCACAGTTCCATTTGAACTGCATTTCCTTTTTATATATATATAGTTTCTAGCACAAGAAGCAGGGATTAATTCTTACTATTCCATACAATGACTCTTCAATTAACTAATATTAGGAATGCAATTATTTACTTTAAAAAATCATTTTGCTTTGTCAAAATAAAAATTGAATGATACCAAAGGATACAGTTTTAGAAATCTTTATTTTTTCTGTTTACTTCTCTCCACCCAGGAAGATCCAGAAATACCTTTCACTGAAGAAGACTATCGTCGAAGAAAACCCCATCCTAATTTTATAGAACACACTAATGCTGAAAAAACTATTACCAAACTTGGCAAAATTGTAAGTGTTAATGGAAAAGGTTAAGAGCGGTAGTCTCCTAATCTGGGGAACCGGGTTCGCGTCTCCGCTCCTCCACATGCAGCTGCTGGGTGACCTTGGGCCAGTCACACTTCTTTGAAGTCTCTCAGCCCCACTCACCTCACAGAGTGTTTGTTGTGGGGGAGGAAGGGAAAGGAGAATGTTAGCTGCTTTGAGACTCCTTAAAGGGAGTGAAAGGCGGGATATCAAATCCAAACTCTTCCTCTTCTTCTTCTTCTAAAAAGAAAGATGGAGAGTGTATCTACACTACAAAATTATATAAATTTTGTGATGGATTCTGAGACTTGGGGGGGGGGGGCACCAGCCAGTTTCTGAACACCACAATCCAAATTATCTCCCTCTCTGTATAAGGAAAGGAGGCAAAACACCTAATCCTTGGCACCTAATCCTATGACCTGCAGTGTTAACAGTGGACTATTGCATGGTGGCTGAGCAGTTGTAACCTAGGTTTGTTGCCATCTGTCTGTCTTGAGAGACAGTGGAGTATGCCCCAGGGTGAAGTGAAACCGCTGTGTTAGCACTGAAGTTACCTTCCTGGGGCGCAAGCCTTGGCAGTGTTTATGGAGGTCCTGGGCTGCCCAGACGTCAAGCCCCCCCTCCCCCTCGGCCTCACTGATGTGGACCAAAGGAAAGCAGAGCAGTATTTTGATACCAGCTTGGTTGCAGGAGTTGCTGGAAGGAGGCGTACAAGATGCCTTCCAATAGCCTTAGTAACTCCATTCCAGATTTGTGTAGAGTTTACTCCTTTGCCTTTTCTTATGCTATTTGTCATCTTCGACTTGTTGTGGAAGGGCTGGGTATAAATGGTTTAAATAAATAAGAAAATGAATAACTTGCCTTAAATTAGGTTTGTAAAATGTTTTTCATTTTTTAACACAATAACTTTTACTCTTATCAACAGGCGAAAAGCAAATTTAATACGTATGTTGTTGCTTCTGGTGTTCAGTATGGAGCTGAAGAAAAGCTTTTACACTACTTCTTTAAGGTAGATATATTTCAAGGTAATTTAGATTATAGTTAATATTGCAGAACTCGTCAAAAAGTGGATTTAATACATTCTTAAATCTGTGAGCATGCGGAAAGATGTCCTCTATTGGAATTAGATGCTAGACTAGATGGATGTTTGATTTGATCCAGCAAAATTTTTCTTATGTAGTAAAATGAAATGGCATTAGGTCTTTACAAGTTTAGCAGAGGATTTACTTCTGGTTCAGAAAACCATGTACTGATATGAAAATTTCTTAAAATATAACTAGCAGGGTGCAGACTTCCAGCTGCCTGGACACCAGTGTTGACCATATTGCATCTGGAAGAAAGAAAAGGAACTAGGAACTGTGGTTTACCCCTCATAGAGCTACAATTCCCAGCACTCATAACAAACCACAGTTCCCAGGATGCTGGGATGAGGGAATGTGCTTTAAATGTGTGGTGTGTACAGTGGTGCCTCGCAAGACGAAAAGAATCCGTTCCGCGAGTCTCTTCGTCTTGCGGGTTTTTTCGTCTTGCGAAGCAAGCCCATTAGCGGTTTAGCGGATTAGCGCTACAGTATTAGCGGCTTAGCTGGCTTAGCGGATCAGCTGATAAGCGGCTTAGCGATCAGCTGTTAAGCGGCTTAGCGATCAGCTGTTAAGCGGCTTAGCCGATCAGCTGATAAGCGGTTTAGCGGCTTGGGAAAAAGGAAAAAAACCCCGCAGGAACTCGCAAGACATTTTCGTCTTGCGAAGCAAGCACGTAGGAAATTTGTTTTGCGAAGCACCTCCAAAACGGAAAACCCTTTCGTCTAGCGGGTTTTCCGTCTTGCGAGGCATTCGTCTTGCGGGGCACCACTGTATGCAGCCACAGTGTTCTCCCCTCTGTGTAACAGATGAAGGAACAGCATAAGAACTGAAATGGTTGAGCTGTAGATATCAGTTTTTCCTGATCGTGCTACTGGGTGCATTAAGGCTGTTCTCCAGCTTACTTATCAGTCACTAAAGAAGGCACAGTCAGCCTAGGAAGAAATAAAGGTAGACATGGAAATACGGAAAGAGATAAGAGGGAGAGGAGAATGTTGTGGCAAGCACTGTGTTCGAGTTGGGAAATTTAAATGAGTTGCTGTATGGAATCTACGCTATTTTCATTGAGCATTTTAAATCTGCAGTTCTTACTGTGTTCCTCTGTCAGCAAATCTGATCAAGACCACCACTATTAGATATGTTCCAATTCTTCTTATACAGGAATAGTCCCTATTTTGTCTTCCAAGGGGACTTTTGAAGAACGCCTTTTAAGAACGTCTTTAATTTGAGTTATTGGAATTGCCATTCTCAGAGATTTGGGTGCTAAGAGTGCCCCAAGGGTGTCCTATTTTCTTCTTTGAAATATTGGAGGTGTGCTGCTATTCCTTGTTTCTGAATGGAGGACTGCAATGGAGCACATGGGAGACTTGCCCTATGCCGCACAATAGCTCCATGGTAGAGGCAGAACTTGTACCCATGTCTCACAAGTTGACTTTCTGTGGCCAAGTATGGTATGGCCTAAATCTGCCTCCTTTAAAATATAAAATTTGGCAGGTGTGGAAAAAAACACTAAACAGCATCGGAATGCTAAGTTACAATTTAATGAAGGAGCAATGAGTAGCCCTAAGCAAGGCCAGGACCCCAGCAGGAGCCATTACTGATTCCCCCCTTTAAAATATTCTGGCCTAATGCTTCAAGCACTACCGGGCACCTGGGTCTAGCTGCCATTGTAATTTTCTACATTGCCCTTAAGTGACATTACACCAGAAGCACTGGAGGAATTATAATGGCAGCTAGACTCAAATAATTGAACTACTGCTGCTGTCACTACCAGAGCTTAGCAATTGAGGAAGGGGTCCATCAGGGCCCCCTCAAACTGGGCTTTAGGAGTTTTGCAAAAGAATTTGTTCAGTGTTAATTAGCATATGTGTTCTGCGTCCTAAAAATGCAGTGAAATATGCGGTCTCTTGTGTTGGTGAAGATGCATCAGTGGTGACAGGTCACAGGAACATGTGCTTTTTCATTAGGCACCAATTTAACTCTTTGTATATACCTGTTGTTTTTGTCCATGGAGTTTTCCTGGCAAGGATACTAGAGGGCTTGCCGGTTCCTGCTCCAGGTGGATCACGTTTAGTCAAAACCCTCCACTGTGATCCATCTGGGTCCTGCACAGCATAGCTCGTAGCTTCTCTAAGTTATTCAAGCCCCTTCGCCACAACAAGGCAGTTATCCATGAACTCTTTCACCTTCATTTGCATTTTCTTTTGCAAGTATGTGAAAACTTGCAAAGCTGTGGAACTCAGATCCTATAAAACATGTTGTTAATTTGACTCCTCTAGCTGATGAGGTAGCAACTGGAGTGAGTGATTCCTCATTCACATATACTAAAGTTACCAACTTAGGATACTCTGCAATTATTTTTCCAGTTATCTTGGCTTGGTGAGACTCCAGCAATACCAATTTTTGGAGATGGACGAAATGCTATTCCAACCATTCACATTGTTGACTTAGCAGCGTAAGTATACTTCTTAGCCATGCCTCACTTCGGGGTTAGAATCATAGTATCATAGAGTTGGAAGGGACCCAAGGGTTGTCTGGTCCAACCCCCTGCAAAGCAGGAATCTCAGCTTCCATCTTCTTCCTTAATGAGAATCAGTGTTACCCAAAGGTATGCCTATCTGTTCAGGTTCCAGGAAGGATGACTTTTAAATTTGATTTCATTTTTTGAGACATCCTAAAAAGGAATCATGCCTAATATTGTAAAATAAACTAAGACTTCATTGTCCTTAGCAAGAGGCAAACTTTCATGAACTATATTAGTACCTTTCTCATTTTATGTTTTAAATAATAAGTTCATGGAAGCTTCCATATACCTGGTCAGTCTCTTGGCCCCTCTAGTCAATGTTGTTAACACTGACTGGCAATGACTTTCCAGGGTTTCATGCAGGAGTTTTCCCCAGCCCTACCTGGAGATAATAGGTCTTGAATCAGGGGCCTTTTGCCTGAAGAAGCATGTACACCATTGAGCTATGTCTCTTCCATATAATAGTTGCAGTTAGTTACTATGGAGCAAGATAAATTTCTTAAAAATGAGATAGAAGCCATTACAGTGGTACCTCTAGTTATGAACTTAATTCGTTCCGGAGGTCCGTTCTTAACCTGAAACTGTTCTTAACTAGAGGTGTGCTTTTGCTAATGGGGCCTTTAGCTGCGGCTGTGCCACTGGCACACGATTTCCGTTCTCATCCTGGAGCAAAGTTCTCAACTTGAGGTAACTCTTCCAGGTTAGCAGAGTTTGTAACCTGAGGCGTTTGTAACTCAAGGTACCACTGTATTGTTATTTATTAAATTTGTATACCACCCTTCATCTGAAGATTTCAGGGTGGTTCACAGCATAAAAATACAAGATAGAAACACGAAATACATAATAAAAACAAAACAATGCCTCACCACAAGCTGCTATCTGACTACAACTACATCCACTGATTTTTGTTCCTTCTATATAATTTGTATTTTAAGTCTCCTGCCTTACATATTGAGGAGGGCTTGGGGAAATACCTTTTTACATTTGTGCTCCCTCCAAGTTCCTTGCGGCAGAGTCCAACCAGATCCTTGGCAAACCTTCCATTTGAAAGGGTTGGGCCATCCTGATATTCCAGCTGCATGGGTATGTCTCAGCCGTGACATGTGAGGGATATCTTCATTTAATGCCAGCTAGTTTAGACTGACTGGGTTGGATCCAAAATGCCCTTCTGCAAATTGCATGAGTCATTCCATTCACAGTATGGCGACGGATTCTTCCAGAAATTTAAGGGAAAGGCAACTTTTGCCAACTTTTTTCTCCTGTAGCTCCTCCCATTCTAACCTTCTGGAGCAGATTTTTAGTTAGTTGCAGAAGGAAGGAGGCATCATATAAACTTGTCTCCCTGAGACTTATAGTACTTGTATTCTGTATATTTATTCTATATTAATGTTAATATAGAATATATATAGCGACTGACAACTGTATCTTTTGTTTCCTCCCCTGCAGAGTGTTACAGAATATAGCAGATCATAGGCCAAGAACACATTACCTTATTGCAGTGGACGAATCAATACAAACTTTTAGTGAAATAGTGAAGGTAAAGCAGTTTAAGACTTTTGACTGTCATGTGTGTATTATTCTTTCTTAAAGACTTTGAACCTCTGCAACAAATCTTGAGGACTGCAGTCCTAAATCAGAGGCAGGGAACCTTTTTCAGACTAAAAGCCACATTCCCTTATGACCTACCTTCCAGGAACAACTGCTTGCCAATATGTGGCATATAATATATACTGAAGGAAGAACAGTTCTCACATCTACACTGTCTGATTGTCCCCTTAACCTAGGGCTGCGACATATTTAGCAAATACATCCCTAGTCCTTGATCAGTCTGTATGCATAGGAGTGAGTGGTGGGTCACATCCAGCCACATTAAGGCTAAACTGCTGTGGATGCATAACAAAATTCGGCTGAGCCCTGTAGTCCTGGGGTTATACACTGATCACTAGAATATGTGTAACACCTTCATTATGTTATGAATTACTCGATTAACTAACGGTCTATGATGAGCACCAAGCTTCCCAAGCTGTATTGAAATAATTCCTAAAAGCAGTTCTATGTGAAAAATTATTTGCAGGTCAATATTTGTGGGCAGTGAATACCCCTTATACAAAACTGCCAGAGAAGGGCTGTTGGAGATTATTCTAAAAAATGTTTCGTATTGGCCTTTGTAATATAAAGTTGACATGGAGTGCAATCTGAAAGGGAGGGGAAAGGAAAACTGAAGGTGGTTGAACAGTGTTTTCCTGTGCTTTGGCAGTTTCGTGTAGCAGAGTGAAAGGAGTGTCTGCATTTTTCCTCTTTCTGTGGTTTGTTTTATTATTATTATTATTATTATTATTATTATTTAAAAAAAACAGTTGTACCTCTCACTGATCACCTTGGAGCCCTGATGTTAGAGAAGAACCACCTGCAAACCCTTCTGCAGCCTCCCATAAGATGCTTTCAAAGTTAGATTTCTACTTAATGTGGGCCTGTTTCTCCACCTACAAAAAAGGAGCTCCAATGGATCCTCTTGCCCCCTCAGGGCCACAGCATTGCTGAATAGGAAAAATATGTTAACTGCAAAGCAGGTGGCTCAGTCCACTATGACAGCTTCCAAAATTTGCAGCAATTTTGTACAAAGGAATACGATGCGATGTTGCAGGGATTGTTCTGAACAAATAATAATTTTTGGTGTACTGTGCTTTTTTTGTTGGCACCTGACTACTCGATAATTGGTTCTTATTGTTATGGCCTTATGGCTTAAAACAATTAATAATCTATTTTTATTCTTCTTTCTGTATGTGTGATATTAATTACTGCTGCATTTAAAACTTACCCAGTATTTTTCTTTGTAACAGTGCATCAGCAGAAATGTTGGTCCAGGAAAAACACAGAAGGTTCCAAGAGAAAATGCTTTACTAAACAAAGATTTAACGGTATTTGTTTAATCTTCCAATATTTTCTGCCAGAGAAGATAACAGCACTCTTTAATGCTAATGGATTAAAGAACCCTGACATGACTTTAGTGGCGACTGCCTTGTACTGCTTTTCTTTTTTACGGGGAGGTGTTTACAGGACTGGGTTAGGATTGGGAGTCACAGCAACTGCTAGTTACAGTTTTAAAAAGATGTATGCAGTGCCAAATTATATATTTAAAATCAGGTCAGTAGTCAAGCTTTTTAATCAACAGGGAGAATGCGAGAGAGAAGAAGTGGACTTACTGGAGAGAATGTGGGAGTCAAAATAAATGAATGGCTTTCATACTTTATGAGCTTATTTTTCGGTCCAGTTAAAGGTCTTTTTTTTATTTATGTTGTAAAGCCTTATAGAAGCTGGGCCCTGATTATTTCAAGCAGCACCTTCCCACATATTCTAGGTTTTATTCTCTTGTGAGGTTGGATTATCATCTACCAAGGACAGGGCCTTCTCAGAGGTGGGCATGGAGATATGCTCACACTTGAGAAGCTCATTAACTTTTTCCCTGATTGTGTTTTGGAAACAGCTTAAAACATATTTGTGGTGTTTTAATGATTTTATGTGCACTGCCATGATATTGTTCTCATGAGCTGGTGATGTAGAAATACTCTTATTTAGAAATACTCGTAAATAAGTATGCTGCCAAGCAGTTCAAAACTGAGATTTTCCATTTCTCTTAATGTGTATTTTACAATTTTTAATTAGTTTTACAATTGTGGTGTTATACTTTGTATTGTTTTCATCAATGCTGTGTTGAAAGGTCATTCGTAAATACTGTTAATAAGAGTGCATCATTATAATAAATTATTGCACTTTCTTTAGCAAGAACAGTTGGATGAATTACTTGTGAACTTGCGAATGGAAGCTGTATATTTGAAGGAGAATTTCAACATTAAGTGGGTTGCTCAAGCAGGAATAGTGGAGCATATTGATCAAGTAGTGAAGGAATACAAGCAAAGTCGAGGCTTACTGGTAAATAAATAATATTTTATGTTATTTTATAATCCATAGGTGGTGCAATGTATGCTCTTACAAGAGGAAACGTGAAATATCCCAGGAAACCATAGTATTTGTTTTTTGGAGGGACTGCAGTCTAAGCCACTGAGTCTCTTTGGCTTAACAGTTGTTAGGTTGGCAGCTCGAATCTGCGTGACGGGGTGAGCTCCCGTTGCTTTGTCCCAATTCCTGCCAACCTAGCAGTTTGAAAGCATACAAGCTTGAGTGGATAAATAGGTACCACTGTGGCAGGAAGTTAAACAACGTTTCTGTGCACTCTGGCAATCATCATGACCCAGAAAAGCCATCTGCGGACAAACGCTGGCTTTCTTGGCCTGAAAGCGGAGATGAGCGCCACACCCCTAGTCAAATTCTACTGGACTTAACCATCCAAGGTTCCTTTACCTTTACTATTTATTTATATATTGTAAAATGTTGCTAGCAGGGAGTAAGTTTCATTGGACTCAGTAGGGCTTACTGAGCAGAGTGGCTATTTCCTTTCATTAAAATCAGGGGTGGGGGGTGGGGGAGAGAGATACTTTGTGTCAGGTCTGAGGCTAATGTAGTGCTGTTGATGGTAGGGAGGGTGGTTGTAGTCAAGGAGGATAAGGTACAACTTAGTGTCCCGTTTCCCTGTGCTTTAACCATTCCACCGCCACATCTCCACTTGTGGAACAACACCACCAGCATTGTTTTCCATCAACAATTCCACTGGCATATTTGTTGTGGTGGCACTATATATTCCATTTCACCAACTGGCCATATTTGAGTATAGGGTGGTACCCTTTGCCATTCGTTTTACTTCTGGCCATGGGATGCAAAGACTAGCTATTTTAATAAACACATTTCCATGTCTTCTCTTTCAGCCCGTCAAGATTTGTATTCTTGGCCCTCCTGGGGTAGGAAAAACTTCCATTGCAGAAGAACTGTGTAAACATTACAAGGTGCACCATATTAAAATAAAGGACGTGATTGCTAAAGCCATAGAAAATTTGGTAAGCAGGTCACTGTTTCATTGTAAATAAACTGAAAAGTTGTTAGCAAAATGTGGGCAGGAGACATAATTAGCATTGGATGCAGTTGAAAATAAGTTGTTTACGGTTCATTACATAGCTCCAGACTGTGCATTTTATCTTTCTTGTTCTGATGTTTGATATAATCTCTTCCTCCAGTAAACAACTCATTGGTATTCTGCTGCACTATTTCAGTAGAAATATTAGAATATTTACAGACCTATTGTCAAATAATAAACTTCACTATAGTGCCGTTCTTAGCCTTATCGATACAAGGATCATAAAGATAATATATTGATCCAATTTCAGCTAGCTTATAGACATTTATGAACATGGTCCACCAAAAGTTAACTTAATTGTGCTGAAACAGGCTTCATTTTGACTTGATTCTGTCATCAATTTCCAACTTAGGCTGTAACCCTTTGCACACTTACCGAGAGTAGTTGAATTTAGTGAGATGTGCTTTTGAGTATAAAATATGGATGATGGTGCTGTTACTGTACCAGGAAACTCCTCCTTTCTGCCTTGCCCCCTAGGGCAAATCAAAGAAAGAAAGTTTGGGACATTGTGGATCCACTTGCAGTGACCCCACCCCAAGGAGCGAAAGCCTAGTTTAAAATTGGCCACAGCTTTACTGATTTCAGGTGTAACTAGGCTTTGGCTTAGACACTGGGTGCATCTGCCTTCTCAGCCTCCTGATGGAGGGCTGACGCTTGACAGGGTCAAGCCTAAGATTATAGGTCCTCCACAAGACATGGGTCCACTGGGATGGCCCTCCCAAGCCGCTGCAGGAGCAGACTGCATGTGAATAAGAAAGATGAAGTAAGATTGTAGTGGAACAAAAAACGAAAAAGCAAAGGGGATTTTTTTATTTTTATTTTTTTGCCAAGAACAACCAACAAAGATGTCAGTTTAATGAAAAGGACAAGGAATATCAAATAAAAGAAATTATTTGTTGTGCTAGTGCATTATTTTTAATACATGGCAAGTGTCATAACAAAGACGTGTCCAGATTGCAGATCTACTTAAAGGGTAATTCCATATGGCTATTCAGTATTCATGGATTATATTCATTCAGTCATCATTGACTGGAAAGCTGATGCTCCAGTGAAAATGTGTATGAAGATCTTGTCACAATGCATTAAAATGATGTGGAAAGACTTTATTTATTATTTAAAAGCTTTTCTAAACTGCTTAATATTCAAAAATCTCTTAAGTGGTATTTAAAAATACAACATAAAAACAATTAAACAGTATCATAAAAACAGAAACAAACAGTAAAGCAATATTATAAAAAGAAGAATTAAGTAATAACAGGTTCCAGTCTCAAGAAGTGGTGATCTCAAGAAGCAGAAAACCAATGGAGACGATTAGGAGGCAGAGTAAATTAAAAACACACACATTTTTTTAAAAAAAAACTTAAGAGGATTTTTTTTTAAATGCCAGCATGACCAGATCACCTTTGAAACTCCTGTAGTAAAATGTCCCCTCCTCTTCCTCCCCCCTACCCCCTTTTTGCTGTGGTCACTTGTCATCAAGTAGAGTGGGGGGGGCAGCCCTTCTCCCAATTCTGAGTGGAATGAAAGTGGGGAAAGGTCTCCACCTACTTTACCCATTATGCCACTTTTGGGGGGAGGCAGGGTTGGGGGGAGCGGAGAAGTTAAGGTACTGCCCCCCACCCTGCCTCTTCTCCCCATGGAAAACTTCAAGGCCCAGTTTGCTTTCTTAAAAGTGACTTTGAAGGATAATTTGTTTGTATTTTTTATTAACAATTTTTATTTTTATATATATTGTGACGAGGTCAGTCATTTATAATGCGGTCCCTGGTTGACCAAAGCGGGGGAGGGGGGAGCTTTGAAGTGTGGTGGGTTTTTAAAAATATCTCTCTCTGTCTCTGTGTTCCTCAAAAACAAAACAAAAAACCAAAAAGAAATATTTGAAATATTTCCTGACTTTACTTGTGGTGTGACCATGTCCAAAACATTTATCTCAAAGGGAGAAGGGGGGAAAAACACAACCTTGTAAAAATAAAAATAAAAAACGCAAAAAAGTCAAGTCTTTATTCTGAGCATTCCAGTAACTCTTTCTCTTTCTCTTCTGTATATGTACTTTAGCTGTAGCATAACTAGTGGGTTTGTATGAGATGGCAACGTCAAAGATAAAAGGGCCTTTCTTTTTTTTTCTTTTCCTTTTTCGTTCTTTTGTCTACAAAGCTGCTGTAAAAATTTTTTTTATTTATTTTTGCCTGTTTGATGTATGTGTGAAAACAATGTTGTTCAACAATAAACTGGAATTTTGTTTTGCTGAGTTGGTCTAACAGAAAAACAACAACCTAAGAAGTGAGTTAAGTGCAGAACAATGATAAACTGAGAGAAACTAGCATTGACAGATTTGCCCATTCCTATTTATTTATTTTTTTTACAATAAGTACTAGATTAATTCATTAACTCAAATACATAACCGAGTATAGAAACCATAAGCTAAAAAACCAATGTCATGCTGTGGGATAGGAGGAAAGAGAAATCGAAGTTGGAGTTGCTTTAGAGTAACTTTGGCAGGTTTGTGGTTCCATTCAGAGGGGCTCAGCTTAGTTGCTATCATTTTTGTGTAACTGAGGCAAAATTTGTCCAGAATTTGAGTGGCATTTTCTTTCCTATTACACCCCTAGGAGAAAATTGTTGCTCCTAAAGAAATAGTAGAGCCTGAAGTGGTGGAAGAGGAGGAAGAAGAGGAGGAAGAGGCAGAAGAAGAAGGGGAGAACATAGAAGAAGCCCAGGAATTATTAGATTCAGTTAAAGAAAACATGGAGCAAAATGCAGGTGAATTTTGTTTGCAATGAAAAGATAGTCTAGTTATTTGCATGCAGCTTATGTGAAATGCATGTCTGCCTTCTGAATCTTGTTAAACCTAGTCCATGAGATTTCCAGTCCAATATTCAGCATGACATACAGTGTCCTGTTAGTGAATTCGGGGGAAGGGGAGCAAAAAACAGGATGTCTCACGTGCCCAATTATAAAAGATTATGCAAATTTAATAATGTTTTCCTGTAAAACTAGGTCGTCTGGATGATAGCTTTGTGGTTAGGTTCATGAAAGAAAAGCTAATGTCTATGCCTTGTAAGAACCAAGGATATGTTTTGGATGGGTTTCCAAAGACCTACGACTTGGCAAAGGATCTTTTTAATCGTAAGTAAGAGTCCTCTACTGTACTTGTCGTTACTGTACATTGCACTATGTAACAAGTGCTAGTGGCCACATTTACAATAAAGTAGTTTTATCATAACTGTGAAATTATGCTGAAACAAGTGTGTTCATGATTATAACTTGAAATATCTATTCTCCATTGATGATCACTAGTGTTTTTAAGTTACTAGCAGCTCATATATGAGAGATACGAGGGTTAGGAAAATCCAGAAGATCAAGACAGACAACAAATTCTGCACTAAGGGCAACACTGGAAACACTGGAGAGTTGCAACTACGTTAACATCTTTTATTGTTTGCCTTTGTTTCCCTGTTCTCTAGCTTTAGTGTTGTAGCTTGCAAGTGGATTTAGAAATCATGATATTTGAAAATATAATGAAAAAGTGCAACTCTGGGGTGGGGAGCGTAAACAATTTAAGACTATTTTGCTGTTCCCCCTCTCCTAAATTGATTATTTTGACTGTATCTTATACTGTGCTGCTGTTTCCCGCTCTGAGATAAATTATGAAAAATAAATAAAAGATTATTCCTAGGGGCAGGAAGGGTGAGAACAAATAATAGATGGCGGAGATCTGTGAGTACGTTTCCCATCTCATTAAATTTTGGCAAATATAGTCAACTCACAACTTACTGTACATCCTACAATTTCTTTGCCAAAATTTAAAGAAGCAGGAGAGTCAGTCATGGATCTCCCTCATCCTGTTCTGTTTTGCCCTCTGACAGAGATTTCCCCCCAGAAATGTATTACAATGCATTGAGGACACTATTGTGCCCTGTACACACAAACCCTAGTTGGGAGAATCTGCAGAGCCCCCTTGAGGATCTTGGGTGGTTGAGTGTCTGCTTGTATGGGGAAAATCAACAGATCAGACCTCATTTAAAATAACTACATATGGTAGCAAACTGGTTGAGAGATATCTGTAACTTGTGAAAATGCCATGGTTTGTGAAAATGCTGTACATCATGGTTAGGTACAAAAATGAAAAGGAGAGGGAGGAGGAGCATGGAGGAAAGATCCTATGAGCCTGCAGGGTAGGATGTGTTTGGGGCATAGTTAGAGAGCATAATAGAAAAGTCCTATCTCTGCTGAGTGATACTAGACATTTTTAGTACTGTAATCTTTAGTGTGCAAGTTTCTATTGATGACATCTTAATTGCGTTTTTTTAAAAGTTGAAGACGAGGAGGAAGAGGATGATCTAAAAGGCAAAATTCATCACTATGACAAAGTAATAATTTCTGGTAAGTTTGCTTTGCTTAAGGCCAAACTAGATGTGATGGTGGCAGTTCCAAGTATTTAAACCAAAATCTGCCCTGGTTATATAAGAGGGTGGTTGAAAGTGTCCCATTTTTAACAACAAAAGAAGGTACACTGATGGAAAGTACAGCCCCCTTTCTGCAACTTCTCCACCTAACTTAACTAGCCGTGTGGTATTCTCAGAAGATTAATTCTCATATATGTTTTCCTCCACAGACTATGTAATTTCCTTGAATGCTTCGGATGAATTCCTGAAAAATCGTATCATGAATCTCCCTGAATCTGTTGTTGCTGGAACTCATTATGCTCAGGACCGGTACTTGAGATCCCTGAATCTTTTCAGGGAGTTAAACACAGAAGACGAAACTGTTCTCAACTATTTTGATGAAATAGAAATACATCCACAGTATATTGGTATGGTTGAAAGTGCATTTAATTTCTTAATCTCCCTTTCTCTTTGAGAAACCAAGAGACGAGAGGCACAATAGCGCTCTCTCCTGAAATCCCCCAGTGAAAAAGGAAGGGGGAAAATCTCTGCAAAGGTAGCTTCAGTGAACCAAGAGGCCAAAGTACTGCAACTAACAATCAGGGCAATTTCTAACAACTCACACTGAAATCTATAGGAGCAATACTTATTTGAGATAGTAAAAAGAGCACCAGTTCAAAGATCCTGTAACCCAATGCAGATTTTTTTTTAAGTCAATAATTTTAGCACACACCCCAAGATAACAAGAAAATAGTTCAGTTTAGGTTGGAATACTTTTTGCTCTTCAACCAATCTTAAGGTAAGATTGTTGGAACTTTCCAGAAACTAATCAGGAGATGGACCCTTAGGACAGGCTCAGCCTCAAGGTGTTGTCTCTTGTGGCTTAAGAATGCACAGTGACCCTGGGACTTCAGTACCCACCTCAAGATAAGGACTGTAAATCCCAAGGTGCTAGCAGTTAACTCAGGGTCCCAAACAGCCTCAATTTGCTGAAAAAATGCCCAGCTTTGAATCATCACAACTCCAATTATTGTCATGTTTAAGATAATAACGTAGGACAACGATTTTAACTAAGTAACCTTGTGCCTGTGGTGTAACTAATAAGTTTCCTCATTTTTCTCTCTCCATACTTGAAAGATGTATCAAAGTTTGAAGGTCTGGAGAACAGAGTTATAGCGAAAGAAATCATCAAAACTATTGGCGAGCCTCGAAATTATGGTTTGACAGATGAAGAGCTGGAAGAATTTGAACGAAAACAAGCTGAAGAACGCCTTGCAAGAGAAGCTAAAGAAAAGGCTGATTTGGAACAAAAAGAAGCTGAGGAAAGGGCTCAAAAATTGGCAAACTGGGAAGAATGGGTAAGTAAATCCCAAATGCTAGATAATTCTAATATAAAGAGATTGCCCCCCCACACACACACCAAAAAATGCTAACATGGCACACACAAATGCCTATTTGCACATTGCAGGTGGGAAGAAATGAGGAGAGGGAGAGAATTATTTACATGAGGCACTACCACTGCTTCTCTCATGTAACTTTACAGGCAAAGAGATGCAGTAATAGATTACTGAAAGATTTTAGATGGCTTTCTTCTGTGTATCTAGTAAATATACTCAAGAGCAGAATTGGCAACGCAATGAATAGGCTGCACTGGGATTGCATAACTATATTGATAGTTCCTATTTAAAGTCAATGCAGAAGTTTATTTTGAGATGAATCGGTTTGGTCTAAATAGCAGCCTCATATATAAGTATCCAATTCCTTCTCATGTACCCTTCAATTTTTGTTATAATTGATTGTATGTAAGTCACACTGGGAATGGCTGAATGGGGTATAAATGCTATAAATAAATTCTAAACTTCATGTCACATTTCTGCAGCAAAAAACTTAACAGCCCCCCCCCCCCGTGGCTTTAAAAGTTCTTAATATTGTGTCTACTTACCTCAGTCTATGGTGTTTTTTGTACACCATAGTACTTGGAATATATTAAAGTTTTAGATTAAGGTACGAATAAATAATAGCTGAATAGGGGAAGGAACTATAGCTCAACAGTTGTGCATACAGAAGATATTACACACACAGCAAGTTCATATGCAGAACTCCATGCAAACTGTGTGTCCCATCGCATCACACATGAGGATTGATATACATTTATCTTTTTTTTTTTTTTTTTACGAAGAACACAGAATACCACATACATGTGTGATTGCTACATGGAACAATCCGCTTACAGTTGGCATGGAATTCTCCACATGGAATGGCATTTGTGCAGAAAACATCACAGCAGACCTCAATCATTTGTTATTGTGTTAACATTTTCTTTGAGGCACGTGCATAATGGTTTAGGTATGCAGTGTTAAATTTCAGAAATGTGTATTTAGATCTATTTAGAATTTAAGAACTAAGAACCAGTAATACAAAATGGAATGCATTTTATAAAGTCAAATTTCCTGGACCTAAATTTGTTTTGGGTTTTGTATTCTGTCTAAGCATAGCCTAAATATATATTTATCTCTGCATTTTTTAAGAATAAACGTTTGGAGGAAGTGAAGCGGCAAGAACAAGAGCTTCTGGAAGCTCAGTCCATTCCATTGAGAAACTACTTAATGAAGCATGTCATGCCAACACTTATGCAAGGCTTGAATCACTGCTGCATGGTTAGGCCAGATGACCCTGTTGACTTTCTGGTAAGGAAATGCATTTTCCCTGTATTTGTCTGTCTGTCTTTTTCTTTTTCTTTTCTTTCTTTTTTTTAAATGATATTTATTAAGGTTTCAATAAAAGATTAAACAGAAAAACATAAACGAAAAATACACAATTCAAAAAAGCACAATACATAATCCAAAAAAAAGAAAAAAAAGAACAAAGAAAAAACAAAATACAAGACAAAAAGAACAATTAAAAACAATATCACCTTTTCGTTTCCATCTTTAAATTTACTTGTTTTCTGGACCTCCTCATACCTCCCTCTTTTGTATTCCAGTTCAAATTGTTTGTCCAGCAATTTCTTTCCCTCTTTTTTAATCCCAATCTTTAATCTTAATATAATATAACATTAAAATTTTACCTCTTAAAAGCCAAATTTCCATTTCCTTAAACTTCTTTAATCCTAATCCTTAATCTTAGTTTATCTATAACTTTAAATCCTGTACAGCTGGAAACCACTCATTTTCAATCCAACATCACTCTAACATTCTTTAATTTTACAGTGTTTCTGTAGATAATTGAATTTCTTCCAATCTTCCTCCACCGACTCTTCTCCCTGGTCACGGATTCTACCAGTCATTTCCGCCAGTTCCATATAGTCCATTAGTTTCATCTGCCATTCCTCCAGTGTGGGAAGTTCTTGTGTCTTCCAATACTTTGCAATGAGTATTCTTGCTGCTGTTGCTGCATACATAAAGAAAGTTCTATCCTTTTTTATCACCATTTGGCCGACCATGCCCAGGAGAAAGGCCTCTGGTTTCTTGGGGAAGGTATATTTGAATACCTTTTTTAATTCATTATATATCATTTCCCAGAAAGCCTTAATCTTTGGGCACGTCCACCAAAGGTGAAAAAAATGTACCTTCAGTTTCTTTACATTTCCAACATTTATTATCGGGCAAATGATAGGTTTTTGCAAGCTTGACTGGGGTTATGTACCACCTGTATATCATTTTCATAATATTCTCTCTTAAGGCATTACATGCCGTAAATTTCATACCTGTGGTCCACAACTGTTCCCAGTCAGCGAACATAATGTTATGTCCAACGTCTTGTGCCCATTTAATCATAGCCGATTTTACCGTTTCATCCTGAGTATTCCATTTCAGCAGCAAGTTATACATTCTTGACAAATTCTTAGTTTTGGGTTCTAACAGTTCAGTTTCTAATTTTGATTTTTCCACCTGGAAGCCAATTTTCTTGTCCAATTTAAATACCTCCATTATCTGAAAATAATGAAGCCAGTCTCGCACTTTGTTTTTAGTTTTTCAAAACTCTGCAATTTCAGTCTATCTCCATCTTGTTCCAAAATTTCCCAATATTTCGGCCATTTGACCTCCATATTGAGCTTTTTCAAGGCTTTCGCTTCCATTGGTGACAGCCACCTTGGGGTTTTGTTTTCTAACAAATCCTTATATCTTATCCAAACATTAAACAGCGCTTTCCTGACAATATGGTTTTTAAATGCTTTATGTGCTTTGACCTTATCATACCATAGATATGCATGCCATCCAAATACATTGTTAAAACCTTCTAGGTCCAAAATGTCAGTGTTTTCAAGAAGTAGCCATTCTTTCAACCAGCAAAAGCTGCTGATTCATAGTAAAGTTTAACGTCTGGCAGGGCAAATCCACCTCTTTCCTTTGCATCCGTTAGTATTTTAAATTTTATTCTGGGCTTCTTGCCCTGCCAGACAAATCTAGAAATAGCTTTCTGCCACCTCTTGAAACAATCCATTCTGTCCACAATTTGCAAAGTTTGAAACAAAAACAACATTCTAGGCAATACATTCATTTTTATCGCAGCAATACGGCCCAGCAGTGAAAGCTTCAAATTTGACCAAATTTCTAAATCTTTTTCACTTCAGCCCAACATTTTTCATAGTTGTCTTTAAATAAATTCCCATTTTTGCTGTCATGTTAATCCCCAGGTATTTAACTTTCTTAACCACTGTTAAACCTGTCTCATTCTGAAACCTCTCTCTTTCAATCGGTGTTAAATTTTTCTCTAAAACCTTAGTTTTTGACTTGTTCAATTTAAATCCTGCTACTTGACCAAATTCTTGAATCAGTTCTAAAACCCTTTTGATACTAGATTCTGGCTCCTGTAACGTCAATACTAAGTCATCTGCAAATGCTCTCAATTTGTACTGTTTGGCTCCGACCTGTATACCTTTTACCAACTGGTCCCTTCTAATCATATTCAGCAAAGCCTCCAGGACTGATGCCTGTCTGTCTTTTTCAATTATAGTAAAAAAAAAAAAAAAAAGTATGTCCCATTTTTTATTACATACTTGTGAATTCTAGACATGCTACATTGGTGTCATAAACCCAACAAAGATTTTTGTACTGTCCTGCCTTTATTCCATCAGTCACTGTGGGCAACCTACAGTTTCACCAGTAAAACTCATTTGAAGCCCAAATTTTGACATTTGCTTCATTTGTTCAACTGTGAAAAATCAAACTGTGCACTACAGTTGATTCCAGATTGCTTCTTTTTGGCTCACTCTCCAATCAGTTTTCTTTGCCCCCAATAGCGCTGTCACTTAGCCAAATCTAACTGGCTGCATAGTGTTGCAATAGCATTCTAATTATGGGTTTTAGGTGAGGGGTAGTACATCTGGTGAGAAACATGTCGTGTTCCTTCCGGGGTAGTTTGTTGACATTATTATTATTATTATTATTATTATTATTTTGGTCCCAACCCTGCACTCCGCTCTGGCGGATTGAGTGGGTGAGACCAATAGTGAGTCCAGCGGTCAAGAAGCAGTGCACAGAAATGGAAAATGGTGAACAATCGCACAATTTTGGAGGGTTTCAATAAATACAATGATGTTAGTATAAGCCACTGTTCAGTGCTATATGTACGGAAACAAACCTATATTACGGTATGAAAAATTTGTGACTTTTTTTTGGTAAATTTTAAATCAACAGGCAGAATATCTCTTCAAGAATAATCCTGAATTTGACTAAGAAGTATGCAACCTCATTGCAATATCAGGTGTAGTTTCAGATTATTATGTTTCCTCTTTATCACTGTAAAATAATACTGGAATAAAAAGTTTCATGATTGTTCAAGATTTGTGGTTAGTTTCATATTATCCTCTTACCCTCAAAAGTGCTCTGACAACTGATAGCATAAGAAGGCCCACATTTGTATTTAGAGCAGATAAGCCACATGCAATAAAGTGTTAAGCACTGTCTCCACACCATTTTATTTGCTCTAAATATGAAAGTCCCTTTTCCTGAAAAGATCAATGTTTGGTTGCACATGCTTATATGTAGCATGTACTTAAGCTCCAGAAGTAGTGGGCATGAAGACTTTGCAATTCCCTTTCATGACGTACTACAAGTTCTTTTTACAGTGCAATCCCATGCGACTTTATTCAGCAGTAATTCTCACTGGTCAGAGGAACTTACTCAATGCAAGTGTACTTTGGATTGATAAAAGAAAAAAAATCAAGCTTAAACCATCTATGATCTTGGACAATTGCCACAGAGTCATATGAAAAGTAGACCCATTAATTTCAATGGTCATCAATTTTAGTGAGTTTAAGTATGATCTGGTTGCATACAGCTTCCCCCTTCTTTCCCTATTTGAGCAAGATATTGGAAAGGCTGGAGCCCTCTTACAGTGAGGGGGGAAAGTACCGTATTTTTCACTCTATAAGACGCACCAGACCACAAGACGCACCTAGTTTTTGGAGGAGGAAAACAAGAAAAAAAATATTCTGAATTTCTGAATCTCGCTGCGCAGTGAAAGCAGCAATCCCTCTTGCTGTTCTGGCTTCTGGGATAGCTGCACAGCCTGCATTTGCTCCATAAGACGTACACACATTTCCCCTTACTTTTTAGGAGGGAAAAAGTGAGTCTTATAGAGCAAAAAATACGGTATTTGATCCCCTGCTAAATTTTCCCATTTGCCCTCTGACGAAGAAATGACCAGTCCATAATTGTAATGGTAGGTTTATTGTAGCTGTGAGAGACAGAATAACAACAGGAAAACCTCCAGAAACCCAGAAGACAAAAGTCAGAGATTGATGTGCATTATAACGAGTGAAATAAGTGCAGTGGTACCTCAGGTTAAGTACTTAATTCGTTTTGGAGGTCTGTTCTTAACCTGAAGCACCACTTTAGCTAATGGGGCCTCCTGCTGCTGCCGCGCCGCCGCTGCATGCTTTCTGTTCTCATCCTGAAGCAAAGTTCTTAATCCGAGGTAATATTTCTGGGTTAGCAGAGTCTGTAACCTGAAGCGTATGTAACCCGAGGTACCACTGTATTTGATCCCCTATCAACCAGCCAGGTGTCAGGCTACCTGGTATCCTCACTGTATGTAACGAGCTGAGATTAGAAGCACCTGCTATAAGGGAGAGGTCTTGCTTGTAATCCCAGCTTGTTACAGTACCTGTACAAAAGGCACCTGTCAACAGAAGCAATCAATCCAGCAGATTCCAAACTAGCCACCGTGACCAAGACCAAAGAGCTGTCCAAGCATGTCAGGGACCAGATTGTAGACCTGCACAAGGCTGGAATGGGCTATAAGACTATTGCCAAGCACCTTGGTGAGAAGGTGACAACAGTTGATGCAATAATTCGCAATTGGAAGAAACACAAAAAACAACTATCAACCTCCCTCGGTCTGGGGCTCCATGCAAGATCGCATCTTGTGGAGTTGCAATGATCAGGAGAACGGTGATGAAGCAGCCCAGAACTACACGGGGGGAACTTGTCAATGATCTCAGGGCAGCTGGGACCATAGTCACCATGAAAACAGTTGGTAACACACTACGCCGTGAAGGACTGAGATCTTGCAGAGCCCGCAAGGTCCCCTTCCTCAAGACAGCACATGTACAGGCCGGTCTGCAATTTGCCAATGCACATCTGAATGACCCAGAGAAGTGGGTGAAAGTGTTGTGGTCAGATGAGACCAAAATCGAGCTCTTTGGCACCAACTCAACTCGCCGTGTTTGGAGGAGGAGGAATGCTGCCTACGACCCCAAGAACACCATCCCCACCGTCAAACATGGAGGGGGACATATTATGCTTTGGGGGTGTTTTTCTGCTAAGGGGACAGGACACCTTCACTGCATCGAAGGGACGATGGACGGGACCATGTATCGTCAAATCTTGGGTGAGCACCTCCTTCCCTCAGCCAGGGCATTGAAAATGGGTCAAGGATGTGTATTCCAGCGTGACAATGACCCAAAACACCCGGCCAAGGTAACAAAGGAGTGGCTCAAGAAGAAGCACATTAAGGTCCTGGAGTGGCCTAGCCAGTCTCCAGACCTTAATCCCATCAAAAATCGGTGGAGGGAGCTGAAGGTTTGAGTAGCTACACATCAGCCTCAAAACCTTTCTGACTTGGAGAAGATCTGCAAAGAGGAGTGGGACAAAATACCTCCTGAGATGTGTGCAAACCTGGTGGCCACCTACAAGAAATGTCTCCTGGGAACTGTAGCTTAATGGTGCTGGGAACTGTCTCTGTGAGGGCTGAACTACAGTTCCCAGGAATCGGGGGGGGGGGGGACGGCAGGGGAGCCAGGTGCTGTAAACGTAGAGTGGATGTGACCCTGTTTTTCATGGTTTTTGTCTTCATCAGGCAACAATCCAGGGCCGGATTTAGGCTTGATGAGGCCCTAAGCTACTGAAGGTAATGGGGCCCTTTATATGTCCAGCTGTCCTTTGTCAACAACAAATTGTCACTTTTTTGTGTTGAATATATGCTATATGGTAATTTATGGACCTAATAGGTATCTAAAGCCATTTGCACATAACAAATTATGTATTTTATCAAAGTAATTGTTGAACTGAAATACAATTAAGAAAAGTATATCAATAGTGAAATTGGGGGGGGGGCAAGAGAGAGGGGCCCTAGTCTATAGCTTGTTTAGTTTATACGTAAATCCGGCACTGCAACAATCCTATCATTTACAAACTTTTAACGGTCCTCCTATAAAGTGGATTAAATGAGTGATAATTATGCGCTAAACCGGCGTAGTGGCTCGCAAGGAATTACACCAGAATGCAAACGTCTCCAAGCGCGTACTAGATGGATCTCCTCCTGTTTGCCGCTTAGGAAAGGCAAACAGCAAAGGACGGGTTAACTCCGAACTGCGCGCCACCAAGCGAGTACTGTCCTCGGGCGCCTGCGCATCAGCCGCGCCAGCCGTTGGCAGCTTTCAAAAGTTCGAACTCGCCTGCCTGCAAGGACTACACTTCCCGCCAGCCAACGCAAAGGCCCGGCGCATGCGCAGGAGCGCACGTCTCTCGACGCAGGGCAGGCGCCGCCGTTGCGTCAGCGCGCCAACTGGCCCTGCACGCCTCTGCCCCCCTCCCCTCCCTCGCCCCAGAACGTTGCTGTGGTAGCGCCTGGGCGCCATGTTAGGAGGCCGGAGGGGAAGAGGAAGGACTAGAGGAAGCGGCGGCGGCAGCAGCAACAACAGCGGCGGCGGCGGCGGCGGCCACCAGGCCTAGCAAGCGGCTCTCCCCCCTCGGCCAGAGGGCCCGAGCCAGGCCCGTATCATGCTCGCGTCGCCCGCTTCCCACGGGCAGGAAGAGTGACTGTTCCGGGGAAGAGGTGGCGGCGCTTAACCCACAGCCGGAGAGACGATGCCGTTGTAAGTGGAGGCCGGGTCTGGCGTGAGGGGGGGGCGGGTGGAAGAAGCCCCGGGAAGCCTGGCAGGCAACCTGAGCGAGCGCTTCCGGGACCCAGGGCTTCCCCTCCTCGCCGTGTAGGCCCTCCGTTTGAACCCGCCTCGTCGGCCCTCATTTCCCTTGGCGCACAAATCCTCTCCCTTCCCACGCTCGCTCTCTCTCTGTGTGTTTCGGCGCCTGAGGGCCTCGTTCCTCTCGCCCCCCCTTTTTTTTTTGCCCTGGCGCAGAACTTCGGGGGAGGAGGGGGCGGCCTCGGCGGCGCCTACGACCCTCAGCCTTAGCCCCACAACAAGTGGCGGCGGGCATTTCACGCCTCGCCTCACGCTCGGCCCTCTTGCCGCTTTCTCAGGCCTTGTGGGGGGGGTGAGCGTTTTGTGGGGCAGAGAGAGGACGCATGTGCGGCGTCTCGCGGGCGCCGAGGCCTATCTGGGGAGGTGCGCAGGCCCCGCCGCGCGCCGGAATCAGCCGGATGGTGGCAAAAGTCTGCCAACCAACTGCTGGGAGCGCCATCGCCGCCTCCCTCCCGCCGGTGTTGCGAAATCCCTGCCCACCTTCCTCCCCGCATCCCCGCCACACGTTATTTGAAGGGGGGGGGCTGGCTGGCGGGAATTGTAACGTGAACGAAAAATCCTGTGCTGCTTAGGAGATCTCGCCTGAAGCACACCTGCAGCTTTTTAAAGTTGCACGCCTCTTGTTGAGTAATACCTGGAGAGGGCCAGCTTATTTTGTGGCCTTAGCCTCCCCCATCCCCCGTCCTCCTTTGTTTTGTTTTCTCTCCAACTAGAGGTTTTCTGTTGGCCGCTGAACATCTCGCTATACAGTTCTATGTAAACTATGGCCTGTTGGCTACGCAAGTAAAGTCTTTGTTGTTGTTGTTCTATGTAAATGTGTTGGCACTCGTTTGGTTGCACCGTGTTCCTTGTGAGGCATTGTCATGCTCGTGAACGCATTTTTTTTTATTAAAAACAAATTGTATTTGGGGTAACTGGCACTGTGTGCACACCATGTATTTAAAACCCATTCAAAGCACAACACACACCCCAGAAAAGAATTCTGGGAACTGTAGTTCTGCTCCCAGTCCCAGAGCTGCAATTCCCAGCATGCTGAACAAATTGCAGTTCCCAGGATGTAGGTGGGGGTGTATTTTTTAAATGCATGGTATGTGCACAGCCCAAGCCTACATTTATAATTTTGTGTACAGGTCTTTTCTGATACACAATGTTTGCTGGGGGTTGAACTGTGTGTTCTAGTTGCATTCTATTGCAGAAACCCCTGGAGAGTCTACAAAATAAACGTTTGTTTTCATTGTGTGAACTTTGCCATAGTTGTGTGCTGGGTATGTTAGGTAAATAATCCTTGACAATTCTTAATAGTGGGTATACGTTTGTGAAATGTATGTAATAGGTTTTTTAATTGTTTTTGGGAACAGTTGTTTCAGATTCCTTTCTGAATGTCTTGCAAAAACTAGTTTAACAAAGTTGTAAGATCCTGAATGAAAAACTAGTTGGTGACTTGAGGTGATGATAATGAGCACATTCCCTCTTTTCTAATATGGATTTGTTTCATGTGTTTTTTCATTAACATTTACATAAAATTTAAGAGACTATCCCCTGCAGCCAGTGTTAGAAACTCAGATATATAAGCTAGGCGCCAAATGGCTCTTTAAACCAAAATGGAATGTCTAGTTGCCATTGTGGGGTAAGGTGGCTCTAAAGTATTTTTCAAATGATTGATTGACTGTGACTGATTATGAATTAAACATCTGACAACCTTGAGCTAACTTAAGAACTTTGAGAACTTTAAGAAGAAAAGTCACTTGATCCAGGGACAGTCCACATACATATTGGCCTATTTCTACCTCTTTTTCTTAATTGTGGCTGCTGCTGCTCAGGCTGCACAGAAAAAGCATTTTGGTTCCTGGAATTCATTCTGATTGTGCAGATAAAATCTAACTGAATTCTATAGGATGGGGTCTTAGTGTGTGAAAACAGTGATCCCCAGGCATGCACCTCCAGGTGGTGGAGGTGTGAGGCGCTATCCTGGTGCCCAGGCATCTTTACTTGGTCACAAGTGGTTGATAGCCAGCTGCAAAATATGCCTGGCTAATTTTGAACATTGCCTGCAGCAGATGAATAACTTACAATGAAATATTGTAAAGTTTTATCTGCCTGTTTGCCAACATCATAATTCTGTTTGAAAGGACCACTTTAGAAAAATAAAGAGCTATACATACTTTTGAGGATCAGGCTATGTCCAAACCCTTATGAGCTCAGTTAAGTGAGAGAAATTGAGGGTTCTTGCAAAAACTTACCAGGTTAATACATGATATAAATGTGGAGACTAGTTTTTAATTTGATATAATATTTGTATCCCGCTTTTCCATCAACAAATGTTGAGCTCAAAGTGGCTCACAATAATCACAATAGCATTTAAAAAACCAACATTGTGGTCACTAATATCAAACACAATAGTGTATAAATAAACAAAGAAAAACAAATTCATCAAAATAACAGAATTCAATAAAGTAAAAGTAACTCCTGGTACTGCAAGGCTACATGGAGCCTTACTCCAGAATAAGCTGATCTACCTGGGCTTTCCAACTTCTGCATTCCCCACAAGACCTTTTTAGTGTTTTTTCAGTTTCCATGAGGACTTCTGCTTACACTATGGAATTTCCCCTCCCTCTCTTCTCCTTCTCCCCCCATCTGCTCTAGAGGACTGGTGTTTGATGGACTTGGATCCAGTACCTGTAATACCCTTCAGGATGTACAAAGTAGGATTTCCCCTTTTTCTAACAGCATCCCTCCCGCAACATACTGCAAACTGCTTATGAAGGTTGATGAATTTGCTAACAAAAATGTGTTTGCGAGTACATGTATGTAAGATACAGTTTAAGAAATATACTCTTAATGTTTTTAAAAAGGTTGCTGAGCATCACATAATACATCATTGGAATTTTTATTTCTCTTTTTTCCATTGTTTTTAAACACTTTATATAATAAAGTGTCTTCTCGTGCCTTGTTTTTGCTGTGAAGGTAGTGTTCCCCAGCAGTCAATGTTGAATTTTCTTTGGAGCCAGGTTGAAGGCTCTTTGGGATGGAGCTTAGTGGTGCTTTTCAATGTTTTATTTAGATCTTTGAGTGCCATAACAAGGCAACATGGGGTGAAGGAACTTTATAACTTTTCCCAGTACTGACAGAATACATAAAAGGGAAGTAGGATTGAAAGCTTTCATTATGGTTGTGTCCTTGATTAATAAAATCATAAGGATCAGAAAAGATAAACTAGTGCTGCCTGTTTCTTCTGCGCTGGAACTGGAGGAAAGGTTGTTTGGGTTGTAAAAGTGATTAGCTCCCTTCTCCCTCAGTAAGTAAGCATTGCACTTTGTGGAAGTGTATTGCGGACTTAGAATCTTTTGGGGAAATTTTAGTTTGGTTTGAATTTTAGAATCAAATGCAACTGATTAGAGGGGTAGTACACTATGCATTTTGAAAGGAGAATCCATAGTTTCTGCATGGTGCTTAAACAAGTGATTTGAGTGTCTTTGTATTGTTCTTGGAATTGATCTAACCATATTATAATTAGTTTTACTGTAACCTTAGGCTGAGCTCAGCTTATATTGGGATGTGTAATGTATGGTCAGAGAGAAAAACCCTCCCTTTGTGGTAGGATTGGGGGCTTGACAACCATAATTTTTTTTGCTCGCTACAAGTTGTAGATTTGAGTGGAAAAAAATGGATCACTGATGAGAGTGGTTTATTTGTTTTCTACTATAAAACTTGTTGATGATTAAAGTGTGTTTAATTCATAATTAGTATGAAAGTATGGCCATATGTAGAATAGGGTTTTTCTATTGCCTTGTAACTCCCAAAGACGTTGAAAGATTTTATTTCTGGAAGCTTTGAAAATATTAGTTGTAATAATGATTGGCTTTCGGGTTTTTTAAATGCATCGTTGTTTTCCACCCTTTGCTTCTTTTAGAGACAGGGCTGGATAAAAATCATTTACTCTTCATAATAAAAGTCTCCTGAGAATTGGGGCCTCTCAGGAAAGGCTTATTTAGGATGTGTTTGTTTGCTGAAAATGACAGAAATAATAATAAATAATAATAAATTTTATTTATATCCCGCCCTCCCCAGCCGAAGCCGGGCTCAGGGCGGCTAACAACAATAAAACAGTATAAAAGTATAGCATAAACAACACTCTAAAATCATTCATTATAAAATTAATTAATTCAGGCCACTGGCAACCATTGGGCCAGAGCTCCGCGAAGATTGCCGAGGGAGGGAGTCAGGCTGTGCCCTGGCCAAAGGCCTGGTGGAACAGCTCTGTCTTGCAGGCCCTGCGGAAAGATGTCAAGTCCCGCAGGGCCCTGGTCTCTTGTGACAGAGTGTTCCACCAGATCGGAGCCACAGCCGAAAAAGCCCTGGCTCTAGTTGAGGCCAGCCTAACTTCTCTGTGGCCTGGGACCTTCAAGATGTTTTTATTTGAAGACCGTAAGTTTCTCTGTGGGGCATACCAGGAGAGGCGGTACCGTAGGTACGAGGGTCCTAGGCCGTATAGGGCTTTAAAGGTTAAAACCAGCACCTTAAACCTGATCCTGTACTCCACCGGGAGCCAGTGCAGCTGGTGTAGCACCGGGTGAATGTGATCTCGCAGTGAAGACCTCGTAAGGAGTCTCGCTGCAGCATTCTGCACCCGCTGGAGTTTCTGGATCAGTCTCAAGGGCAGCCCCACGTAGAGCGAGTTACAATAATCCAGTCTGGAGGTGACCGTCGCGTGGATCACAGTGGCTAGGTCAGGGCGAGAGAGGTAAGGAGCCAACTGCTTAGCTTGGCGGAGATGGAAAAATGCCGCCTTTGTTATAGCTGCAATCTGCGCCTCCATGGAAAGGGAGGTGTTGAAGATTACACCCAAACTCTTAACGGATGGTGCTGGCACTAATTGCGCCCCCTCAAGAGATGGGAGTTGCCCCCCCCCAATCCCATATCGCCCCGTCCCAGCCACAGGACCTCTGTCTTCGAAGGATTTAGCTTCAACCGGCTCCCACGTAACCATCCAGCCACAGCTTCCAAACATCTGGTCAGTGTGTCTGGGGCCGAGTCAGGATGGCCATCCATCAACAGATAGAGTTGGATGTCATCGGCATACTGATGGCAACCCAGCCCAAAACTCCGAACAAGCTGGGCGAGGGGGCGCATAAAGATGTTGAAAAGCGTCGGGGAGAGTATCGCACCCTGAGGTACTCCACACACCAAGGAGTGGCGCGATGACAATTCCCCCCCAAGCGCCACCCTCTGTCCCTGACCAGAGAGAAACGAGCGCAGCCATTGAAGGACTGTGCCCTGGATCCCCACGTCGGCAAGGCGGTGGTCCAGAAGTTCGTGATCGACCATGTCGAAAGCTGCTGACAGATCTAGAAGAATCAGCAGCCCCGACCCGCCTCGATCCAGCTGTCTACGAAGATCATCTGTTAGGGCGACCAGAGCCGTCTCGGTCCCATGACCAGCGCGGCAGCCGGACTGGAATGGATCCAGAGCCGATGTTTCATCCAGAAACCCACCAAGCTGTTCAGCAACCGCTCTCTCAATCACCTTACCCAGGAACGGAAGATTCGAAACCGGGCGGTAATTGGATAGATCTAAAGGATCTAATGATGTTTTCTTTAAGAGCGGGCGCACCACTTCCTCCTTCAGTTCCCCTGGGAATCAGGCTGGGCCCACTAAGTTTACGTCTTTCTTCATAGCAGTATCATTTTAGTTCTAATGAAGATGATGCTTTGAAAACATATGATAGGTCAACTGGCTTATTTTTTGACTTGTCACACAAATACACAAGTCTAGTGACGGTTATAGTGTTTTTTATTACTGGATTATATGGAAAATAAATTCTTCATTTGCAGCTTGTAATGGAATTTAAGCCATTTTGAATATCTTGTTGGGCAGAGCTTCATAAGTACAATTCAAGTCAACAATGTATGTGCATGTTGTACAACTAACAGTGATGTACAGAGAATTTTTCAGACCTTTATTTTTTTGCAGAGTTTTATCATTAGCATATTTTAATTAGTAACAACAAGTGGATGCTAGTTGCAGATGCAGTATTAGACATGCAGTATTAGACATGAAACTGTCAGTTTCAAAGTTTTTAGCTTTGTTTACTGACTGCAAGTAAAATAAACTTACTAAATTAGATCTCTTTGGGGGCATCACAAATGCAAACTGGAATTCCCCCCCCCCCCAAATCCCCACAGTACTAGTAATTACAGTCATACCTCATGTTACGTTTGCTTCAGGTTACGTGTTTTTGGGTTGCAGACCGTGGGAAACCCGGAAGTACCAGAACGGGTTACTTCTGGGTTTCGCCGCATGCGTAGAAGTGCTAAATCACACTTCGCGCATGCGCTGAAGCGCCAAATGGAACCTGCGCAGACACGACACTTCAGCTTGCGAACGCTGTGGGTTGTGGACGTGCGTCTGTCACGGATTATGTCCGCAACCCGAGGTTCCACTGTATATTATAATTATTTTTAAATGGTGGTTTCTCTTCTCCAGATTAGTACACCGTAGACACATGAAGCTGAGTTTAGTTTAGTTCCTGGCTCCATATCCCTCTAGTTCCTATATTTTTGATCCAAGAGAATTATTATATGCAGTAGCCCATAGTTTATTTTACAGTATAGCTTCTTATTAAGGCTTCTCATATTCCTCTGTTTCAAACCTTTGTGGGAGCTGGGCAAAGAACTGGGAACTAGTAAGCAGGCACGATCATAAACTTGTGGTAGAGACTATAGAGAAAAAGGATATGGTAAATGCAGAACTATATTGAGTTGCAATGCGGAAAAAGGATTTGATTCCCAAAAAACTTTTACATTGAAATAATGGATCTAAGGCTGCAATCCTGAACACTGTTACTGGTAAGCAAATCTCATTGAAGTCAGTAGGATGTACTTCTAGGTTAAATTGGCTGTGGAATGTTCTGTATTCAGTAGAGGTCCTTGAGCATTAAAATGGTTAGCCACTATTAGTGATCCCTGATGGTTTGGCATTTACCATGGCTAATCTGGATAACTGGCATTCCAAAAAAAGGTAATCAAAATGAAAGTATTAAATGTCCAATATTTACTAAAGAGGTCACCATCTGAAATGAATCACCAGGACTAAGTTTCAGTGGGTTTACTCTGAGTAAAAATTAGTCAACTGTTTTGGTATTTTTGGTTTGATCACATAGCTAATACTCCTGATTATGGCCTGATGTCCAGATTGTTTTTATTTTTAATGGCATATCAACTACAGAATACATTGGTTTGCTGTGATACTTTTTTTGTGTTAACACTACACTGATAATGATGACTGAAGAAGGGTCATAGCCTTGCATGCAGGAGGTCCCAGATTCAATCACCAGCACTTCCAGGAAGAGCTTAGAGCCCTCAGTTTGAAAACCTGGGGAGCTGGTAGGGGTCATTGTAGACAGTACAGTGGTGCCTCGCAAGACGAAATTAATTCGTTCTGCGAGTTTTTTCGTCTAGCGAATTTTTCGTCTTGCGAAGCATGAAATCCCATAGGAATGCATTGAAATTCAATTAATGCGTTCCTATGGTCAAAAAAAGTCCAAACAAAGCCAAATTTGGTACAACAAGAGTTTATTAAGTGCTCTTTAAAGTCACACATACTGTAAAGAGCATTTCAAAAATTGAAGGAACAATAAATTAAGTTTCTAAACATGACAGAAAAACATTTAAAAATCAACAAAGTGTACAGTACATTTTCTAAGACTTTGGGGGACAACTCGAAGAAGGTTCCTCTTCCACTCTTTGCTTCTTGTTGAAGAACCCCCTCCTCAACTGTTCCCCTAGCCACCCACCACACAGAAATTCAAATCCAGAATTTTTTTAAAAAAACAGCAGAGTGGCCCAATGGTCACAGAAAATCATAAAAATGCAGAAAAAAAACACACAAGCTTCCAGATTCTTGAAAACCTCTCCCCAACACCAAGTCCTTGAATTCCAAACACCCCAACCCAAAATCCAAAAACCCCAAAAAAAGTTTTAAAAGTTTAAAAGAAGTTTTGGAAAAGCTTCAAAAATCACCAAAGTCTTCAACAACCTCAAAAAAGGCTACCACACCGCGTTCTATGAGTTGCTCCTCGAAGTCAAGTCGCAACTGTATTAACAGTGTTAAGAAAAAGGAAACAAACTTGCAAGACGTTTTCGTTTTTCGTCTTGCGAAGCAAGCCCATAGGGAAATTCGTCTTGCGAAGCAGCTCAAAAAACGCAAAACCCTTTCGTCTAGCGAGTTTTTCGTCTTGCGAGGCATTCGTCTTGCGGGGCACCACTGTACTGAGCTAGATAGACCAATGATCTGTCTCTGTATAAGGCAGCTTCCAGTATTCATATGGAGCATCAATGTTGATAATTCATGATATGGTAGCGTAGAACTTTAGATAGTGCTTTCCAGAGGTGTGGCCATGTTAGTCCCTTGAAGCAAAAACAAGTACAGGCAACTCCCCATTTATGCACAGTCTGTTTGTGTGCGACCGCACATACACACGGTGCCTGGAACTCGAAAGTGGAACGTAGAAATGGAGAGCACCCTGGAGAGGAGTCCTGGCTTGTGAGGTGACCCTCCTCAGAACCTGAAGAGAACCTCTGTGTGAGCCAGAGCATTGTTGAGGCTGCTCAGCTGACGCACAGGGAAACAGCAACTGCTTCTCTACCCCACACATGAGCTATTAGGCAGGGAGGCTGAGCAGCCTCAACAAGCCCCTTGGGCTCTGGGGTAGGTCTCTTTGCAGGCCACTAGGACTCTCCAGGGTGCTCCCAATATATGTGATTTCACTTAGACTCTGGCTACTTTGCACAGTGCTGCAGAGATGTTGCTTTGAGCTAGATGTGTCTAGATAAGAAATTGTCCCTACTTTAGTACTAGCACCTTTATAAATGATATAAATATAGAAACAATGAAAATATCAGCTATTCTAGAATAGAAATAAAATGAGCTTGCGTTACCTACGCTGGAATCCAGTGTTGTTAGAAATAGTGATGGGAAATCTCTGTTAAGAAGAGAGGGAAGGAGAAGAAAGCAAGGAGTGATTATTCCTGAAGCCTGTTCCTGATTTCAGCTGAGCCCGTTATTACAATTACACTAATATCTACAGTGGACGCTCGGGTTGCAAACATGATCCGTGTGTGTCTGCTCACACGTGGGTTGCGATTCGGCACTTTTGTGCACGTGCAAAGCGCGATTCGTCACTTTTGCGAATGCACAACTGCCAAAACCCGGAAGTAACCTGTTCCAGTACTTCTGGGTTTTGGCGGTCCGTAACCCGAAAAAACGCAACCTGAAGCATCTGTAACCCGAGGTATGACTGTATATGGTTTTCTTCAGAAAGTTTGCAGATGGGGGTTTATCCTAGTAACCTTAAGTGATGTGTGCTAACTTTCTCTTCAAGTGTTTTTCTTTCAGTTGAATTATTGAAAATATTGTCTGCTAGGGATCATTGAGAAAGGGATGGAAATTACAACACATATGTATGCTTTATACAAAATTATAGTGTAAGCATGTTTGGAATACTGTGTACAGTTCCGGTTGCCGCATTTCAAGAAGGTGTTGAAAGGGGCAAAGTTATCAGCAGAGTGGAGCAACTAACCTATGGGACTTAATACTTTAGAGAAAGTGGGAATATGATTGAGATTTATAGAATTATGTATGGAATGGATAAAGTGGATAGAGTATTCATTACAATTCGTTATATATTGCCTTTCAAGATACAGATCCTTCTAAGGTGACTTGTAAGTTACATTAAAGTACCTTTTTAGAAATCACAGAAAGCAATATCTGCATATAAAAAGTTGTCGGAATCTTTCTCACAGGGCAGGTAGACTAGCTGTATATGTGTAAAGGTGAGAGGGTGGTTCATAGCTAAGCTACCTTGAGCTCAGTCTTCTTTGCCTCTCCGCTGGTATCTATCACAGGGCAGTTGAAGTGCATGATCCTGTGAGTAGTGGAGCAAAAGTCCATCTTGTGTCATGCCTTAAGATAGTCTTCAGCTGCCTTCCTCTTTTACCTACAATATTTCCCACAGAGCAGTTGATACTAGAATTTTCTTCATCAGTAAACACTGGTTCATCCAATGACTGACTGGTGAGAGAAGTGGGACATACAAAAGTACCGTATTTTTTCTTGTATAACATGCCCCCATGTATAACCCTATTTTTTTCTTTTGGACTACAAAAAAGGGGTGATTGTCCAAAGTTGTAGAGCTTTGGGGGGGGATTGCCCATAGGTGTAGAGCTTGGGGGGGGGGGGTCACCTCCATAAATCACTCTACAACTTGCCCGCCACTGCAAATAGTACACATCACCAACAACGACTCCTTCTCATTGCCCTTAAACCCTTTCATTTTATGTATCCTCACAGTTAGATATTCTAAGATTATAATATTTTTTCATTTTTTTCCTCCATTGGTTCACCCCTAGCTCTTCTGTATTTTTCCAGTTACCTACTATAACCTGTCTGGCTGCAATTACCATCAATTTTACCCATTTACATTCCTCTTTTGTTTCTAACTCGGTGCTACTCAGGCTAATAAGAACCATTAATTTAAATATTTCCACCTTCCTACCCATAATTCCCGATATTTCTATACCAATCTGTTTCCAGAATTCATTAGCTAACGGACAGTCCTACCACATATGACTGTACGTTCACATCACTCCACATTTCCTCCAACAATTCTTACTTCCAGATTGTGTAATACCATTTTTGTACCAACTTCAACCCTTGTTCCTGGATTATCCTAGAGGTCGCAACAAAGGGTGGTTGCCGAAAGATTCTTTCCCAATCTTCATCTAAAATCTGTTCTTGAATATCTAGCTTCCAATATTCTTTCAAACTTTCCTTTCTCTTTGTCTAATAACACATTATAAAATTTTGAAACTATTTTAGCCCTATCTGTCCTATATCCTTTCACTAATTCTTCGAAGGAAGTAATAATTCTTTTTCCACATTTTCCATGTTTTTTAACTTCTTTTTCCTTTAGCAGAGAGGAAATTTGTCTTTTCCGTAACCAATTAATCTTATTCTAAGTACCACAATCCTGTTCCACCGTACCTTCTGTTCCCCAGCTCTTCTCCATCTCCTCAGTTGTGATCGCCTTTAATTTATCCCCTACCTCCTTTGGGATGAGCTCCCTTAACGGGGCCATTTTATCATAATACCACACTTTGGTAAGGGGAGAGAGGCCAGGAAAAAGCTCCTTTCTCAGCTTCTCCCATACCTAGATGGACCCCGTAAATGTTAATATTTTATCTACTTTCCTTTTCCTCCTATCAAATATTCTTATTTTCCCTCCTACTTCCAAATTCTCCCGCTCATCCCGCGGGATGACTACTAGTCATGAGAGTTAACTACTACCTCCAGGTTCAGAGGAAGCATGCCTCCTAATACCAGTTTTTGGGGAGCAGTGCAGGAGAGGATTACTGCCTTTGTGTTCTGTTTGTAGACAAGGCATATGGGTAGTATCTGGGGAACCAGGATGCAGGACTAGATGGGCTGAGTGCCAGTTGCTGGAAACTGAGATGGGGAAAGTGTTCTTGTATTCAGTTCCTGCTTGCAGGTTTCTCACAGGCATCAGGTTGGCCACTGTGAGAACAGGATGCTGGACTACATGGGCCTTTGGCCTTATCCAGCTTGGTACTCTGATGTTCTAAGGCTTCATGTTTTTCTAAACAGTTTGCAGTTACAGTGTGATCACATCTTACACAGGGGTTATGTTCTGGGGATGGCGTGTATACACAAAAATGGGTGTACTCAAACTGCCTCCTTGAAACCACCTCTGTGTGAACACAGAAAGGGCCTTGTCCCCCAAGTGGAAATGACACAGAAAGTGCTTTTAAGCTCTGTCTTGTTTGCATTCAACTTACAGAATTTCAACTAGATGACCTTCAATTACATATGGTTGAAGTTGCATGAGTGAAATGCATACAACATGCAATGGTACTGTGCCTGAGTCTGCAGTCACTGTACAAAGTAGGTCAGTTTAATTCCATATAGTCGTCAAAGAGCTCAATATAAAGGACCACACTCTTGTACTGTGTTCACTAATCTGGAAGGTTTGCTTATTTACCATATTTTAACTACCCTGATTATGAACAAAGCAGAGTTGTTGGCTGTTGTTAAGAGGTTGTTAAACCAATTCAAGTAACTATGTTTTTATAGTATAGAAACAGCTGGACATGTGCCCAAGTAAACACTTTCATTTTTTGTGAATTTTTTTTTACTTCAATGAATGGATTTGTTGATGTTGCATCTCTCTTAATTTTGTCTTACTTACCTTTATTAGTCCAGTTACAACCCAGGGATCACAACAGACACAGCAACCACAGAAGCATTATGGCATTACCTCACCTATCAGTTTAGCTGCCCCCAAGGAGATTGACTGTGTTCTTACTCAGAAATTAATTGAAACCCTAAAACCCTTTGGTGTCTTCGAAGAGGAGGAGGAACTGCAACGCAGGTAAATAAGACATTTATTGATACGTAATATACTGTGGAGAGGTGACAATCCATACTGGGGTTATGGAATCACAAAACATTGAAAATAGATCTTCAAATTATTTCAGGTCCCAGTAATAGAAATGCTATACAATTCTGAACAATAGCTTGATATTCCATTAAAGTGTGTCTTTTAATTTGTGCATGAATCCAAGTTTCTGGAATGTCTAGTGTTCATTGATGGGTTATTGTTGCAGCATAGTTGTTGTTTCTGCACAGCCAGCTCCCATGTCATGCTGGTAACATCCAGGAATTGCATAGCACAGGTGAATGACATGATTACCTTCTGTGTCAGCAATGTGTCAATAACACAATAATCTATTCTAAGCTGTGTGAAGTGGGAATTGCATTAATTTTTGTAAACCACTCCTGAAATGTTTTAGTTTTACTTACTGCTTGGAACCTCCCTTTCCTTCCTGTGGAAATCTCTAAGGCACTAACAAAATGGAGGGGGGATTTGCACTCACAAATATTTGTGTGAGAGGGTATCATAGAAATAGTAGTACATAATATTTTCAACAAGTGGGACTGCAACAGAATGATGCAGCATATCGTCCCTCCTGAAAGCAGTGCTCCTGTTCTGAGTTCCAGTCAACCATTACCCCTAAGCCAAGGACATTCCACCTTTCTTCTCCACATGCCCCCCCCCCCCCATTTACTGTTCCATGTTTATTTTCCCTCAGACACTCAGTGGTGACTTAGCATGTTTAGTCTTCATTGGGTTGTTGAAAAAGGGTGGCCCTGTCATTTCCCCCCATATATATTGTTCTTCCGAAAGTCTCAAATACCCAAGTGTGCTTTTATTTCCCTCTTGTTTCTCAGTGTCACATTTTGGTTACAATTCTAACAGCGTTCACCACCTGAGTTTACTAGTAAAAGAAATAATATACAACTACAGTGGTGCCTCGCAAGACGAAATTAATTCGTTCCGTGAGTTTTTTCGTCTTGCGGTTTTTTCCGTCTTGCGAAGCACGGTGTCGGAAAAGTTTTGGAAAAGCTTCAAAAATCACCAAAGTCTTCAAAAACCTCAAAAAAGGCTACCACACCACGTGCTATGAGTTGCTCCTCGAAGTCAAGTCACAACTGTATTAACGGTTTTAAGAAAAAGGAAACAAACTTGCAAGACGTTTCCGTCTTGCGAAGCAAGCCCATAGGGAAAATCGTCTTGCGAAGCAACTCAAAAAACGAAAAACCCTTTCGTCTAGCGAGTTTTCCGTCTTGCGAGGCATTCGTCTTGCGAGGTACCACTGTATTGACTTGGGAATGGGAAAGAATAGAGCATTAAAAAATGATGCAGTTGTGTGAAATTTTATAAATGAAATCTTAACTGTATCCAGTAATTTTGGTTTGGGGGTTCTTGTATGCTCTTCTCACTCAGTAGCAGTTACAAAATTGGGGAATTGTTGAGTATTTATCAAAATTCCAGACAGGTGTTTTATCTTTATAGTAAAGATAAAATACTGCAAGACTTTGAGCTGTATAAGGTGCTGAATTTTGCTGCTTAAGTTAATGTTTGGAGGAAGGCATTATTTTGTGAACAGACCATATCAGGTATGTCCCGTCCTGTCATTGTCCCCTCCTGCCCAGTCTGCCAGCATATGATGGGGTAGAAAAGGAAGCCTTGGTAATTTGGAACCCTTGTCTTCCAAATACTATTTGGTCAGTATTGTAGCTTACTCTAGCCACTAAGCTAGTGTAGGCAGTGCCTTTAGCTTCTTGGATTTGTGCATGGAACCCGGCTATAAAAGTAGGTGCCAAATATTCCACGGATGAAAATACTTTCCTCCAAATATCTATTAAATTATAATTTGAAATAGTGGTTTAATTGATAAAGTTTTGAAAGACCTGGTTCAAATACTAGCTCAACTATGACACACTTTTGTTGACCTTGGGCCACTTATCTCAGCTAATCTGCTTTGCAAGTACAATGCCAAAAGGCCCCTGTTATTGTGTCTTTAACTCAGTTTGTTCTGCATCTGTTAGCTGCTGGTGGTTATCTCCATTTCTTGGAAAGCTTCACTGGTGGGTTTCTGCAGCTCAAGCTGCTGTGAAAGGCACAAGAGCAGGTTAGGCCATTTTTTTCTGGTTGCCATCCTTGTTGGGCAGCTGCTTTGAGGAATATATGTGATCATGTATGCCTCACCCTATTCCTTTGAGAAATGGTGGGATATAAATTAAATAAAATCAATAATTTCTGGATTAGCTTTGACAAATTACTTGAAACATTCTCCAGCTCCTCTGCTACACTCTTAGTTCCCTTTTCTGTGATAGGGAGTTTAAGTGCCTTAACCCAGTTTCTTCATTGTGTGTAATTTATTAATGTGTTCCATCAACAGAATTCTAATTTTGGGGAAACTAAATAACCTAGTAAAGGAATGGATACGGGAAATCAGTGAAATTAAGGTATGAATTTCTTTATTCATTAGATGTACATTAAGACTTGTATCTTTAGCTGCTGCAGAATGTTAAAGCCGCTGCATTTGGCATTTAGCAATTGACATCAGTGGGAGAAAGATTATTTTATTTGTGATCCTTTAACACAGTCTTGCATACATCGATACTTAGCTGTTAAGCAGCCAAATATGATGTTTAATTAGATTTGTAGAATATGCAATTTAATGAGTGTCTGCTGCATCAAGCTTAAGCAACTGACTGTTTCTGTTGATAAAACTAGCAGGATGCTATAGTGTGACAGCAAATTCTCATAGTGGCTTAGCAATGATAACCAGCTAACTTTCTGCCCTTACCTCTTATCAGTGTGCCACAACTGAAATAAGCTCCTATCAGAAAGCTTGAAGCCAGCATCTAGGGTTTGAAGTGTGCTGCTATTTCACTGGTTCTGCATTGCTTATAAAAATTCAAATCCTGTGTTTGCTCCCTTTTAGAATCTTCCACAGTCTGTAATAGAAAACGTTGGAGGGAAAATTTTTACATTTGGATCATATAGATTAGGTGTACATACAAAAGGTAATGTGTCCCTAATATGTACCTAATATTTTATACATTTATAAAATATGTTTGCTTAGTGCCTACTTGGTAGCCAATAGAAGTATAAAAATTCACTAAAGATTCACTATAAAACCTTTTACGATTCTGCTGCAAGTGACATCAATGACTGGCTTGGACAGGAGACTTGCCCTCACACAAACATGTGATTAGGAAAGGATGATCGCTAAGGGCTGTACCATAGCAATCATAGCAACAACTGGTTTCTGTGACTAGCCATACCTCCAAAGCACAACGGTCTCGTAGGTAGTTCTGTCTACACCATTTAATGTGATTCCATTAAAATTAATTATTTTAATGTGATTACATTGAAATAAATTATGGTTTTTGCACCACCACAGTTCAGTAGAATGCCACTCCTGAAATGCAGTCCTAGGACAGCAAAAGGAGCTCATCTTAAGATGAGGGAATGTTCCTCCACAGTTGGATACATTTTGATAGCAACTCGTTTGTGTTTGTGGGGGGCTACTATAAGTTCTGGTATAATATTAGATACGTTTTTAAAATGAACTTAGAATGAATTAAATTCTGATTAAATATTAAAAGCCTCTGCAGACACACAGAAACTGCTAGGATCTGATGCTAAAATAAAAGTATGCCGGGACCTGACACTTGATGGTGGCAGGGTAGGTGTTGGTATTAATGCAACAGAGCTCTCTGCCCTTCCACAGCACACCTGCGCCTTGCAAGGCAATGAGATTAAAAGTACATTTCTGCCTTGTGTAGTTCAGGCCAATCAGAACTACAGAGGATGGTACTGTCCTTCAGTATATGTTATTGTTTGTCAGGAGCAGAGTTGGGGCTGCCTTTTCTTGGTGGCCACTGTATACTTTATGTAATCTTTAATTGTTTGGTACACTAATGAATTTATTAGCATTCATGTTTAATGCAATATGGCCTAATTGCCACTCTATAATAAAAATATCCTCAACCAGTGTCTGCTGCAGGCAGGTAATAAATTAAGAGAGGAGATATGAGAGTTTTTAACTTGCATGCTGTGCTACCTCTGGTATAGATAAGAAGCCTAGCATTGAAGCGCCATTTTAGTTTCATATAAACTATTGAAAATTGTGAACTATATTTGCTTATATTAAAAAAACACTGCTGCTTTCCAAAAGTAGCTCCAGTGCAAAACAATAAGTCAACTAAGTTAAATTGAGCCTTGTTTTAACTTATATTTCCATTATCAATTATATCTTTGTAAGTTGAGGATTATACTTGTGGTGGTTGATTTCAAATGGTAGATTTCTTGAAGTGGAAGCTGCTGTACATACTGAGTGAAAGAATGTACAGTCGTACCTTGGTTGACAAACGGAATCTGTTTGAATTCTGAAACCATTCAAAAACCAAGGTGCGGCTTCTGATTGGCTGCAGGAGCTTCCTGCACTCAATCGGAAGCCACATCGGACGTTGGGTTCCAAAGAATGTTCGCAAACCGGAACACTCCCAGGTTTGCAGCATTCGGGAGCCAAAATGTTCGAGTCGCAAGGCGTTCCTCAACCAAGGTATGACTGTATTTCAATATAATACCATTTTTAAGTGCAGTATTTGAAAGAATCCTGCAATAATTTCTGTTCAAAACGATACCATTGCACTGTTGCCTCTTTTCTGGTAGGCTTTATGTGGTAACTAACTCTGTTTATTCACACTTCTTTTAGGTGCTGATATTGATGCATTGTGTGTTGCACCAAGGCATGTTGACAGGAGTGATTTTTTCACCTCGTTTTATGAAAAACTGAAACTACAGGAAGAAGTAAAAGACCTACGGGTATGTGAATTACGCTATCTAAAGAAACACATAAGTTCCCAAAATGTTACGATAATTGTACATTAAGAACTGAGTTGATTATAGGCTGTTTTAAATAAGGATAATGTTTCAGTGATGTTGCAAGGTTATTGTAATACCTATTTCTATATTGGAATCCAATTTCTGATAGAATTGCTTGCTGTTGTAAATTCTGGTTGACGTAGAATTAGAGTTGAATGGAATAAAAAAGCTATCCTAGCCAGGCCCTTAAATACTTCCTGTTGAAGATCAGGTATGAGTACTAGTCATTGTAAAATATTTATTTTTCAGGCTGTTGAAGAAGCATTTGTTCCTGTTATCAAACTGTGTTTTGATGGAATAGAGGTAAGAGTAATTAAGACAGCTTTTGCACCACCATCTGTTCACATAGTCCACCATCTAGTCACATAGTCCACACTGAGGCCATTCTCACATGGAAGTTATTTGTATGAACAGTTGTTTCCTTTTAAGGGACATATACCTTGCAACGGTAACTTGTTTTTTAGTGACTGCTCAAAAAATGCTACTTTAGTCTTGGAAATTGTGGCATCCATTTCATTTTTTTTAAAAAAAATGATATTTATTGAAAATTTTTAGAATTACAAAAGAGAACAAAGCAGAAAAAGAGAAAGAAAAAACAAACCACATCAAACAATACAAATTCAAAAAACAAAAATACACCACAAACACTCAAAAACAAATCCACCATTCTCAAATCCTCAACTGTCATTACCTTCTTTCTTTGACCTCCTCCTCCTCCCTTTTTTTGTATCCTAGTTGTTAATTGTCGCAGCAAATCCTTTCCATATTTCATAATATTCTGCCATTACATTACCTTAATCTATTTTAATCTTATCTTACTATAAAGAACCTTAAAGCTTAAAACTTAAATCTTATTTTTACCAACTTCTCATAACCATAATATTCTTACATAATTCTTTAAACATTTTTGCTAAAGCCAAGTAATTTCGTTCCAACATTCTTCTAACATTCATCAATTTTATAAAACAATCCTAGTAGTAAAAAAAAGAAATGAAAACAATCCAATCTTCATCCAGCGTCCCTTCCTCCTGGTCCCGGGTTTTGTCAGTCCTTATTATCCCATCGATCTAGCGCATTAACCTGATAACCTTGTATCCGAGGCCCTTAAGTCTCTTCCATGTCCCTTCCGCAGCTCTTCTTCATATTTATAACTGTATTTTCCTTTGTCTCCTGCTCCTTTCACTCGTGGGAACTCCAGCTTAACAATGTTTTTGACCCTTCTCGACAAATCAGCCCCTTTTCCATAGTCCACACTAAACTCCATGTGGTATTTAAGAACATGTTTCAAAATCCCTCCAAAATTAAGAGCCCCCACAACCCCAAACATCTCACGGCCCATTGCCAGACTTGAAAGGTCCAAACATGCCTGCATAGGGGGGTCTATCCAACCCCCATTTCCAAACCAAACCAAACTTTATCTTTCCAAATCTGGCTTTTTCCAAGTTCATTTGTCAAGTCCAAAAGCTCATGTTCCTGCTGGGCCTCAGCTCCCTTCATCTCTGGCGCCCAAGATTCAGCAACATCCTCTTCCCTCATCTGTTCTGTCAGGGCACACTCCTGATTTAATTCCTGGGTGGGCTCCATATAATTTCCCACTGCCTGTTCAAAATTTCTGATCGCATCAGTCATCAAGTCCGTCTTCTCATGTAGCTGTTCCAGTAGGGCATTTGTTTTACAGAAAGCACGCAACAGAGCTTCTGAATACATTGTCCTGCAAGGTCAGAAGTCTATTCCCACAATTGTAATCTGTAACAGCTGCAAGTTCCCCGGAGTTGATTACAGTTTCACAGTCTCCCTCTAGGGGGAAAACTTCTATTCGTTCTTTCTTTTAAAGACAAGTCTAACAACAAAGTTTCCTTTTTTCAGATATTTTGTCAATATTTGTTCCTTTAAAATGCGAAGGGGCACAATGGAATCAATATTTCTCTTCTTATAGCTATCTGTCAAAAACGTTTGTCTCTGGTCAATGAGCTTCAAAAAATGTCAGTCCTGACACCCCGCTCCAGGATCAGGACGGTGGAAAGTTATTTTACTTTACACTCACTTCTGCAGGTTTAAACAGTCCGAAAAAATCCCCCCTCTTCTCCTGCTTCCGAAGGGGGTTCAACAATTTTAAATGATGAAAGTTAATCTTTTACAAGCGATTTTCTGAGCTCTAGTTTGCCATGTCTTTGCTTTAATCTATCTACAAAGAAACGGAAGGCTGACTTCCTGTTTAGACCTTCCCGTTTCAGTGTCAAATTGAGGTAAACTTTTAAGTCCAATTTTCCTTTCTGCTCGCAAGTCCTTATTTAAAGTCCAATTGTCCAAAATTTAAGTACTCACGGGTGATTATTTTAGAAGCCAAATTGTCCCAGGAAAAGGCAGCGCTCTCCGGCAACGGCTGTGCGGCTTCGCTCCACGGAAGAAGCAGTTGACTCTCAGCACCGCGCCACTTCCCCCTCTTTGCTCCGGAGCCTGTTAGTGGGTTCCTTTGCGGGTTGGGGGGGCGCTAAAGGTGCCCGCTGAGTCCCATGGTCACAGGCTTCATCCGCCTGTGATTTTTGAAAGGGTCCCCGCTTCGCCGTAGCGGAAAAGACCCGTTTCGCGTGGAGCTAGTCCCTCCAGATCAGAGGGAGTCCGCCATTGCCGATGGCGCCACCCCGGAAGTCGGAAATTGTGGCATCCATTTCAGATTCTATTTCAGATATTATTGTGCAGCTTGAAGCAGTAAGATGCATAAAAATTGACCCCACTTGGAATAAAAAGTGTCCAGACCCATCCACATATACAGTCCCCAGTACAGAAAGATGCTGTTGCTTGTAGCAGCTCATTCACAGTTCATTGCAGTCCCAAAACGTTTGCTTGGGGTCTATTGCCAAGCGTGAAATAATGTTACTGATTAAATGCATTCTTCCCATTGCTGCACACTAAAATGCTCCCCAATTTGTCAACAATATGTCTTACATGCTATGTAATACCTTTGTAAGAAAAAGATCATGCTGCAGTTAGCTGCTGCCTTTTGTGTCGTTGTTGCTGCTTCTGCTCCCCACCATTAGTCTCGTACATGCACAACAGGTCAAGGGAACTCCAGGGTTCAAGTGGGCAGCCTGGCCGAGTGAGCCGACAGGCAAATGGTCAAGTAGAGCAAGTGAGCAGACCGGCTTTCACACACACCCTGTTGTCACTATTACCGTGATAGAGGATGAAAGTCTTTCTCTGCTTAGTCCATCGCCACCAGTAGGAAGTGTACATTTCAAAATGCATGATTGTTGGTGGCAGAGCATGGTGAAGGAGCGAAAGACTTTCCTCTTCTTTTCCCTTTTTTCTCTAAGTGATGACAGCAGCAGGACCTTAGGATTTGGGTGAGCTGCTAGAGGAGGGGAAGTTTGGAGCAAGCAGTGAAGGGATGAGGATTGGGCAATGGTGGGAGTAATGGGTAGGCAAGGGTGGGTTTGAAGGAGCTGGGAGCTTGGCAGGTGAAATGTAATTGGAAGGAGGGCAGCAGTCCCGAGTTCATTAATATGATGCAAACTTGTGTCCTTGGCAAATCCTTACTTTACTATGAGGGGTAAATGAGGATTCTTTTTCTTCTGTCTCATAATTAATTATAAAGCAGTGGTGATGCAGCAGTTTAAATTTGCATCCAGTGTCCAGAGAAGCAGGTGATCCTGAAATCACTGGCTATACAAACTGAGAAACTAAGCAGCACTGTCTCTACAAAGTACATTTTGTGGACTTTTTTTTTAAAAAAAAACCACAACAGTTCGTAGACTTAATGATTAGCATAACAATGGAATGATAACATACTTCACTTCTTTGTTCTTGCTTATTTTAGATTGATATATTGTTTGCCCGATTAGCACTTCAGACTATTCCTGAAGACCTAGACCTTCGAGATGATAGTCTTCTTAAAAATTTAGACATTAGATGCATACGAAGTCTTAATGGTAAGTTATAATTTCATTTGGTATTCTTTTTTATAATTGAGAAGGTAGCTTTTTTGAAACTTCATACCAATATCTCCTGTGGCAACAGAAGATACTGCATATTTCATTATTGCATAATAGTTGTTCAGCATACATTGATTAAAAGTGTAATAATTGTTAAAGTAGCTGTCAAAACACTGTTTAGAGGTAGTTTTAATGACATTGTTGCACACTGCAAGAATCTGAATTCTGCTGACCTTCCTTTGCAAAGATAATTAGTCTGTTCAATGTTAACCATAGACAGAATTAAGGTTGATTGATGTATAAGTGTGTGTATGTTTTCCCATTCCTTAATATGGCTTGAGGCAAACATACATATCACTCTATGCAATTTCAGCTCTTAATTTTGTTCAGTTACAAAGTATCTGAATTTGTGCTTAAATCAGACAGTTCATTTAATCTGTTTGGGTTGTATCTAAGAGTTGTCACTCAGCTGTCAGAGAAATTGAGAGAAAAGCAATCTTGGGGATCCCCTGCACCCCCCTCTTCTTATATCTGTGTCCCTCCCAGTTCCACTGATGGAAGCCTTACTGTCAGCTAAGCAAAATGGCTAGATATAACCCTGTGTATCCCAGTCCCACAAACAATTTGAGATAACATAAAGTAGTGCAATAATTTGCAATGGGAGTCAAGCAAGGGCTTAACAAAGGCATAAATTCTCATTGATACGGAATGGTGGAGGTGCTTGATGTGACACAGAAATGCAGAATTGGCTGTAACTATGCCTTACTGTGACAATTGTATATGCTGAATTACCATCTTTCAGGTTATAGTATAGCACAATATTATGTTGTGATCTTATAACCTTTATTGTGCATAGCTTTGTATTGGTTAGGCTAAAAAATAATTAGGCTAAAAAAGACCCCTCTTCTGAAAAAAGCAAAGTAATCCCAAAACTCTCCAGTTTTGTCTAATGTCTTTTCTTTAATATTAATGATGGAAAAATGGTTTCTGTTTTCTAGGTTGCAGAGTAACCGATGAAATTCTCCATCTAGTACCAAATATTGACAATTTCAGATTAACACTGAGAGCTATCAAACTATGGGCTAAACGTAAGTGGGGTTTTACAAAATGGATTTTTAAAAAATGCTTATTTCCAGTTGAATGAAAGTGACTAAAGTTGTCTTGTCTTTTATCTCTACAACAACAGGGCACAACATCTATTCCAATATACTAGGTTTCCTTGGTGGAGTTTCCTGGGCTATGCTAGTAGCAAGAACTTGCCAGCTTTATCCAAATGCAATAGCATCAACTCTTGTACATAAATTTTTCTTGGTATTTTCTAAATGGTATGTCTTTTTAGATTACACTAAAATAAAATTTATTATAGACCCTGAATTTTAGTGTTGTTTCTATGACATTCCTTCAGATGGTGTCAGGTTAACAAGTTTACTCATAGGAATATTAATCACCCTTCCGAGAAATTGCAAGACACTTGTCAGGTTTTATTTTATAGTCCTCAGTGCAAAACATCTACTTACATTATGTGAGGCACTTAAACACATGAGCTCTTGTGGAGCTCTGGCCTTTTTGTGTGGCTCTATCCATTTTAGGGCTAATTGAGCAAAGGGTCACAGACAGCATTCATACCTAGTCTGAACGGGTTGGTGTGTTAAAATGGGAACTCTTTAAGGTGAACAGCATTTGCCAGTTCATGTATGATGTGATTATGCTACATGTTTAGGGGAATATCTGGGATAAGTGAACTGCCTGTCTTCTAAAGCACAAAAAATATTTTGCATAACTGGAATTATTTCCATATACAAGAATTAACAAATTTCTGCATGTGCTCTCATATAGAGATGAGATTTCAAATTAAAAGTGCAGAGTTCATTGCACAACACATGCTAGCTGCCCATAATCTGAAACCTTCTTGGAACCTTTGAAGATTTGATTTTTCTAATGTTAATTTGCTGAATTCAATTGATAGTAGCACCTTGGCTCATGTGCTGCTGCTGCATGGTTTCTCTAGGAAAAACTGATATGTTTGGGGGAGCTGTGCCTGTAAAAATACTAAATTTAAAATGTACATTGCACCGATGCACTATTGGTACACAAGGTTTCAATAAATAATCCGGCTGTTCCAAATACTTCTAAGGCCTAAGACAAATGGGTAGCATAGTGTGTGTGGAGTATAATCTAGAGTGGCACTTCAAACTTGCAATAAGGATAGCTTCTTAAAACGAATAACTTTATGGACAGAAGAGCTGACGCATTGAAGATACCATTTTTTTAAAAAATTAATACTTCCTATCAGTCCTAGGATCAGTTTGCACATAACACCAGTGTCCAAGGGTCAGGGGGTCTCTTAAGCAAAGACACAATTTATAGGGAGACATTCTACATGCATTTGCCAAATTATGTGGAGTGTCCATACTATTGGTATCTTGCTGCTGTCTGTTGTTACCCATCCTGAACATGACGAATGAGATGGATTCCAAATATTCAAATAATAAATATTTCTAGCATAACAATAGCCCTAAAGAAGTATGCTCTAAAGGTGTATCCATTTGAAGATGAATGGCTAAAAACCAAACCTTAAGCATTTGTCAGTTAAGTGCTATGAAAGTTGTTTGGATTGAAGGGAATAAAACAAAATCCATTCCTTAAGAAAGCTGGTTAGGCAGTTTTCTTTGAAAAAAGCTTCATCTGATTCTGCGTCTGGTGTATAAAATGAAGGCTCACATTCAAACATGCTTGCTTGTTGTTATAAATAAGTGCTTTTCTTACTCAGTGCTACAATCTCTCTAAACAGGGAATGGCCAAATCCAGTGCTATTGAAACAGCCAGAAGAATGCAATCTTAATTTGCCTGTATGGGACCCAAGGGTTAGTGTATTATTTTTTCCCCCTATAAGATCAAACTGCTTAAAACAAATTGCTTAAGCCCTAAGGAATCTACCTTTGTTACAAATACAAATACTGGTTAGTTTTACTTTCTCTGTAAAATGTAGGCTGTCACTTAATTTTGTCCCAAGTTTTTACTTGAAGCCTTCTCCTCCCCCCACCCCCATTTTTGGCCTCGGGATTTCTCTTTTTTGCTGTAAAATTCCCCAAATGCAGTCTTAAAAATGTGAATACAGTGGTAACTCTGGTTGCGGACAGGATCCGTTCCAGAGATCCGGTCGGATCCTGAGGTGTCCGCAACCTGAGGACCACTTCTGCGCATGCGCAGACTGCTTCTGCACATGTGCGTGGGGCGAAACCCAGTAAAATACTTCCAGGTTTGCTGCGCACGCATCCCGAAGTTTATGTAACCAGAGGGTTACATAAACGGAGGTTCGACTGTATACTTAAATTGGGTATTGCATCCGTTTATTCACTCTATGATTTCTGTGATGACCATAGAAAGTTGGGCCAGTACTGTACACTTATGCCATAGGTGTCTACTCTGTAGGCAGGTGTTTATACTAAACCAAGAATAGTAAGTAGCTTTTTTGCCATTAGTTTTTCCCATTTTTCCTTTAGAAAACTCAAGTTACTTTCACGGGACTCCCAGTAATCTTCTATCTGGCACTGATTAGGGCCACATCTCCTTAATTTCAGCAGTACTATAGGATTACTTGCACCTGGGCTCCTGCAAGAATTACACGTCATGTATTATAAAATAGGGTATTTTTCTCCCTATTGAATGTGGCTATCACAATCGAGTTCTGGGCTTGCTGAAACCCAGTTGGATATCAGAATTGTGACTACACAGTGCGTGGAATCGGAGCCTGTTGGTTGACCAACACAAGCAAAAATTGGTGTATATGAAGACTGTACAGTTCGTTTTCAATAAAAAGTTTACTTTAATAAAAGCCCACATCAGATGTTATGATTGTTTTTTGCCTTGTTATCCTTTGGCATATGAGCAGTATGTAACGCAAGTCCTTTGTACTCCAGTAGCTAAAGAAAACCATGTAAGGAAATGGTAGGGTTTCAACTTAAAATAATTACAACTTTAAAAGTATTGACATGCATCTGCACATTTCCTTCCTTCATCAAACATACTGTTCTAAATAAAGGATATGTTAAACACATTTGATCCTGTTGGGTGCTTAGTTTTTTATTTTTACTTTTTTGAATTGGCCTCTTCATGACAATTAATATACTACAGGAAAAAAATGCACTACATATTTCAAAAGGGTTGCAAACCGTAGTGTGCCTGGTAATAAAGTTCTTCATGTATCAGTCAGGTATCACTCCAGTTTCATAATTATAGACAGGCTAGCATTCAGTAAAGGTGCAATTGGAAAACAGATAATTAAGTTTAATCTGCTCTTAAAAATAAGTCACTTTTCCTGAGTTTGAAGTAGGCTGCCAGTATTAATTACGTCACGGACGTCACTAGTGGTATATAACATAGGGATTTTTTTTTCAGTGGACAGATCCACATTTTTTAACTTAAATGTGATTGAAGAAAACTGATTGGCTGTTATTATATGTAGGTAAACCCCAGTGATAGGTACCATCTTATGCCTATAATTACACCAGCATACCCCCAGCAGAACTCTACCTACAATGTGTCCGTTTCTACACGTATGGTGATGGTTGAAGAATTTAAGCAAGGTAAGGAATTCTGAACATCTATTCCTGAAAGAATGAAAATAACCCTCCTTAGATTTTGTGTGTGTTGATAGTTTGGATCCAGGCATTGTGCTAATGCTTATCTAGTAGCTTTTTCTAATTGTAAAAGCTTTTAGAAATAGCATTTCCAAACTAATTGGAAAGCAGCAATTCTTAAGTGTGGCTTCTTATCCAGCTTCAGCTTTTCTGGGTATTGCAGTAGCCCAGTACTCTCTTTGCTTACAGCAGCTGGGAATAAATATATGGTAGTTTGGAGATACTGGGGGAAAAATGGGTTCTTGGAAACTTGTTCCACTGGTAAAATGCTGGTCAGAAAGGACGCTTAAGACAGTTTTAGTACTTGGAAAGATGGTGTTGTATCTTAATTATTTTAGCCATAATTGAACACGATAAGCAAAACTTATTTCAACGCCACTTGTACATAGCCCGTATAAATGAGGTGTTTAAAAAACGTATTTATTGGTTTGCTGCCTTGGGCTCCTTTGGATGGAAGGGCTGGTAATAATTTGAATAAATAAGTAAATAGTTCAGTGATACCATTCATAATGTCCCAGGTTCAATTCCCACCACTTCCTATTTAAAATATATATATTTTTCCATTTGGAAAGATCAAGGCAGAGAAAGAAGCTTTGGTCTGAAACTTTAAATAAACTGTAGTTTGTTATTTCTTAGTACAGAGTTGTATACCACCATCTAACTTAAATTATGAACAAACTTTCAAAATTATCTCCATATGGGGCAGGCTGATAGCTCAGGGATACAGCACTTTCTTTGCATGTAAAAGGTTCCAGGTTCAGGATCTATCATTTCCAGGTGAGGCTGGAAAGCTTGGAGGGCTACTAGGCAGTCAGAGGTGACATTGCTGACCTAGGTAGGCTAATGGTCTGACTCATTTGGCTTTCATTGGGTAGCTGTATTTTCATTTATATGCTCTTAACTCCTTGTGTTCAGTAAACTGTTGTTCCGATGAAGAAAATAATATATGAAAAGGCTGAAATGTGTTTTTATAATTCAGGTCTTGCTATCACAGATGAAATTTTGCTGAGTAAGGCAGAGTGGTCCAAACTTTTTGAAGCTCCAAACTTCTTTCAAAAATACAAGTATGTATTTTATGGCATGAAAGATGTTTTATGAGTATTTTAACACTTTCACACTCATTTAAACTGGCTAACTTTATTAGCAATAGTTATAGTGGACAGATGTGATAACCCTGCTTTGCACGACATTGATCAAATTTTACCTAAATATGATGGGACATGTATGCATTTCATTTGAATGTAAGATATTTGTGGCTTCTAATCATTTACTAGTAAAACACTTTTTAAAAGTTACCCGCTAAATGCAAACACTCTCTTCTGGAGGATTTCTTGAGACTTGCCAGGTATTTTAAGAGTTCCTAATAAGAAGAAAGCTTCTTGACTGTTTCTTGTATTTGGGTGAAAGTTGTAACATAGTTTATTTTATTTATTTTTAAACTTACCTTATTTGCCCTTGGTTAAAACTGGTCAGATGGCCACTCCAAGCTGAAACCTAAACATTTTCTGTATTGGGTGGTTATGTATTAATCTAAACAAAATGACAATGCAGCGTTTCACCCATTAAAAGAAGACTGATTATCATGATAATGCGTCTGTGTTTTGATTCCTCTAACTCTTTGCATTACAAATGCTAGAATCTTAAACAAATTTTGGGAGGCTAATCCACTTTGTGTCAAAATGGAAAATGAGCGTGCACACCTCTGGTATTCCAAGGAATATTGAAGATGTTTCTCTTAACACCTCATTTTGACAAAGTGGAAGGAATGCTAGGACTAATTTATCATGAAGTAAACCTTTCTTATCCATCAGTTATAAATGATATGAGTGTCTCAATTGTCATAGGTTTCTTAATTCAGGTGCTGCATAGATTTAAAAAAAACAAAAACAAAAACCTAATTGCAGTAGGTTTTCTGACCATCAAGGAAGAAAAATGGATTTGGTATATATTTAGTGTTATCCAGATTTTGAAATTGAAAGGTTGGATAACTAGGTCATGAATACTTTGCCCGAAACATAATATTCAGTCTTCTCCCTGTCTGGTTCCTATATGTGTTGTCACTTATATAGCAATATAAGCAGAAATTTCATTACAATACAGGTATATGTGAAAGAAGTTACGTTAAAATCCATGATATTAATTTGAGAAGATGTTTTAGGATCCTGCCAGTGCTAAATCACCTTCTTGTCTTCCAGCCGATGCATGAAAGATTAGCATACACACATTATTTAATATTAATTTCCTTTGGTAAAAAACAACAACAACATTGTGAGAAAATGAAATAAAGTAGCCACTAAGTATGTTTGGGGGTTAAAAACAGAGATCTAATTGCCAGACCAGCATGATCAGTGGCTGTAAAAAGAAGGCTAATGAGTCAAATGCAAAATGTTGATGACTAGGTGTTCAATCAGGAAAGGGAAGCCTGTGGCATTCCAGAGATTGCTAGACTATAGTTCCCATTATCCCTGATCATTAGCATTGGAGGCTGGAACTAATGGGAATTGCTGTCTAAGAACATCAGGAAGATCAGTGGTTTCCCATCTATCCATTAAATTAAGGCAGCAAATAGCAGGCCAGCTAACAGTTTCCATCAAGGAAAATATTTCTAATGATATATGATATGATATACTATGATATATGATAAATCCATGTCCCTGACTCTTGACACCATTCAAAAGGTCAGAATCCAGAGAGTTCCTTTAGCGATTCCCAAGAGCTTGTGTATACCAGTGGCACTCTGGACAGCAGCTCCCCTTGCAGTAAAGGATGAACATGAATTAGTCTGTTTTTCCTCAAATTGATTCACCAAAAAATTCAGAATAGGAATTTCTAGATGTCGCCATATGATCACTTTAGAAAGGTCTGTTTAAAACAAACAAACAAAAAAACCTTTGGGTTCGTAATTATTCTAGTAATTATTCTGTAGACATTTATATACTGCTTAATTATTCACATTTCTAAGCTGTGTACATAAAACCAATCCACAGAAAATGGGTCAATAAAGCAGTACAAACTAATCATAGAACCAAGTACAATCTTAAAATGCCTGCTGGAACAAGAAAGTCTTAAGTCATGCGCTCTCAAGCTCAGCAAGGAGGGTAGCCTGTCTAATCTCAGTTCAGAGGGAGTTCCACAGTCTTGGATAATGGTTTGATAAATCCTGGGTTGTAGAGTTGGAAGGAGACCCTGAGGGTCATCAAGTCCAACCCCCTGCAGGAATCTCAACTAGATCATACATGGCAGGTGACCAACCTCTGCTTTAAAACGTCCAAGGAAGGAGAGTCCATCACCTCTCGTGGGAGTCTAGTTATAAAAATTTGAAGCCCCAGCCCTGACTACAGTGTTGGACTCCAGCTGAAAAGCCTACATGCCAACTAATAAGAAATCCAACTGTATTGCTTGTCAGAGTTGTCTGCATTTCTACAAATTATGCTGACTGCAGTCTAATCTTCAATAAACTGTTGTGCACACTAGATCCATAATTTATCTAGATCAGATTTTTTTGATCAGGGTGTTTGGTAGCTACACATGCAGCTAAGTAAACCATGTTTGTTCTCCAAATGCCAATTTCTCATCTGTGTGCTTACAGAAACCAGCTAAAGCTTAACTCCAAATGTTTATGGTTATAATAGAAACAGTTTGATTGGCCTATTTAGGAGACTGGTATTTAAAGTTGCAGTCAACAAAAAACACACTCTTAAGAATCACCATAATTTTAATTCCACCAGTATTCATATTGTAAAATGGTTTTCAGAAAGTGTCCTTTGCCCTTCAGATAGCTTTGCAAATTATTTCATACTGTGACATAACTTTTAAAAAAACTGCTTCTAGCATTTTAAAAATTATATTTTTTATTTTCTGTTGGTATATTATGAGTTATATATTATTCCTGTGAAAAACAACAACAATTAGACTGCTACTGTGGGAGGAAGAGCCACTTAATGATGACATCCACTCAGAAAAGAACCTGTACATATTGGCACCAAGATGCTCAAGCCTCCATTATATTTAATTTGTGTGTATGAAAAGATTCCAGACCTTGGCAATTTCCCCCTATTTTTATTTTAATACTAACCTTAAGAGCTGTAAACTGGGACTTGCTTAAATTGCTATTTATAACAATCTGTTGTTAACGTGCATGTTTTTGCACCAGTTTCTAAGAATGGAGTTACAGGTTCTGATAAGATTCTGCTTTCTTACAAAGAACCTTTCTGAAAAACACAAGTTTTATTCTTTTTAACATGTCCAACAAGCCCACATTTGCAAATCAATATTCCCAGTCCTGGGGTGTGTTCAGGATTGGCATGGAGCAGAACTCTACAAAAATGGGTGCTCCTGCAGGAGGAAGAGAGACAGTATTCGCAGGGATCAAGTAAATCATGTTTGCTCAATAGAGGCCAGTTCCCCCTTCATTCCTATAGCCCTCTGTCCACAAAAATCTGCTCCCAAGTGTTGCAGCACCCTCTGTAACAGCTGAGGGCCTCATGGAAAAAGGCAAAAACTGCCACCCTCTGCCCATGGGAGTGTCCAGTTTGTGGAGCAGGAGCCTCTGCTGGATCCAACTCACAAAAGTGGATGAACAGCAGATCTAGATCCAACTGCCTGCTTGCTTTGTAATGCTGCTGTGGGGGCAGTATATGCTGGAGCAGTTGGTGATGTTGAATTCTTCCACCTCATTCTCCCCTGAAAATCTCCCTTGATCTGGCAGTTTTGCAAGGGAGGAAGGGTGGTATATAAATTGTATAGAAAAATAAATATTGAGCTGCGGCTCTTCCGTCTATATTAAAGTCTAATCGGCACATGCGGAGAGTTTGCTAAATTCTGCTTTGTGCATTGCACTACTGCATCCTGCCACAGGTGTTCTCATAGACCACGTAGAAATCATGTGCCCACAAATGCAGTATTTTATTTCAATAGTAAAGGGATAGCATTGTTGGCACACAACTGAACGATACTGCCGCTTCGTACACAGCAAAACACATTTGGTATTTCGGATTGGAATCTGTATTTAGGATTGAGGTGTCACTTGAGCCTTGCAAAGGCTCTGCTCATTCATGTAGTATTCCAGGACTATTTTGATTCTTTACCAGTCTTATCACAGTTCTTGGTATGGATCATGGGGGTGCCTAATATTTAGAAGAGCATTTATTAACAGTGCACTGTAAAAATAACACCTGCCTGCTTCTTTTGATTAAAAATACATTTATGTTACCCTTCCCAATAAAGTCCCCCCACCCCATTATGATTTATCCCTGTTTGCTCTCAGTTACAGTTACGTGGCTGGTGAGTGTATTTCTGTTGATTCTACTAATGTTATTAGTTAATACATTTTTGACAAATACAACTCTTTCAGATAAATGTTAACAACTTAATAACTTCTAAAGGTCACCTGAATTTTAATTGTAGCTTAGACATAATGAATATTCACTTCCCATTGACTGAAGCTATGAAGGCATTGTTAATCTTACAATGAGATTTCGTTTATTGGAAATTCATGAGGTGTTGAAAATATACCAGTTATAATCTGAACTTTCAAAATCAAGATCGTATACTATGTTTGTTTTTTTATCTTCAAAGGCATTATATTGTACTTCTAGCAAGTGCACCAACAGAAAAACAGCGACTAGAGTGGTGAGTACGTAGCCACTCCCTATGCCTCCTTCCCCTTTTAAAGTTAACATTTCATTTGGATCATTGTTCTTGTTTTTATTTTGATTATATGTTTAGTGTTTTTATATTGTGATTTTATCCTATGAACTGCCCTGAGACCTGTGGTTCTTAGGGCGGTATATAAATTTAAATAATAATAATAATTAGTGCATATTCTAAGGATGTGAAGATGTTTCAGGCTGCACAAGTCACTCTGAAGGAGCAGATGGGTTCAGGACCACCTGTCTTAACACAGATGCTAATTAGAGCTATCAGGAACTCCTGCCTTAAAATATAATGGAACGGGAAGGGCATGCTAGGCTGAGCTTGATGAAGCACTTTTTCTGAGTTATTCATAGGCTAGCAATTAAGTGTTTTCTCAGTCTAATCTGTGACTTGAAAGCCTTGCAAACCAGGGACTGAGGGAAAGTGCCATGAAGGCCATGATATTTTCTCTCTCTTTTTCTTGAATGCTATTTTACTCCAAAAAAAGTAGTATAAAACTTTTAAGTAGAGCAAATATTTTAGAATGATAATGCACCTTAGGGTTTGATTTGTAGCTCACTAGAAATGCAAAAGCTGTGTTATAGTTTACAGCCTTTGCTAAGCCATTGTTGAACCTGCTGCTACTGCACAGGCTTCCTTAAAATTAAGGGACACAGAGAGCTCAATCCCTATAACCTTAAGTTAACTCCTAGATACCTGTGTATAGTATCGTAGTATTAGGATTATGGGGAAGAGTCTATGTTGCAGCATTTCCCCTCTTCTCTTTCTAGTATAAGCAGTTCATTCAGTTTTTAAGAGCACTTTTGGGGCTATTCTGAGAGTTTTCAGTTCTGCATGCCAAAATGTTTAATATTAATGGGATGGCTGGCAGTGGGGCGGGGGTCAAAATCCAGAAACAAATTGTAGGTTTAAAGTTTTATTTAGGAATATAAAAGCAAAAAGGACAAATGTTTACAGAAGGTCTTTTAATCCTTTTAACAGAACGAGAAAGAAGCATTTTTTGCCCATTCCCCCTACATCCTTTTTGCCACCTCCCACACTGTTTGAAGGGTTTCCCCAACCTCCTTGAGTTGTGAACGGAACTCTGTTCATGGCATCTCTGGATACTAACCCATAGTACACATAGTAAAAATTATTTCATTACATGTTTCATTACCTCCCAGTTTTTGTGTGTGTTTCCAGTACTAATATAATTGGAGCTTCCTTTTCTCAACTAGAAAAAGAGTATCTTTACTTGCAATACTCAGTATTAACAAGCTTATTTTTATTCAGGGTTGGCTTGGTAGAGTCAAAAATCCGTATTTTGGTTGGAAGCTTGGAGAAGAATGAATTCATCACACTGGCTCATGTAAATCCTCAGTCATTCCCGGCACCCAAGGAAAATCCTGACAAGTAAGGCTCTTAATAAGACTGTTGGCAGAAACTTCTTACTGAAAGTGAAGGGGTGGGAATCAGGCTTACTGTTAGTATTGTCAAATGCTTTACCAAGATTTACACTTCTTTTAATATAAAAACATCATTCAGAAGAGGAACTCTCTTGTTCTTTGTCAATACATACAGGAAATGGAAACCATTAGAAAGATTGATGCTGTGCATGTTAAACAATATATAGTTTAAACTACCTCTACTGTGTTACAAGTGCTGGTTTAGATCCAGAAATGTACTAGCAGAAAAAATATATAACATTTGTGCTGAACTGTTGCACAAGAGCTAGCTTGAAGACACTAGCCACATTTGCACATAATGGGAAACCAAACTTTCTAGGCCTTGTTTGCAAAAGGGCACCTCTGGTTCTACCTTCCTGTTATAGATCAGGCACCAGACAGTCCCAGCTGAAAACATTTATTGTCGTCAAAACAGTCAAATGCTGTTGTGTATCTATTTTTGGAGAGGCATTGCTTGTTGCAAATTACTTAAGACCAAAATCAGTGGTGCAGTTTATGCACCTGAAAGGTAAAAATAATAAATGGGGGGGGGGGGAGGGTTTGCATCACATTGAAGAAAATCACACTAATGAGCTGGAATTCTAATGTGGATCTAAAACTCAGATTGGCAAACTTGGCCTTCTATTGAACGTTACATTTAGCATATTCTCTTTTGTAAATCAGAAGTAGATCTATTATGACTTAAAGTGAAATATTCCTAAGACCATGACGTTTCTCAAGTTATTCAGGTTTTTTGTGACTGTATTATGGCATCCAATATGATTTTTTCTGTGGCTGGCCACTGAAGAGTAGCAGTAATTAATTAATACTAGTTGGAAATGGTTGGTTACTGAAAGGTGTATTTTTAGAATTTTCTGCTGTTTTCATTTGTGATGGTAGTTTTTACTTTATTTTTATTTTTTTCCAGGGAAGAGTTTCGTACAATGTGGGTGATTGGGTTAGTGTTTAAGAAAACTGAGAACTCTGAAAATCTGAGTGTTGATCTTACATATGACATTCAGTCTTTTACTGACACTGGTAAGCTTGACTCATGGAAATTGTTCTATCTCTAAAAATATGACAGCTAAGTTAATTGTGATTTGCCTTGGATCACAGATGTCCTTGCAGTTACTGACAACTGCTAGCAAAATATTTTCCTTCAAAACAATTATTTCAACATTTGTTGGTATAAATGGTCTGATCCTGTGACCAGGGCCAGTAGTAACCATTGTAGCAAAGTTGGTCTCACCCTGTGCTGCAGCTTCCACAGTGGACCAGTTGTCTGTATCCCATCTGAATCATAACATGCAAAATAGTCACATAGCAATATTAAAACTTGTTGGTTCTCTGTGATCATCATAGTGGCAGTTAGTGAGGGCTGAAAAGGCAGAATGCTGTCCACTTTTCGACATTGCAAAAAAGGGTTAACTTGCAAAGAAGCTTTTATTTAAAAGATAGAAATGGAGAATTGTGAAGCAAAAAAGACCATTAAGAGGCAGCCTGGATCGAAAGAGCTCTAAAGTTCAGGCTTCTCTTGAGAGAGATTCCACTTCTGAAGCATTGTTTATCATAGCAAGGCAGTACAGGAATTTCCATTCTTACACTAACATCCCTGTGCTAAGGTTCACTGACACTGAACTTCCTTCTTTCCAGCTTCCATATTGCATTGGAGTTATAGGAAGGTGTCATGTTTTCATAGTGGAACACTAGTCTCTCATCTTGCTGTTAATACCAACTCCCACTTCCAGTGCCAGTTCACACTGCAAACATATGACTTCCCAAAGAGGAGTTTGCAGCTCCCCCACAGTCCTTATAGCTGCCAAACTAAGCCATGGCTTGTGGTTAGTGAGGAGAGATCGTAACCACAAGACCAAATTCAGATAACATGCCAAGCCAAACCTTGGCTTAGTGTGACAGTAAAAAGGTCTGGCAGGGAGTAGCAAAGTGGCTAAGAGCAGCTCTTTGGGAGTGTTCTTCTTTGCACTGCCTTGCTAAACCGTAAATTGTTGTATCAGGCCCATAATTTTGCAGAAAAAAATGTGTTTATGTAAATAAGTCTATATGATTATTTTGTTTTGCATAAAGCCCTTGTGAAATGCTGCTGCAGAGAATTTCAGGGCCAGGTTTTCGGGGGACCAGAGAGGGGGCTTAGAAAGAGCAGGGGGAGCTGCAATGTGTCCTGTGATTTGGTGGTGCTAAGAGAGGAAAACAGATTTGCAGGAGCAACCACATTGCTAGTAGCAGTGTTGAAGTTTAAAGAAGGCAAGAAGGAAAAGAGGCTTCATGCAACATTTCTGCAGAATTACTTACACCACCTTGGTTATTATCTCTGTTCCCCCAGTTGTGATTGGGTAGGTGCAGCTTTCTGAACCTGAACTATGAGCTACAGCAAAATCCTGTTAACTTGCTAGCCATGGGAGGTCAGTCTGGGAAGGTGGATAACCCCGTCCCTTAGCGTCTGAGCAATGTGACCCTGCCTACAGCCAAGAGGAGGTGCTATACAAGATGTAACAACTCTTTTTCTTTGCCACCTTGGGATAAACTTTGAGGCAAAAATAGTAAAAATCACATAATGCCTTTTGAAAAGTTAGGAGAAAGGCATTTGGCATGATGATGCGGCACTGTGCATATTCCTTTTTCTCAGGATTGAAGAAAGTACCGTTTTTCTTTCCAAAAGCAGAATTCTCAGGAATGCAAATTTCTTTCAGGACAGGCAAGTAATGGGCTTTCTCCAACTGTAAAACATCTTAACAGTCTTCTCGTTATATAGTTTATAGGCAAGCAATAAACAGCAAGATGTTTGAGATGGAAATGAAAATTGCTGCAATGCATGTTAAAAGGAAGCAACTTCATCAATTGCTACCTAGTCATGTGCTTCAGAAAAAGAAAAAGGTAAAGCTTCAAATGAACTGGCAAATATATGTGTGTATACTCTTAATACAAGCATATTCTAGTATCCCAGATTTCTGATGATACTAACTTGTCATAAAATATTTGTAGTCATAATTATAGGATACCCAAATTCTCTGTAGGCAACACACTCTTCTTGTCTTCTCTGACATGATTCTGGGATTATCTTTGACTTGTAGTTTGGGTGGTAACTGCTCAGAATTCCTGAAGCATTTCAAGTTAGTGAAACTTGCTCATTTTTAACAGTGGACAAGGATTAAAAGGAACAATGTTTAAAAAAATCCTCAGAGGCATTTGCAGAGATACTGCTTTGACATCTGTCAATAGTGATTTCAGCCTTATGCAGCAAGTCTCAGACTTGCTGTAGCAGGTCTGTTGAACTTGTGAGAAAATGAAGTTACCTTACCCCAAGTATTATTATTATTTTTTAAGTACCAGCTTCACATAAAGTCCAGAGATGGGCATTGCATAAGAAAAGGCAAAGAGGAGGGATCACTGACCTACTGCAAACTTGGGTGTACGGAAGCATCTATGTCCCTATTCAAATGTTGCTTATGAAGCAATCTCAACTTTGTAATAAGACACTTGGTCTTTTCTACTCCCCTTCATAGTGATAAGAAAGCAGCATCTGATCCAGTTTGTGCAATGTTGCTTGCTTGCTTTTTGGCCCCCCAAAAAGGTAAATTTTAGGAAATAATGGAGAATTTTCTGATGTGGTGTCAGTTAGACATGCCTCACTCAAGCCCCCATCAGGCATTACTCTTGTCAGTGAGGGGAGGGATTTGCACATGTACAAAGCTTTCGTATTGATATATAGGAGAGAGTGAATTAAAGATAACAGGCATGGTATGAGCAGACTTCTCTTTCTCTGTAACCCATCCCCTTCCCAAATCTGCCCTGAAGGTTCTCCCACTTCCAGGGCAGATTTTGGCAGTGCGGGGGGAATTCCTGTTGCACCATCGTAAGTCTGTCCTGCTGACAGGTGGCCATATAGGATGTCACTATTTTTCTGCCAAATTACAGTAGAGTTTCTTACTGCTCCTGAATAGCATTTTGTGATTTATGGTCTCACCGATTTCAGCATTCGACAGAAGGGGTCAAGTTGACAGCGCTGAACGACAGCAGCCTAGACTTATCTATGGATAGTGATAACAGCACATCTGTGCCTTCTCCTACTAGTGCTATGAAGACAAGTCCATTGAACAGTTCTGGAAGCTCTCAGGGGTAAGAATTCAGCTATCTGATGACAACATTATCTAAACCACATTTATCTCAAAGTAAAATTAAACAAATGCTTGCTGGGTTTGTTTTCCTTGTCTCGGCACATTTCCATCTATGCAGAACATCCATCCCTACTTTCAAGGTGTACTAATTAAGCATCGTTGCTCCTTCTTCCCATCCTACTGTTTCAGCCACCACAACCATAGTGCTTTTACAAGAACTTCCTGGTACTAGAGTAGTTATTCAGACAAAAGCAAGCATTATTTCTCTTTATGTTTTGTCTCCTATCATTGATGGCCTGTCTCTTCTAACACTTTGTGCAGAATTGCCAATGAGGGTATTTCACCAAGTTGATGCTTTCTGATGGATTGAAACTTATATGCTGATAATTGTGATTCGAGCACGTACAGATTGTGGCCCACCAAGCTGAATGCAGTCCCTCAGCCATGTATTCTGGCTTGCCAGGTTCAGCTATCCTGTTTGTACACCCCTAGGGAGTTAGTAAATCCAGGAGGCTTATCAAGCCTCTCTAGATGCTGCTGAACTATTTGACTTGGTGAGTTGCAAGTTGTGTGGGCTTGCTTTAATTCATGAATGTGTTGTGTTTTTTCAAACAAATTATTTTAGCAGAAGCAGTCCTCCTCCAGCTGTGACGGCAGCATCTGTGACCAACATACAGGCTTCTGAAGTCACTGTGCCACAAACAAATTCCAGTGAAAGCTCAGGGGGTAGGAACATAATAATATTATGCAAATACTACGTTTCTAAGTTGGTTGTCCATTAAGTCATTTTTTTCTCTCTTTAAAATTGTTGGTGATTTGCCACTTGGCAGAAACTTATTTGCAGTACAAATATTGTCATATACTTTGCAACTTGTATTGTGAAATTACATGCTGATAAAGCAGCCAAAATGCAAACAGCAGAATTACTTTTGGAAGTTCAGAATCTTTTAAAATGGTCTTTGTGCTCTTCACAATATGGTTGCACAATGATTGCACAGCAGCTAAGCGGCATTGTTCCTCTGACAAAATCGAAGTTATTCACCAGCTTTATTGTCCTTGTCACCCACCCCTAAAATATTTTGGCAATATGGAAACAGAAAATCTTATCCTGCCCTAGAGTGTGCATGTAATAAAACATGTGAATAATAACCCATTATTTAACCAGCTGTCCAGTGCTGGTCAGTATCTTAATGATAGGGAATGTGATACAATGGTTGTCTTTCCTCTAGACAGTAACATAAACAAAGTTACGCTTTTGATAATGTCAGGTCGTCAGTATTAGGAATTCTCTGTCATGGCATTGAGAGCTCTGCCAAGGAGCCCCAGATTTGAAACTCAGCATAAATACTGTGACTTATAAATTTGATGTATTGCATGCCTTCAGATGGCAGTATTTCCTGCCGTGGAGCTCTGAGCACTGAAAGACAGAACTCATGGCCGTTGAGCCTTCAGTCATTGCTTAAAGCTCAGTAACAACAAGGTTTAGAACCTTTTTAATGCAATACCAGATTTCCCAAGGGCAAGATTAAATACTGAAACCCATGTTTTGTAGTATGATGTATTACATAAACGCTTGATTCCTCCACCCCACCAAGTAGCCATTTAATGTTCTTGTTGAATGCAGTTTGACCTTGAAAACTGAAATGTCTTTGAGCAGAGCTGTACATATGTTGTGATTCTGTGGGAGTGCAAAAGAAGTATAAAGTGTTGATTCCTGAGAAACTGGGCTCTTTTTTGTTTTTAAAGAGAACTGGTAGCCTTTTGAGACATAAATATATGTTTTAAAGTGTGCGAGCAATGCTTGTTGAAATCTCAGGTGCCAGAGAGGTGTGTTGAATCAGTGATTGAGGATGGCCCATAGTGTCCCTCAGCCACATGATTTGGAAAGCTGGAATAAATTGTATAAAAAAGCAAATTTGGGTAACAAATAACATACAATATGAAAACACTGGAGATTTGCACAATTTGAGAAAATTATCCAGGCCACAAAATTCCTCAGTGTAGGACTTGGATTGCTTAGGCACAGAACTCTTGATTTATTTATTTTTAGTTCTAAATGTACAGCCTTGCTCATGGGATTACATGCTGAATATTTGATTTCATGGTAATCGTTACAATATATTTCCCAAGGTTCTTCAAGTGAAAGCATTCCTCAAACTGCCACACAGCCAGCCATCTCTCCACCACCAAAGCCTACCATCTCTAGAGTAGTGTCTTCAACCCGTCTTGTCAACCAACCACAGAGACCTTCAGGAAACGCCACACCGAAAGTAACTAGCCCTGTAGCAGGTGTGAAGAGGACATCATCCCCTCATAAAGAAGAGTCTCCCAAAAAAATAAAGACTGAAGAGGTAATTTTATTTACTATTGATTTGAGTTTTTTTGTGTATGCTGCCAGGAAGTGGTACCAGAACTATAGGATTAATTCCTCAGTCCTGGGAACAGAGTTTTTAAATAGGTGGTGAATTCATTGGTTGCCTATGACAGCCAATGAGATTTCTTTGAACAATTCAATACAAGTGAAAATAACATAGGAATTAGCAGGCAATGCAAGCAAAAGGTTTTACACAGTTCAGCCTTCTCACTACAAGTTGCTTTTTCCAGCTATTTTAGACATCCTGTGGAAGATTCCTAGGTGATTCCAGAGTTAGCAGGGTTAGTGAGAGGGATGTATGTGTTATCTGCACATGAACATGTTTTGGGAGATACCCACGTAGCAAAAGTTGCTCCCAGTTCCAGTCAACACACAGCTTAAGGTCTGAATAGTTTACTGTTGCAGTTTGTAGGCGATGCAGATACAGATATGTACAAGTGCAAAAAATATCTCTGCAGCTCCAGCAATTCAAGCTGTAACAGAATCTGTCTCACTATCAAACACTTCTGGTCAGACTCACTCATTTGATCAAACCTGCATTTGTTGTGGGGTGGGGTGGGGGGGGTGGCCTCTTGCTGAGATGAAAAAACTTGCTTGGCTTTAGTCTGGATTTAAGGCAGGGGTGGGGAACTTTTGGGTGGCAGATCCTAATCAGGACCAGCCTTGCAGGCCAAATCCTACAGGTGTGTGGGATCATGTACCTGTCACTCACTCAAATGCCATCATTAAGATGCTGAATGATTGACAGCGGCGGGGCTGCCCATCTGTCAAAATCCTTCTTTGCAAGCCTTCCCTTTGTGAAACACTGCTACCAACTATTTTCCTTCAGCATATTGTTCTTGGACTCCAACGAAATATTTGAATCTACTTGTGTCCTGTTCTCAAGAAGCCTCTCCCAAGAGTCAGAGGGTGCACACTGGCACAGGGAGCAGGGAGCAGTGAGAGATCAGAGAAAAATCAGGCGAAGGCACTTCCCACAGCTTAGTTTATGGAGAGCACTTCTCCCAGATTTTTATCAATTACCCAGAAATACTTTCCATCCAATTCAGGGAATCCATATCCTTGTGCCTTGGGAGAGGCTTTTCAGGAGGAGGGGACAGGAAAGTTGCCTCACATTCATCCTCTTCAGTTGACATTCCTCTAATTCCAACCGTGTAGGTTAGTCTTGCATCATGACCTGCTGTCCTTTTTAAGATGTTAATTTTTGTTCTGTTTTGTGACAGGAGGAAGTGAATGAAGATGCTAGCTGTCTTGATACGAGTGATCACGATAAAACAGAAACTAAGGTAAACTTCTCATACAACTGTAGTACAGTGGTACCTTGGTTTACGAACTTAATGCGTTCTGGAAGTCTGTTCTTAAACCAAAGCGTTCTTCATCCAAGGCTTGCTTTCCCATAGCAGCGGGGGACTCAAATTACACTCAACGGGAAGCGGAACATGTTCTGCTCCTAAGGCAAGGTTCACAAAGCAAGACACCTACTTCTGGGTTTGTAGGGTTCTGAATCCAAGTTGTTCATAAACTAAGCTGTTCTTAAACCAAGGCACCACTGTACTCTGATTCCCACAGCTTCTGAAACATGATGCTTGTATGTTCAAGTTTTGGGGCTACTTTGTTTTCTTGTTCCTCATGGAGATACTTTGCATAATGCAGAGAAGCCTAAGTGAGGAAAAAAGATTGGTTTGGGAGCAAAAAAACAGGCTTGAAATTGCATTGATAAATCCATGTTTACTTTGAAAACAGCAGTTAAAAATTAGCATTTTCCATTTCTGACAGCTTCAGCATATTAAGAACATAAGATACCTCCTAGATGAGGTCAAAGATCCATCCAGTCCACTATAGCCAATCAAATGCAACAACAGAATTACAATTCATCGATCACTTTAGTGGCATCACTTCTAGGTTAAATTGAGACAAAAGATTTTTATCACATTACATGTGTTAATTAGCTTACCAATGCCATGGTTCCTGTGCTATCTCTGACTGTTTCTTACAAATGCCATGGTTCCTGTGCTATCTCTGACTGTTTCTTACAAATGGTTCCCTGCCCCCTCCAGGTATTAATACAGTCATCTCAGCAATTATCACCAATCTTGTGCTGTTAAAGGTGTGCCTGTTTAATATAAATTTAAGCTGTAATCATTTTTGTCATCCAACTCCCACCGTACAATTTTCTTCTTTATATACCTGCCAACTAAGATTTCACTTCATGCATCTGTCAACGTGAAATCTTGTGCCATGATAAATTTGTTGGTCATTAAGATGCAACGAGACTCTTTTAATTGTTTGGCGCACCCGTGTTGTCTAGATACTGTCATTTTAATGCTGAATATTTGCCTGTTGTTTGCACTTGGCCAGCAATAGGTTGTTGAACCTAATCCTGGAAGACCTGGAAGAGGCAGGAGTTTACAGTACTTACCCCAGAATGCTTAAAATAGGTGGTATGGAAAAATCTCAGGAATAGTGTGTAACTATTTCTATCCTCCTTGACATTAATAGCTCATTCAGTGGTACCTCGGGTTAAGAACTTAATTCGTTTCGGAGCTCTGTTCTTAACCTAAGGTACCACTTTAGCTAATGGGGCCTGCCGCCGCGCCGCCAGCATGCAATTTCTGTTCTCATCCTGGGGCAAAGTTCTTAGCTCAAGGTACTACTTCTGGGTTAGCGGAGTCTGTAACCCGAAGTGTTGTAACGCAAGGTATCACTGCATTGCCCTTTTCAAAGGCACCATCCTCCCCACACACAGTGCCAGGGAATATGAGAGAATCACTGTTTCCCCCTTCACCCTGCAGATTAAACAGGGTGAAATAGCAGTGTATAAACAGGACACTGTGTAAAATACATTACCACAGCAGTAAGTGTAGGGGGGAAATACTATTACTTCCAAACTTAGGTTTCCGCATGCTCTGCATGTTAAGTGAATAATAGAATCGTAGAGTTGGAAGGTACCCATAGGGTCATGTAGTCCAACCACTTGCAATGCAGGAATCTGAAATAAAAAATCTGTGATAGACGGCCCTCCAACTCCAACTTCTGCTTAAAAGCCTCTAATGAAGGAGGGTGCTTGTGGAAGATGCTGCAGCACGACTGTTATAAAGGTAAAGGTACAAAGGTAAAGGGACCCCTGACCATTAGGTCGAGTCACGGACAACTTTGAGGTTGCGGTGCTCATCTCGCTTTAGTGGCCGAGGGAGCCGGCTTACAGCGTCGGGGTCATGTGGCCAGCATGACTAAGCCGCTTCTGGCGAACCAGAGCAGCGCACAGAAACGCCATTTACCATCCTGCCGGAGCGGTACCCATTTACCTACTTGCACTTTGATGTGCTTTCGAACTGCTAGGTTGACAGGAGCAGGGACCGAGCAACGGGAGCTCACCCCATCGCGGGGATTCGAACCGCCAACCTGATTGGCAAGTCCTAGGCTCTATGGTTTAACCCACAGCGCCACCCACTGTGTGATAATTAAGCTTGTGTGCTACCAGCTGTGCTATAGCATCAACTCTTAAACGCCTGGTGCTAAAGTTATGTTGCATCTTGCTCATACCATTTTTGTTTCTGCCTTTTCAGGAAGCACTTGATACAGATTCAGAGATGGCCTCTCAACCAGAAACCCTTCCGACAACAGTATCACTGCAAGCTCCTCAGGTACTCGAGTTTCGTTTCATAGTAATAAATCGCACAAGGCACCAGTAACTCCATGATAGGTAGAGTTTGGGGGATGCTGCAAGTGGTCCAGAGACCTGTTCCACACAGCCATGGATGAGAAGCTGTTGTTTACTATCCTCCTGGATAGCTCAGTTGGTAGAGCACGAGACTCTTAATCTCAGGGTCATGAGTTCAAGCAGAAAATTCCCGCATTTCAGGGGGTTCAACTAGATGACCCTCATTGTCCCTTCCAACCCTTCAGTTCTATGACTCCACCTGCAAGCATTCATGCATTCACCATAGCATGTCACTTGATTTCTCAACCTTTGTAGACATCCTAGCAGAAGGGTAGATTGACTGCATTTCTCATTGTGCCAGGATCCCCTGCCCACCCAAATGGCAAAGAGAGGAAGGGTGAAGGACCATGAGTTTAAGACCCAGACAAGACTTGTGTAAATTTTATGCAATCCTCCTTATTTTCATTACCTACAAGGCCAAAATAAAGAGGTTGGGCGTGACTGAAACCATTATGGTAGTGGGAGAATTTAATAATGCAACACACTTGGCATTGTTGGACATGTTCCTAATTCCATTTGTGCTTGAAATTATGTGTCCTAACACTTTTTTCTCACTTTTCCACTCCATCAGAAAATGCCCAGTACAGACCTTTCAGATATTCCTGCTCTCCCTGCAAACCCTATTCCGGTTATCAAAAATTCAATAAAACTAAGATTGAATCGATAAAACCAACCTCAGGGGTCCATAAACAGTATCTGCCAATTCAACCTATTGTCTTCTAAATGCTGAAATGGAGAACAGAGAGTGCAAGACGAGAATGTGAACGCAGATGGATTTAGGTGTGTTTTCTGCACTTCCCTTGCTGGGCTATAATCACTTGATCTGGAAGTCCAGGTTAGTATGTGAAGTCAGGAGTACTATTAAATGTGTTAGCAACAGTTTTACATTGAATACTTCAAAGGATTACTGCCTTTCAAAAGGAACGGGAATACTATTTCTAGCCATATTTGACACTGATTGGATTTATGTTGATGCATTGTTTGGAACACACACACACACAAAAAAAATAGAGCTTAAACTGGCAAAAGAATCCCTTAAAATGCACTTTTATGTACTTTTTTATTGAAATATGACTAATTTTAGCGTTTCAGCTTGATAGGTTTTTTTTATTTTTATTGGATATATTCTTCAATATCTGCAACCTTCAAATTAGAGAATGGTCTGTTACCAATAACCCAGAGTAAAACTTTAAAAGAAAATGTCAAATCTTGAGGTTATAAGTTTGAGAAAACAAGTATTGGGTATTTGGCGGGGCATGATTAAGAAGTGGTCTATTTTTTATTTATAGGATTATTTTATGGTGCATACAAATCAGCTATCAAAAAGCAAATAATTTTTCATTCAGCTAATCGGATCCCCTCCTATTCCCTTCCCGAACCTGTCATCATATTTCTTGGAGGAGGGGGGGAGAGAAAAGCTTTTGCATTTAACTTGTGTTTCAGTTTGTATGCCTAAATTTGGACTAATGTCGTCCGTCAAATGCTGGTATTTCTTTTAACTGGTCATGATGGTGGTTACAAAAGCTCTATAACTCTGTGGCCCTTCAGGCACAAGTGCCACGCGCCCCCCCCCCCCATGACTGAAATGGAGTAAATAAAGTGTGCCTGTGAAGCATTTAACTCTGTCTTGATGGCCTTTTCATCACTAAATATAAGAGTTTTGTACACTCCATAAAAGTCCTGTCTGCATTACAAACATCTCAAATTTTAAATATATATATATATGAAGGCAGATCTTTCTTACCCTATAGGATTTTAAGTTTATTTTATTTTATTTTTAGGTAGCTCACCTGAAAGTAGTTTTTACATTCTGAGCGTTTTCTTTTAAATCACAATTCTAGCAGACACTTGAAAACCTGATAAGCTCTCCTTGCCCAGTTGTCTTTGTTTTGTTCTGTAGAGCTATAAAAATGACTAGCGGCAACTTTGTTTAAAGAGGCATGAAAATCTCACGTGACTAAGCAGCAGAAAGTGAGGAATGCCAGTGATTATCAGATGGAGATAACAAGCTATATATAACTTTTGATTCAATCAAAATTAAGTGGGGATGGTTAAATTGCTCTTCCCATATTTTCTGATCAGCATGTTTAATGACTTCCTTCCCTGCATTGTGCTCAATCCTCCTACATGTGCATTTCCATGTTAAAGTAAAATTACTTGCTCTTCCCCTTCCCCCCCCATAAGTTAATTTTCCAAAGCCAAGAGATTGCAGCTTACTCTCCCGACCTCCCCAGTTGTGCAGTAACCAAGATTTTATTTTCTGCCCTTTTGTCTACGATGCTTAGTATACAAAATTCTTGCCCTTGCCCTGTACAGCCTCCTGTGACCCAACCTTTGCTCCCGTAATATTACCTTGCACCCTCCCTCTCCCCCGGGACCCAGTCCAAAAGGTTTAACTAACAGTTGAAGTGTACAAACTGTCTGTGTATTTTGTGTAGCTATGGAGTTTAGATCGAACTTGCCAGGCACAAATTTAGTCTCATTTTGTTTACACATGAGGATTTTTTTTTTTTTCATTTTATTAAACGTTTCATGTATCTGCACCCAAGTTTTGCCAAGCTGGGAACTTGGAATCTTTTCTGTATAGTGACTTTTTAATTCTAGTTTTCATAACCTGGAGATCAGACTGTTGCTTTCGCATGATGTACGTAGGTGTCTCATGACTGGAGTTGCTTTGTTTTATAGTATCTGTACTCCTTGTATTTTTCAAGAGCTATTTTGTAAACAGATGATGTATTTCTCCATGGAAAACAATAAAAAAACAGCACAATCCCACAGTGGCTTGGTTTCTTTCGAACGTGTAAAATAGTGGTGTCTCAAAATGGTCAAATTGACTTAATTGTCTCTTGCTAGTTGGAAAACTATGTGAAAAGAACGATGCCGAGAAAAGTATTCAGTAAATAGAAGCTGGTTTTAAAACCATCAATTAACAGTGTGCTCAGTTTGAGTCTGTTAAAAGGGGGGAGTAAATTGCTATTTTCCGACCTACTTTGTTTTTCAAAAGACAAACAATAGGGTACTTATTACATATTATCACATAGTGTCCAACTTAACCTTGCATGGTAGAGTAGGGGGAAAGCACATGAATACAAACAATTGAAGGGGGGGATTTAATTTTAAGCTTGAAGAAGCTGCTTCTTTTTTTGTATTTGAACCAATCAGTAATGTGGCTTTGTAAGTACATATCTCTGTGGAAGAAGCATTGTTAATTGCTTTATTACCAGCAGATGGCAGTGTTTTCTTTGGTTTCAGTGGTTTAAAACTCAAAATGATAACAAAGAACTGCTACAAACAGTGCCTCACTTAACTTAAATTGCCCATTGGCCTCTAGGCCAGAATAAAACAGGTGATTTTTTTTTTTAATTGTTGTGCAATCACTTTAAGTAACAAGCTGTGTTAATGTAAGCCTCAAACAGTATTTCATTGAAATATCCCATCAACTGTCTGGTTGCACCTGAAATTAGCTGGCCATTCTTGGGTCAATTTATAAAAGCTGCACAGAACCGAGTTGCCCTGTTCCAGGATTTTCCCCAAATTTAGCTCTTTTGTGCAGCATCAGAAGCTACACGAGAGTGTCTCTGAAAGCTGGGTGAATGGGAGTTGAGATTGATCGCCTTGAGAAACCTATGAACACAGTTGCACAAGAAAGAACTGCCTGTAGTTCTGATTAAATTTTGATTTTAAATATATTTATTTAGGGGAACTACCAAGTTCCAGTGCATTTTCATTTACTCCTGACTAGTACCATTTGCACATCTCATCTTTTACACTGGGTGTGTATATTTTAAAACACATACCTCTCGTTTAAGTGTACATTTGGAGAGTTTATATGTGTAAAAATCTCCAAAAACTGAATCACCTTGAAGCATGCTTCTTTCTTGGCTTTCTCACCAAATCAGGCAAATTATTCAGAGATTTAAAGTCACTCTGTTCTTCCTGTTATAGAATACCTCCTCTATTAACAATTATTTTAGTTTTGCTTTAATCATCTTTAAAGCATTAGTTTGGTATTCAGCAGAAACAACATTATCACAAGTTTGTTGATTGAAGCAGATGCAATTTGAGAAGGTTCAAACTAGTATTTGAAATCTATACGCATCAAACATCTGTCACTATCATCACCAAAAGAATAGTGCCAACTTTGATATCAAACTTCAGAGTCTATGCCTTGTTATAAAAAGATAACACAGTGAACCACTGCTGGATGTCCCATCTGTTTTGGTTGATATTTAAACCCTTAATGACTTTTAAATGAAGTTGAGGCATGTCAGTTTGTTGATACTAAATTCCGCCATGTTTGGTACTCACACTTAGATGAAGGTTAGGTCATGGCAGAGCTGGCTGCTTTCCTTTTTCTATCCGTGCATCATACTATCCAAGCATTCGGTACTACAGGGAAATGATTTTAATTTGCTTTTAAGTACATTAGGAATTCCCTATCTGTTTCAATAAATATATAACAAAATGAACTTTAAAGGCAAAGTGAGAAGAAGCTGAATTCAAGTAAAATTGTTTTGTGACGGATGCAAAAGCTGCGCATTAATTAGTCTGTGGAGACATAACATCTAGCAAATTGCTGTTCAAAAAAATATATGAAAGAATTTGTACCGGGAGAAGAGTTTTTAGCTATAATTAGGAAAGGGAAAAATTAAGAAATGGTAAAGATGTGGAACTTTACACCACGTACACTTTGCAAACAGATATTAAAGGGCTGATGGAAGGGGAGAGGTCAAAAGAGGTATTTAAGTAGGCAGTTTACTAACTAAATGTAGCTTCTTGGCAGTGCATCTGTGCACATACATCCAGAGATGTAGCTGGGGTGGTGGTGGTGCAGAGTTGGGCCCCTTCCAACTCTGCATTTATGAATCGGGGAGTAGGGAGTAAATGGGTAGCAAAACAGCCCAACTGCCCTCCTATTTTGTACTAACCGTTCTACAGTAGTAGCATGACACAGTCGTTCATTTCAGCCTGCGGAAAGCGTTACAGCAGCAACTTGAGGTTGGAAGGAAAGTTTTTCTAACACAACAGTGCTGTGATAATGTTTTACCAGGGCTTCTCTGCTGGGGCTGGGAGATATATCATCCAAAACCAGTCCATATCATGAAATTGGTTTCATAATTTTTGGCCTGGCAATATATCGCAAATTGGGGTGGGTGGTGTGTGTGCTATGCAAAGATCACAATGTGTGAAAAACTGAAGCCAGCCAATGTTTCTCCCGATTCCTGCAGCGCCTGTTAACTCTGCCAGCTCTGCTCTCCCCTGCTGCCTGCAACAGGCAGCAAATTGCAAGAGCAGGCACTGGCAAAAATCACGATGGAAGAAAAACCGTGAAGCCAGCCAATGCCTCTACATAGCTCCATCCTTATTTCAGACATCGTGTTCTAGAATAATGCACACTTCCCGGAGACTTTGGCAAGAGCCTTGATAAACTTTGCATTCTGTCTGCAGCGAAGTTGTTAGTTAAGAGACTGATGATGAATTTGTCTGAAAGAGACAGTTTGGACGGGCTGTTAGTTCCCCACGAGTGGAGAGAGAGAGGCCACGTTTTGTTATCACTGGCAAGAGAAGACCCGGCAGAGAAATGTCCCTGCTTAGACATGGTGTCAAGGTTGCAGCCTTTAGTGGATCCATGGTATTATTAATAATCATACCTTTTGCTGTTTTCGGCACTCCCTTTTAATCTGAGATAGCTCTCCCACTCAGTTTTTTATTAGCTGCTTCCACATATTGGACAAAAAGTTTCAATTTTAGAGGTTAACGGACCCACATACTTTCTGTTTACTATTAGAATTGTAGCAATCTTTTGGTTGATGTCTTGTTTTATGGGGAAATGCAATCTTTTCCATTAATGAAGTTTGGATGTAATAAGTTTTTGGTCCAGACCATTGGAGAATACACTCGAAACAGCTATTAAAAATACCTTTTGTTGTTTTTCATAGGAGATCTATAAGGGCTACCCCCCCCCCAAAAAAAAAACCTTTTGAGAAACTCAGGCTAGCTTTCCAATTCAAGATGCAGATTTAAACTGTCGTGTTTCTAAATACATTTGCAAATTACATCAGTGGCAGGCACCTTGAAGGCATCCCGCCTTCCGCATAAGAGCAGGACTTCCTTCTGACAGAGTGCATACTTTCGACATGTGCAACATCTAAAACAAAAACATTTCTCGTCTTGACTGATTTATATTGTGGGGGGAATTTTGCTTGCTTTTGAAAACGCCTGCAGACAAAAATCTCTCCAAGTAGCTAATGGGTTTAAATCAGGGGTGGTGAACTTGTGGCTCACCAGATTATTTGAGCTACGATTCCTTACCCCCCCCCAACCCTTGGCTATTGGCCATGCTGCCTGGGACTGATGGGAGTTGGGAGTCCAGCAACAGGGAGGGCCACACAGGTTCCTCACCCCTGATTTGAAAGAACGGGGATATAGCTCAGTCCAGGAGAGCATGGGACTGTTAATTAATCTCAGGGTTGTGGGCTCGAGACCACATTGGGCAAAAGATTCCTGCATTGCAGTTGGTTGGACCAGATGACCCTCGTGGTACCTTGCAACTACAATTTTATGATTCTATGAGATATGCAGGTTAAAAGGCAGCACAGGTGTATTGACCAAGTTGAAGTCATTTGCAACAGGGGTTAGGAATCTGGGTTCCCAATTCCCATTATTATTTTATTGATGACATTTGTAGCGCTCGTTTTGACAGCACATACACTAAAAATTGGAACAATTGGAAGCATTTATTAAATTTGTTTACTTCCCTTTATCTGTAGATCTTAGGGTGGTTCACAGCATAAGAATACAAAATAAAAACACAAAATGCACAATAAAAATGATCAAAACAAGCCAATAACCCCCTGCACCCCTCCCACAAACACCTTTTAAAGGGTACAGAATATTAATCAGCCAAAGGCCTGGTTGAAGAGGAACGCTTTTGGCTGGTGCCTTAAGGTGTATAATGAAGGTGCCAGCTGAACCTCATTGGAAAGAGCATTTCACAAACTGAGAGCCACTGTAGAAGAGGTCTGTTCTTGTGTTGCCACTCTCCAGACTTCTCGTGGAGGAGGCACGCAAAGAAGGCCCTTAGAAGATGAACACAGAGATCTGGTAAGTTCATATGGGGAGAGGCAGTCCTTGAGGTATTGTGGCCCTGAGCCGTTTAAGGCTTTATAGATGAAAACCAGCACTTTGAATTGGGCAGCCAATGCAGTGCATCTCCAGCCAGCATGCCCAATGGTCAGGGTTGATGGGAGTCTACAACATCTGGAAATGAACAGGTTCCTCACCACTGAGGTAAGTCGTGAATTTTCAAAGATGCATATGCCAGGGCATTGTAATACATATTTACATTTTTGCTACCTTTTACAAAGTGCTTCTTTGGATGTTCATGACATACCAGTCTATCCCAAGTTTCTGCTAAAGAAGAAAAGAGATCAAGCAATGAAGATTCAGTCTGTTGCCATTAACTCTTTGGAACCTCATTTCCCTCCTTGACATTTTACATATTTGCTGGTATTTGCAACTAGGTTTGTCCTCAGCAACACATGGCAACTACAGAAGGTGGGTTTTTATTTATGGTGAGGTGCTCAGAGGTCCAGTAACTGCCTTTCCCCAGCTTCTTCCCATATCCTCCTGTCCCCAAATCTATAAATGCCTGGTTCTGTACACAGCTGAATATGTATGAGTCTTTATTTAAACAACTTTGTATATGTTTTACTGATAAAACTAGGTGCCGAAATATGGACAACCCTGATATGAGCAGCGGTTTTGTCCAAGCGACTGTTCTGGCACTTCGCCATTCCTACTCGCCTGCCCTCACACTGGTACACATACACAAACCCCTCCATTGTCTTTGTCATATTTTGAACTTTATATAAGCACCTTCCATCATCTGATCTCAAAGCTTTCAGCAAACATTAATTAAGCTTCACAACAGCCCCAGGAGCTAAACAAATATTGGACCATTGGAGTTAGATGCATATTAGATGGGTAAAGGAAGATACGAGAGGTTGCAATTTGACCAAGGTCACCCAGGGAGTCAGCGGCAGGGCTGGAAAGTGCACTGGAATGGACGTGGAATCCCTAATTCTTTCGCTTCCTTCCCTCTGTCCCTCCCTTCTCCTCGGATTCTTGAAAGTTGCTAGTTTATCTCTCCGTGCATATGAATGTGGAGGGCTCTGTGCATGCAGAAAGCCAGGGGCAACATGGAATTCGGTTTCCTGATATTGTGGTTGCATGATCACCGTGCGCTTTACGGTGTAAAAGTGGACAGGGCCCCGCCCCCTAGGAGCTTACAATCTAAATTCAACACAAGGGAAATAAGGGAAGAAGTGGAAGGGAAAGGAGGCAGGAGCAAGCAGGGAAGCAATATGGAGCTGTTTTCGTTACACGAGCTTAGACTTTGCACAGGCTGAGTTGCAATAGAATTCGGGGACTGAGCAAAAGATTTCACAAATATAAGTGGGTTTTGAAGTGAGAGAAGTGGCATTCCCCAGGTGTTCTGCAAAACAGTTCCAAGCCTGAGATCATCATTATCCAGTTTCTAGCACTCATGAGTGCACCAGGCACTCAAAAGTCTGGGTGTTTTATCAGATCGTATATACTAATTCCTATCCTCACATTTAGAGGGATGCAGGTGGCGCTGTGGTCTAAACCACAGAGCCTAGGGCTTGCCGATCAGAAGAGCGGCGGTTCGAATCCCCACGACGAGGTGAGCTCCCGTAGCTCGGTCCCTGATCCTGCCAACCTAGCAGTTTGAAAGCACGTCAAAATGCAAGTAGATAAATAGGTATCGCTGCGGCGGGAAGGTAAATGGCCTTTCCATGCACTGCTCTGGTTCGCCAGAAGCGGCTTGGTCATGTTAGCCACATGACCCGGAAGCTGTCTGCAGACAAACACCAGCTCCCTCGGCCTATAGTGCTGAAATTTGAGTGCCATAACACCAGAGTTGTCTGTGACTGGACCTAATGGTCAGGGGTACCTTTACCTTTATGTTTATCCTCACATTTATGTAGCCAGAACCACATCACCTCTGCCCAACAGATTCTAGGCAAACCTGGTGTTTTCAGAATACAAAAGAAAAAAAATCTGTGACCCTCCAGATATTGCTGGACTCCAACTCCCATCAGCCCCTGCTATCATAGGCCAATGGTAAAGGGATGATGGGAGTTGTAGTCTGACCACATGGGGGGGGTGTCACAGAGTAGTTACCCAACTCCCCTGTGAGAAAAGAGTGCAACATTTGCGTGTTTTTACTATAGAGAAAAGGTGAACAAGACCAGACACAATGGAAGTTTATAAAAAGTATGCATGGAGAAAGCAGATAGATAAAGATTTTCTCCCTCATAACTCTAGAACCCATGGGTATCCAATGAGGCCGGATGTTGGAAGATTCAGGACTGATAAAAGAAACTAATAAAAATTATAAAATGAAACAAAACTGTGAGAACAGAATGCTGGACCAGATGGGCCATTGTTCTGATTCCACAGGCTGTTGCGTTAATGAGCAACATAGGTCTAGACTGAGTGCATACCTGCCAAGAGCCCTGGGGGAAAAGGGACATCCTGGTTTTTCATGCGAGATTGCGGGGGCCATTTTGGGTGTGGAAATGTCGCACTGCTCTCTCGTTTCAAAAGAAAGCTTTTGGGGAGGGGGGCGGGAGCGAGACGCGGATCCCATGACTTGCTCAGGAGCATGTGTCAGAAAACACACGTCCCAGTTTGTGGTTTCCAAAGTTGGACAGTATGTGAGTGCTTCATAGGGCAGCATTCACTTTCCAGGTGATGAGGGGGCATCTCTCTTCACTTCTGAAAGCTGAGAATGAGTACTAAGAAGGATCCCAAAGTGCAGCCGAGGGACAGGAGGAGGGTTGTGGCTCAGTAAGAGCAGATCACCTGCCTTGCATGCAGAAGGTCCTTGGTTCAATCTCTGGTGTCTCCGGGTTTTGCCAGAAATCCTGGAGAGTCTGCTCAGTGTAGGCAAAATGGCGCCATATGAAGAAGAAGAGTTTGGATTTGATACCCCGCTTTATCACTACCCTAAGGAGTGGCTAACAATCTCCTTCCCCTTCCTCCCCCACAACAAATGCTCTGTGAGGTGAGTGAGGCTGAGAGACTTCAGAGAAATGTGACTAGCCCAAGGTCACCCAGCAGCTGCATGTGGAGGAGCGGGGAAGCGAACCCAGTTCACCAGATTACGAGTCTACCGCTCTTAACCACTACACCACACTGTTATGAGGGAACCTCCTACTCTTTTCCACCATCTAGAAATAAAAGCGAATCTTGTGGTCTTTCTTGTCTGGGTGGCCTGCAGAAATTGCTTGACCCGCTGTCTGTGAGGACTATTTTGTGTTTTGTAGATGGGGCTCCCGCTCATCCAGCTGATGGGGACACTGTGTGTGCATGCGTGCGAGAGGCGCACTGGCGCTTCTCTGTAATTACTCCACACATAATCAACTCCGACACCCTTCTCTCTTCAATACGCCACGTCTAATTATCGAAGGCTTCCTGCGGAATGTGTGAAACTTTTTGACCAGGCCACCGCAATGGAAGTAAACACTCTTTGGTCTCGAGCTGGCGCACCGCCGCGAAAGCTATGTGGTCAGAGCTGGAAGTTGGCCACAAATGGCTGCTCAACGTTTGGCACGATCGAGCCTTCAAAAGAAAGCAGGTGCCCTTCTGGCATTTCATAAAGAGAGTCATTTCTGAATTGCAAGAGACTTGTATTTTGCATATTAGCACAAGTGCCAATATAAACCCAGCTGTGTGCGACATAAAGTGAAATATATATTTCAAAAACTAGGACACAGCTTTTCTATGGAGTAATCGCAAAACATTTGCATATGGATAAGCTGCTTCTTTTAAAACGTTGGCTTTTCTTTGTTTGGGGAGGGGAATTTCCCCCTCCCCTTCCCCTCGTAAACACGGCACATTTTAAAAATGTTTATCCAAGGTGACAATACAATAGCCCAAACGCAAGCCAGCATAATGTGGGCAGGTGTGCGGCAGGTTTTGCTACTAAACGCTGAAACCTGCACCTCTGTGCAGTCTTTGCTAACCTCCATCTTCTTTGCTCATGAGAACATAGGAACAGCCTTCTGGATCAGGCTGGTGTCCCATATAGTCCCGCGTCCTGTTCTCAAAATTCCCAACCAGATGCCTGTAGGAAGGCCACAAGCAGGATCTGAGCACAACCGCGCTCTCCCTGTAGTTTCAAGCAAATGGGTTTCAAAAGCATGTTGCCTCCAGCCATGGAGGTAGAACACCCTGGCTGAGAGCATTCTTCTCCATGAATTGGTCCAATCCTCTTTTGTCCACGAATTTGTCCAATCCCAAGTTGCTGGCTATCACTACCTCCTGTGGTACAGAATCCCATTCCAGTCTGAAGGAAGGTCTCCTCTTCAGTAGAATGCAATTCAATTCTGGATTCACTTCATTATGTTCCCGTTGCTCATCCTTGACATGGCGATCCAGGTGATAACAAAGAGGAACTTCATAGGTTGCACCCTTGTAGAGATAAAAATAAGGACCCTGGCACATGTGTCATACTTCTATCCAATAGTGGTCCATTAGGACTTCTGGGGCAGAAGGCAGGGAAACCATTTCTCCCCAAAAAGAAAGGAGCAGGTGGACTTCATTCTGTTTGCTGAGCTGAGCTCTGCAAAGCTGCATCCGAGAAGGTAGGAAAACAGCAGAGGCATCCCCCTTCCCTGCAGGATGACCAAGGTTATCTTAAGCCACTTTAATCATAATGGAGACTCCCTGGAAACTGTAGCTTGAGAAGGGTGCTGGGAATTTCAGCACTGTGAGGTCATCACCTTACAAACCACATTTCCCAGTATTCTTTGGCTGTTCATGGCTGTTGAAGTAGCGTAAGAACGATTTCAAGATATGGTTTGTGTGTGTGTGTGTGTGTGTGTGTGTGTGTGTGTGTGATCCACACTTTAAAAACAAACACACACACACACAAAATAAATAAGACTTTCCTGGGATATGGCTATTAATGATAAATTAACATGTGTAATTAAGGTAAGATTGGTAATATGCAGGGGTGGGGTGCACATTTTTCTTTTTATTTATTTGTTATTATTACTTTGCTATAATAATAATAAAGAAGGCTTTGCCTCCTAATTGACAGCTGGTGTTTCTGCAGCTTTTCCTTTTCCTCTTCTTTCCTGAGTAGGTTAATTCTTGTTCTCAGATTCATCTTGTCCATGGATTCTAACAAATAATAATAATAATAATAATAATAATAATAATAATTTAAAAATAAGCGTTTTGTTGTTCATAATCTTTAATATCTCTGAAAGAAAAGTGGAATATAAATGATAGCAATTAATGAGGAAAGTGATTTTAATAACAATGTTTAGGGCTGCATTCTTGCTAGGGATGGCTTCAGAGGGAGGTGGAGAGGGAGAGAGATTTGTGTGCATGTGCTTTGGGGGAACTTAAAACTGAGGTGAGGACACATAGCTCCTTCCAAAGGATAACTGTGGAAATTTGAACTGGGTTTCTGAGTAAAGGAAATAGCAGTAGTAAGAGGATTCCTAATCAGAAATGAAAGAGTATAAGACCAGAGTGCTGGCGTGTGGGCCATCAACTCCCTCTCTCTTAATTAAAAAAAATCCATGTGTTTATACTTTCTGAACCCAACAGTTATGAGAAGGAACTGGCCTTTCACTGTTGCATCTCAGCATTTTTTAAATAATGTTTTTTTAAAAAAAACATTTTCTTGGGTTACAAAAGTACATACATCGTCTCTGTTTTCAGGTCATAAAGATATCTCAGCATTTTACAGACCATCGCTCAGCAGTAAAAGCACATAGCTTCCAAACAGAAGCTCCCAGGTTCTTTAGATCTTGTGGGGCTCCAGCTTCCACCAGGCCCAGTCAGCATAGCCAACGGATAGAGATGAGGTGGGAGATGGGAGTCCAATAACATCTGCAGAGCCACAAGTTCCCCATTCCTGGTCCAGACAATACTCTATGGATCAATGGCCTTCTATCAGTATAAGGCAACTAGCTTCCTCTGTCTCTTGGCTGCCCAGAGAGCGGTCCCCATCTTTTCTGGAACATGCACCTCCACCCACTGGTTGGTCAGTATCCTGGAGTATCCTGGAGTGTTACAGGGGAATTTCTCAAGATGTGTGAAGCTACCACTTTGCTGAACCACGGCTAGTTTGAGTCTCATCAGTGCCTGGAGAGCTACATGAGTGTCAAACTGGACGTGCATTCACACATGGGGATTGGTGCTTAGTTTAATTCTTTAGGAAAGAATTGCATGCCCAAATTTTGTCACTGTAATCACATGATTTTCAACTTAAGGGGTCTGCGAATGGGGTTCCTCCCCTCCCGGTATCAAATAACATGAAAATGAGCGCTATATTTCATAATCATAGAATTGTAGAATCGGATGGGTCATTTAGTCCAACCCCTTGCAATGCAGGAACCACAGCTAAATTAGCATTCCAGAGGTTTATTTTATTGCCATGTGGAAGCTCAAATATGATGCGGAAACAAAGCGCCAGGGAAACGCCGACAAACTGGAAGAGGCTGCCTTATGAATACAGCCTGGGTTCCATTATGAAAGGAAAGTGGAATTGTGGGTGTAAGGAAATAAATAATACACATTGATGACTGGGCAAGTACCTATCGTGGGTGACACTTTCTCAAGATTTGTTAAGGGAATAGGAATGCAGCTTTGATTTATCCTGAGTGTATCGGTTCCATGCACTGTTCTGGGCTGCAAACAAACTGTTCTAGAACTGTTCTAGGATCTCACAATGGGTCAATGAGCCTCATTCCTGCGCTTGGAAAGACAAGCCTGTGTTCACTCTCCATTAGCTGAAGTGCAAAACGTGCCCACAGAGCATCAACAATCCTATCTGCATTGACTTCTTTTAAATAATTTTGATTTGTTGGCATTGTTTTTGGGTTGGGTTTTTTGTTTTTGTTTTCTGTATTTGGAGGATATATTTTTTTAAATGCTTTTCTGCTAACAGGTGCTTGGTTTAACAATATTCGTTCTCTTTTCAGTTCTGGTAGATTTAATAGCATAGTAGCTAAATGGAGTTTATATAGCTTATCTTGTATATATTTAGAGATAAGAAGTTCATTTAGGGATTAGGGAATGCTTCTTGTCTATGCACCATTAAGCACAGCACATCTGCTACTGAGCTGGCAATCAGCAGAATATTGAGAAAAGTTATAAAGAAATCTTTTTGTACATTCTAACACACTCTCCCACACACACACACACACACACACACACGGAGCGGGGGACATTTGCATACAGGAGGAATCAGATCAGAGCACTGCAGCTCAAATCCACAAGGAGAGCACCAAATTCATAAAGTTTTCAGGAGAAGCGTGCAAGGGGGGGGCAGGTTGTGGCAGGAGGAGGGGAGAGAGAGAGATTATATTTGAACTTTCTTTTCAGGAAAGTGGGTCAGTAAGATGGATGGCAACAACAACAACAACAGCAACAACAACGCAATAATATGCATATTTCTTGGAGGGGGGGAATCTAGGGTTTCCTTTGTAATACCATGACAGGCGGCTTATTCTGTTTTGCAGGCCGTGTGATGAAGCAGAATAGTAATAGGGGAAGGGGAAAACAAATAATAGATCAAGGGTTCCCCCGCCCCTCTCTTCCCTGGTTAGTTCGTATTCAGATGATGCAGAGGGCCCCTAGCAATGGCCTTTATAGTAATGCAGAAAGGGAAAGAGCTACAATAAACCTTTTGGTCCTGGACTCCTGAGAGCCACTTTGTACAAGCCATTTTGTACTAGGTGTTCCAATACCTGAGTACAAAATCCATGCGAAGCATCTTTCATGAATGCAACCACCAGCTGACCAGGAAAACAACAACAAAATAACAATAATAAAATTTTATTTATATCCCGCCCTCCCCAGCCGAAGCTGGGCTCAGAGCGGCTAACA